GCATTTTCGAATTCCTAAGCTCGTCCTGTACTGTGATCTACTACTGGCACCAAGAGGAAGCTTTCGTGAGACCCGAGCCAAATCCTTACTTCGCCGAATCCGTGCGATGGACCTTTAGCTTGAGTCAAGTTCTCTACATTGGTGAAAGGAGAGCCTTTGACCGCCAATCGCAACGTTTCTCCCTCCTTCCATACCGTGCTTGACGGCCACACTTCAACATCAACCTCTACGATATCAGACGGTCGAAGCCACTGTCGCTTCTGGTGCGAGTGGTATGGTCGCTCTGGTCGGCTCCGAGCGGCGTCGAGCTCGCGGTGCGAAACGCGCAGCCAGCCAAAGGAGGCCGAAGCTTCTAATTGCTGCGTTGAATGGTAGAAGAGAACTTCCTTTCCGTCTCTACCTATCTTCTGAAGCGCGACAAAGAGGTCTACGTCAGGAAATCTCAAGGCTTGAACGAACAGCTTGACAGAAGAGTAGCCAGTAATCTCAGTACGCCTTTCGAACTTATGATCGAAGGTTACTACCGAATCAAGCTTATGATGGTCGAAAGACACAAAGTTGTCTTCCAAAACAGGACTTGTATTCAAGCTTCCGTTGGATCTTAGGTAAAGCTTCGTGAACGTCGCGGTCGGTGGAAATGCGTCGGCGTGTCTTGTCACACTGGCTTCGGCTGATGTACGGACGTCGAATCGTATTCTTGGCCATTGACCTACGTCATTGGCAGCACCTTTGAGAAATCTGTCGAAGAAGGATTTCTGTCTCATGATGTTCTCCTCGCGGTAATACTCGCTCCACTCTCTGCCAGACTGTGTAGTAATCGTCAGCTTTAGCGCAAGGAAAGTTCAAAGCTCAAAGTGGAATGGCATACATGGATCATGAGATATTTGTGCGTTGTGTCGAACTGTTGCCAGGCTTCGATAGTGCCTCTCAAATGCAGCCCAAGACTTGACCATCCAGTGACGGAGAAGGCAGGAATATCGATCAAGCGCCAATCGACCACTTTAGACTGCCACATTGAGTCGAATGTTGGATGTTCGAGATAAGCGGCTGCGTGATCCTCGCTCTCGCCCAAGCCGTTGCCCGTCATGTCCATCCACAACTGTTGGAATGCAACATTGGGAATGCCACCTGGAGCGTTGACCTCACGATAGATGTCACTGATTCCCTCCCATGGCATTATGGCCTTCAGGTGGGGCGGTTTCAACACAGCAGTTTGATAAATGGACATTGCAAAGTAAGAGACAGCGCCCCATCCAACACTGCCGGTACACCTATTGATCAGGGTGGTCAGCATTGTGGACCGGAGTGAGACATCTTTTCAGAGCTGTGCATACGCACCAATTCTGTTTCGCAACCCACTCGACAATGTCGTAGCCGTCGCGGCCTTCCTCAGGTCCAAAATAGTTTGCCTCTCCTCCTTCGGACCACCAGGTACCACGAGGATCTACGCTGACGAAAGAATACTCGAAGTCAGCGCACCAACGGATTGGATCTGGTAACTCCCAATGGGTATATTTGGAGAGCTTGCTGAAATCGACTCCCATGTTTTGGAACTTCTCGCGAGGCACAGCACCATGTTTGCCGAACGGTGCGAAGAATATGATAGACGGGGTCTTCGCAGCAATGCTCGAAATGGGCCTATAGATGTCTGCGTACAGGTGGATCCCGTCGCGCATGGTGATTGCGACATCTTTTTCAAGAATCACTTTGCCGCCGTCGAGCTCTATGATCTCGTGCTGAAGATCAGGTGCAGGCTTAAGCGGAGGGGCGACCTCGACTGAGCGTCAGTAGCAACACGTCTAGGATCTGAAAGGATTGTATAAGTACCTGTTGGGGATGTACTGACTTGCGGTACACGGCTCCGGTCGAGTGTGTGGACTGCACAGGCACGGAAGCGTTGTAGGATGGTTTTGACATTGTGTAGTATCGGTGGAAATGCACTGGGGCAAGTCGGAGTGCTACAAATAGGATCAGCGGGGCAGAATTGTAATTGCGCGTTTCGTGAAAAAGAGAACAGCACGCCTTTGTTACCAGCTTGATCAAATTGAACTTTATCGTGGGATTAATAGCAGGCTACGTCGGAAGCTGCTTTGGATCGTGTTCACGCGAAAATGAACAGTCGAATGGGGCTTAAATGACTAAATCAAGCAGGCCCATCCATGTGTCTGATGGGAACATCATGTATAGGTAAAAGTGTGGTCCAGTTATTGCCTGCTTTGGTATGTTTGTTGGCCTCGACGCGTCTTGGAGAAGGGCAAATGACAGGGGAAGGGAGGTCGAAGGGTCTCGATGTAGGGTCTCCGAAGCCAATCCTCCCGCCGAACCAATCGCAGACTCCCCGAGGACCCACTTCAACTCTCCGATCCCCAGAGTTCACCCGCCTTCCAGACGATGGACGCTTCGCAACGCGTCCTTGCACCATGCCATCGAGGCTTGATATTCCTTCCAGCTGAAAGGAAGCGAAATGGATCCGGTAGTTTTTGCCACAGATTGCATTGCCGTCGCCGTGTCTTGCCGCTGCAACACCTGATTCACTGCAGCTCCCGTGTCCGACAACTGCTTTCCTTCTCTGCATCCTGAATACGAGTGAACTACGCGCACTCGTCCTGTTATATTCACTCCTTGTGCATCGTGGAATCAAGAATTACCTTTCAACAATATGGCGCCCGCACGAACTCTATCTAGCACAACTCCACCCTGTCCAACAGACCCAGCCCTCCCTTCTGACCTCGAAGTACCTGTCCTGATTGTCGGCGGCGGGCCAGCAGGCCTTCTACAAGCATACCTACTGCACAGACTGCGAGGTAAGTAGACAAGACCGGTGCGCGATCACAGGCGCTCGAAGCGATGATCAACAACAACCAACCATGTGCTGTAGTACCTTGTCTCATTATTGAACGTTACGAAAACCGACTTGCTGCACCTAAAGCCCATGCCCTTTCTCCACGCACGCTTGAGATCTGTCGACAGGCCGGACTCGACACCGGAAAGATACGTCGGTTGGGCACGAACCGTAATGAGGCTTTTTATGTAAACTTTATTACCAACCTCAGCGGACAGCAAGTCGGTCGCCTGCCATATGAGCGCATGGATGTAGCGGTCTTGGAGCACACACCCGAAATGATTCACAACATCCCTCAGCCCGCGTTCGAGCAGCTCGTCGCCGCTCAGTTACGTAGCGACGATGGTGTAGATCTGCTGAAGAATATGTCCTTTGTGTCTTGTCAGGAAACCACAGATGGTGTGCTCAGCACTATAGAGAATCGCGTTACCGGCGCCAAGACGTTCATCCGCTCACGTTATGTCATTGCTTGCGACGGAGCTCGCTCCAAAGTGCGTCAATCTCTGGGCATTCAATGCGATGGCGTGGATGACTATGAGATGATGATGACAATTCACTTCTCCTGCGACCTTAGACCCATACTTGGTGATCGGGTTGGCATGCTCCATTGGATCCTAGATCCTGTGGTGTCAGGTTTTATTATCAATTACGATCCATCCGGGAATCAAGTGCTCATCTGCAACTTCGATGCAAACGAGCATCCCGTCAACTCGTGGGATGAGTCACTGTGTAGAGAAACACTGCTTGCAGCCATTGGTCGGAAAGCTGACTTCGAGGTCCTAAGTTGGAGGCCTTGGGTCTTGAGCCGAAAGGTGGCTAGAGAATATCGTCAGGGCAACGTCTTCCTGTAAGTTATTTACTACATCATGTTTGACCCAGCGGTGGCTGATAATCTTTTCAGAGCGGGGGATGCAGCACATAGGTAATTCTAATCATCGTCTAGAGTCCCAGCAAATCTTAAAACTAACCTGATACGTATCTAGTTTCCCACCCACTGGTGGACTTGGACTCAACTCGGGACTCGCCGACGTGCATAATCTGGCTTGGAAAATTGCCGCAGTTCATCAAGGCTGGGCTACCGATTCTTTACTCGAGACCTACAAATCCGACCGGCAACAAGTTGCCTCAGTCAACGCACAGCAAAGCGTGAAGAATGGCAGGAAAATCTTTTCATTCCTTAAGAGCTTGGGTGCCATGGTCAGCACCGTATCTGAGGCTCGGCAAAATCTTCTTGATACAGTCAATGATCCAGCTCAAGCAGAGATAGTTGCAGCTCACGTTGAAGACCAGCGAGAACATTTTGATAACGTAAGTCAATTGTCCAGTTCGCTCCATTGAAACGCTCGTGTCTTACACTGGGATCACACAGCTCGGCCTCCACATTGGATATGTCTACGGCAGCGATATCGTCCCCCAGAGTGCCTCGAGATTCACACCGGAATTCATCTCTGGTGCCCGCCTTCCTCACGCTTGGATCCGACTGTTACAGAACGATGTCATAACACATCAGGCCGTTGATATATCCTATGTATCCGACCTCTCCGCTTCGGAAATTGCTGCACGAAAATTTTCCACTCTAGACCTCTGCGCGCTCGACAGCTTTACACTAATCACGGCTCAGTCAAGCGATTGGTACGAACGTACTACTCATGTGAAACAAGCTGTTTCATCCAAGCTACCGTTGCGCATACTCACCCTGGGCGTGGACTTTGAGATGGTACGGAATACGGTCAGTGGCCGGGAGTGGGTCCCCAAGTCTGGGCTCGGGAGTGGAAGTGCAATTCTCGTGAGGCCTGACCAGCACATTCTTATGAACGCCTCGATCCTAACAACCGTGGAAGAGCTTGTTGATGTATTGCATGGATACTTAGGTCTTTCTAAGTGATTATCTATGACTGCGTTCTTTCCCAGCTCAATAATATCTAGCAATTATATACATGCTTTTTGTTGATGATGTATTCCGTTTCTATGTAGGCAAGTCTTTGGTACCTATTATGATACATGATTTTTTTGTTGTCGGCGCGGGTCTTATTCCATTCACAGCATGTACTGATTAATCTACATCTTCCTTTTCTATTCAAACATCTGTCGCAAGAGGCATCCGCCAGGAGATCATTGCACTTTGGCAAAGAGAATTGTTGAAGATGCTGTCCCACTTCTATGTAGGTACTGCATTGTAACCAACATTATCATGTTGCAAGCTCTTGCCACCTGAGACGTCTACGTCAATGTCACCATCGATATTCCAAAATGCATCGCCAAAGCCAAAATCTAGGATCATGTCCGCTGCGGGGAAGATATCATTGTTATCTCCAAAGTCATCCACCATCTCTATGAGCGGGAAGTCATGACCGCTAGGTCCCTCGCTATTGTCCACGAATGAAGCTTGCTCTGCCTGGGCACAGCTGGTTTGTCCCATCGTTGTCAACTTCTGGGATCCATGAGCTAGCGAGTTGCTACTGGCAGAACGGCTTTGATGCACAACTTTTGCTGCATCGTATATTTCACGGATCAGCTTTGCACACCGCCGGGCAACAACAACGGATCCCATGGCAGCAAAGACATCGAGGGCTTTCTCAACGTCTTGAAAGAGATCAGACGTGGGGACGAGGTGCGCCCCAATGAAGTAGACATAGAGTGTAATCATGCTTGCATTGAGAAGATACGTCGTATTGTACCACCAGGTTCGGAAGTACGGCCGGTGCAGATACGTTTCGTAGAGTAGTTGGATAGTGCTGCGTGCAGCGTTCAGGCATTCATTGACTTCGGACCTGAAGCGGATTTCGGGATGCGTAGACCAAGTCTCGACGAACTTCCGGTAGATTAGGATGCGTGCGCTAAGGTAGCGTAGTTTTAGAACAGTCTTCTGCTTGCTAATTCGCTCCGGCTCCGTCAATGACACTTTCGTATAGTTAAGCGGGCTAGAAATATCATCTCTCCATCTCTCGAGTGCTCTGTTCAATTCGTGCGCTTTGACTGAACAGCTACTCAGTGTGATAGAGTCGCCTTGGTACAGTTCCTCGGATGCTTGCTTTAGTAAATTCGCAATGGACACGGTAACGGAGATGAAGGCATTGGTCGTATCAGAAGCTCCTCCAATTGAGATGGTGCAGTCATCGTTAGGAAGAGGCAAGTCGTAGTGGACGGGTGATTTCAGAGACGAATCCCGTCCAGAGGCGCAGCACATTTCAACCTCATGCATGTAGATACACCACCAGGTGAGGACTGCCCTCCGTAAGTATTTGGAATCTCCACTAACTGTTCCATGCTTCGCGTTCGGCAGACCAATAGCGATGGCGGTTCTAGCAGCCATACCGCTGAACAGGTAACAACTGTGTGGTTTTAAGGCGTTTTGACAGAACACGGACAGCAAAAACAGAGCTTGTGTCGTATCTAGTGAGCTGACGTCGAATATATCGCCTAAACTGGCTTTTGATCGCTCGAAAAAAAGTTTTGCCAGAGTCGAAGGCGACTGAACATCATTGAGTCGCGCATCTGCCGCTGGAGTCCCAAGTCGTGTATCTGGAAGCTCTGAAGCAAAATCGTCCTCACTAGCCACAATAGCACCTAGAGCAAGTACTGCATAGTACACGGCTTGAAAGCCACAAGAGCTTGCTTGGTATGCATCGCCAGGGCCAGTCCAAACTTCAAGTTTGCAGCGGGCCAGGAATTCCGACTTGTCCAGCACGGGATGAATAAGATGCAGGTTACTGAAGAACAGTGTGATGCATCTCGACTCGATCGGTCTTGATGTTTCAATAGGCAAATGGTTGTATGATGGTACGCCTCTAGTTCCAGGTGGCCTTGAAATACCGAAAGATTGCGGGAATTCTGGTGACGTAGCGGAGACTGGGTAATCTGAGTTGTGGAGATAGCTTACGATAGAGATGCCTTGTGGTTGGTCGCGCCTCTTAGTCTGCGATTGCGCATACCTTCTCAGACGTGCCAGAAAAGGAAAGATGCCTGTGTCACCATAGAATTCAGTGCCTTTTGTGTATTGGTTGACACTGCCACACCCATCTGCACCATCTGTACGAGGCTCTTGCTCGTCGGCGGCTGATTCGGTAGTCCTACCTCCGGCGAGCAATGGTTCAAAGTCAGGTGCCCTAAATCCTTCCCGATCCAAACGCTCTGCAGCTTGTAGTGATTGACTTATGTGCACAGAGGTGTTGACTGTTGATGGTCGCTCCAAAGGCGGACCAACCGCATGGGGTGTTTCGTGACTCCTTTGAGGCATCGTGGCTCGAAGATGGGGGCTCGCATCGAACGCAGTATGTTGGGCATGGCTGCTTGATAGTCGTTCAAGTGAACGGAAGGCTTTGGGAGCATTGGTATGCGTGCTGGGTACATAGACACATTGTGTATGCCCAGCAGCTTTGATACAACCTGGACAGGGATTGAAGCCGTCCCCATCGCACCGCACTTTCCTTTTTCTGCAAGTCTCACATGCAAGTGTCACTCTTGGTGAGCGCTTTCGCTTCTGAGACGCGATGCTACCTCCAGGAAATCCGACACGGCCTAACAAAGGCGTGGTAACGTTGGTCGAGCTCTTACGTTGCGAAGCACTCATGGCTATTCATGGATCATAGTTGTCCTCGCTTGGACTCTGGTGGACACAGGTACGACTTGGGTAGGAAGAGGCATAGAGAGAGCTGAAGTGGCGGTGTCACCGAGTGGAGTTGGATGCCCGGCAAAATCTCGGACCTCGGTGCTTCCTCTACCTAGCTTAGCGCCTTCGCACCTCTGTACAAGATCCCTCCACTTAGAAAAGGATCAATTTCCAATCGCAAAGCATAGCTTGGATCAGACTTCGTTTGTGCTGAAGCCGTTCCCTGTACTGGAGTTGGTATGCGAAGTATTTGCCACTCGAAGCTCATCGTACAATCGTGTTCTACTTATTGTATACCTGGACGACCAGTCAGCACATATGGTGGAGTGGAGTTTGACTCGCGCATTTACACAAGCAAATCATTCATAAATTCGTAAATGGTGGAGCTGACTTGACACCTGTCACGCAAAATGCCCAAAACTTGATCATAAAGATACTATTGCAAACTAAATCATCGTGTGACCTATAAGAGTTGTGAAGTCGATTACCGCATTTCGTGTGAAGATGAAGGCCGCCGATACCTTGTATCAATTAGGGAGTAAGGGCCTTTCCAGCTATGAGTATCTGTATATCAAGGCTTCCAAGGTCCGTGGGAGGACTTCCCATGTTTGTGAAAGGGCTTGTGGGGCTCATGAGGAGGCTCCCAGTAAGGACGAGGATAGTTCCACGGTGGAGGTGGAGGATAGATCCAAGGGAATGGGGAAGGTTGAGGATACGGTAGATAGGAGAACGTAGTAGGCGGAAAGTCTGCAACTCCTCCTGCACCGCCTGCACCACCTGCACCTCCCGGACCTCCCGCGCCTCCCGCGCCTCCCCCCGATTCCCGCACCGCCTGCACCCTCCAGCACCGCCGGGACCTCCCGCGCCTCCCGCGCCTCCTGTACCTCCTAGTAGCTGAGCAACACAATTCTGCTGCGCTGTGACTAGATCGTCGATGAGCGTGACAGCTCCAGTCAAGGCATACAGACCACCAGTGCCAGTAACACCTGCATTCAACGAGATGGAGGTTACGGCGAGGATATTGCCAGCGAAGGTGGTCGTAGTGCCAAGCGTGGCTGAAGAGCCGACTGCCCAGAATACGTTGCACGCTTGCGCACCATTGATGAGCACGACGGATGACGCAGACGCAGTCGTAAGAGTGGACCCGATTTGGAAAACGAAGAGTGCATTTGGATTGTTCTGTCCGTCGAGTGTGAGGATTCCGGTAATGCTTGCGGACGAAGCGGCGGTGTACGTTCCAGCAACGAGAGTCTGACCACCAAGATCTTGCACGATCTGGGCAGTTGATGGTAGGGAAACAGCAGCGTTGTAAGCGAGTATGGCATCTTGAAGAGCTTCGTTCGCTACAGCGCTAGCAGCGTAGACAGTCCCTGATATCCCAGGCGGGAATCCAGTGATCGAGGTCGCGTCATTAGGATAGATACCAAGGTCACCATTGATGATAGTAGCTCCCGTGTTGGTGATAGCTGAGCTTGCGATGATGCCGAACGGGGCCGCAGTACCGAGAGAGACCTGCGCTGAAGCCTGTTCACCAAGGCTAAGAATGACAACAAGAAACCCCCGAAGGCAAAGATTTGTAAAGCGCATGTCGACACAATATGATGGGTTGAAATCAAGTTTCAAATACCCAGCACCTTGCTTTATATAGGGTTGGGAAAAACACGGTCACGCTCTCAAGTTGCATCTGGCGAAGGTCGAATGAAAGATGGGCGGACGGAGTTATATGGCAGCCCAATGCACAAATCAATCTTGTGGACAGGAATGTGGCGTTGCAAACACCCACTAGATAGCAATAGGTATAAGATACCGTAATACCAAGAGAAATCGGCGCTAGGGGAGAATTGCGATATCGACGTCCATTCCGTAATGGTGCGTCAAGTGACAGAAATAATCCCAGTTTGAGCATGGCAACGCTGTGTAGTATATTGAACACCCTGCCCACTAAGACCTAAGCTTGAACTCACGAGATTCTATAGGTTATTGATCGTCTCTCGGCCGTCATCACATGCGCACATTCCACCACCAGCCTTGGCCTAGGTCACGATATCTCATTTGTTCGAAGCTTTATCTGACTTTAGGCGATGATTTCATCGTTGATGTTCATAATATGAGACCAGTTCCGTGATAGCGTCGAGTTGTGGAAGGTTGAAAGACTGGCGTCCTGGACACTGCCCATGACTTGCATAGGCTCGAAGCGAGGCCGCCCGCCAAAGAAGACGGCGCAAACGCGTCCAGAATTTGTCATGTGGTTGAAAAGTGTTGTGCATTCCGAGGCACATAACCCATTAGTAATTAGGACGTGCTCGTGCCTCAAAAGGCTGGATGTTATTGACAGCACTACCATCAAAACCTCGAATGGCATTCTGTGAATCCGAATACGATGGTCTGTAGTTGAAGTGGCCCAAAAGCAAAGTAATATCTGTCTTGAATTAGGATGCCTCCATCAAGAACCTTTTCAACGGGCTGGACGCTTTGTCTTACGAGTAATACACCATGCCTTACCATTAAAAAGGCGAACGCAACTGGTCTTTTCCCGTCTTAATTCCGTAGGCCCAGTACCACGATACCCTACAGCGTTATGGCGGCGCATTCGGGCGGCGGAGCAAGGTACTATGCAACGAAACCAGATTTAAAAAGATTAAATATTCGAGTAATAAGCTTCGAACGAAAACTTTTCCTAATATCTTAGGTGCCCCATACTAGCCAACCACTACTTAAACTGACCAATAATCGCCACGCCTGAATTTGTAGTAGAGCGAAATGGAATCGCCATTGCATGTTAGCAGTACAACCCACAGACACGAAATTAATCATGAATATACCATACTGCGTCTCAGTTCTCCTCGAGTTCTGGCCTCCCGGGCGATGTACCCTCAGCTTCGGGTCGCCTTGTGGATATGCGACTGGCCGTCTTTGATCATGCGGAAAGGTACCACTGGCACCGGATAATACTGAAGTCAAGGGCCCTTGCTTCTCCAATGCAATGCCGGCAAAGCGCGCTCCATGAACAGCAGAGTCGAATAGATCCAGGAGTCCATCTGAAGCTTCCGCACAGCTCGCCGTGCGATTCTCAACGAAGGTATCTGACAAGGCAGCCTGCAGGAACTCCAAGAGGCTATCGTGTCCCACCATAGACGAATAGAATGCTGGTGTGTGGACGCGCAATTCAAAGCTAAAGCTCGGAGTCGGTGGTGTTGGTCGTAATACGTATTTGGCGACGTATCCGTCGCCAGAAGATTGGGCGTTCGTGACCATGTACTGCCTACTTGTACCACCAAGCCATGTCAGGTACTGCAGAAATACTCGAGATAATGTCCTGTCAGTGACAGCATAGCAGTTAGCCAATGCAAGGCAGCCAGTCGGTAGAGTCAGAGTAACGTACCTTTCGGCGTCAGTAGCCCCTCGTGGTACTGCCGTAATGCCAGGCTCGGGCCGATACCACATATCTAGCTTGCGAAGCCAGGACAGCTTGATAGCCTCTAGCACGATGCAGCAGTCTATGTATCCATGGTTAACACTAGATTTCAGTGAAGAGACTGTATGGAGAGAAAATACGTACAAGTCAGCCTACCCAGGACTGACCAGAGTATTATTATCTTAACCATTACTCCTATCGACGGGCGCTCCGGGTCGATCGCATGAGAGAAATCACACCAGGCCCTTGCGTACAACTTTGCATGTCTTTTGGAGGAATACAGAGTGACTCTGATATCTATGCAGCTAATTGGGTGTTCTTCCTCGTTCACGCTTCGTCGACGTCGCGACGAGAACGGGTTCATTGTTGAAACGACGTAGCTTCCCGGTCTTGAACTGAATGGTGAAACGTGGAAGTCCTTTGGGAATATTTCGGACCGAAACCAGTTGGCGCTTGTCTGGTCTTTGGACTCTCGATCGCATACTGTTGCGCGCTTCAGAACATAAATTCGTCTTTCGTTAAATGTGTTGTTGACTTCTGCGAGTACTGTTTCTAGCTTGCCAGTCATGGAATAAAGGTACCAGAACGAAGCTGGCGTGAAGTGATGGCCGAGCAGCCGAGGCGTCGTGACCAAATAGGCCTTCCCGTAATGCGACGGATCAATATGCTGGAAATCCTCAGTCTCCCCTTATGGCGGTGGAAGTTGTGCATACCTGGGATTATAGATACACATCTAACTTAGCCCGCAGTCCATTCGTGTTGTTGCCTTTCCCCAAGTGATCTGCGGCTTCAACGTGTAGCCATCCACGCTTGGAGGAACGCCCGGTGTCCACGGACACAATGGAGGACGTAGCATCTTCATGCGCTACAGAGACACCGACCATGGGAAAGGAGTAACGAAACAACTGTACACTTGGGAATTTACGAATGTGGAGGACGGAACCGAGAAGAATCGACGCTCGTTCGATAGATAGAACTTGATCGTAAGTTTGCTGAGTCTGGGCTGCCATGTTCACATTCAGAGAAAAGGTACGTGGGATCAACTTTGCGATGGTGTGCCAATTCTCAAGCTCATATTGATCTGCTTACTACAGGAGAACCGACATGGCAGTCCATCCTAATCAGCGAACAAAGCAGGCGCCCTCGGCCATAGTAAGCGACAGTCGCACGTCCAACAATTCAGGCAGACGACACGCAATACTGGCACATGTGATAGGCACACCCGAGGTCCGATGCAAACCAGTTGCCTGCCGCCGCGAGGTAAGCTTGGAAGGCAAATATGACGTGTAACCACACCTGTTCTTTCCCCGTGTTTGCCGCTTGGGGCCTAGCGCGCTGCCTACCGGCGGCGCGTCGTGGCGTGGGTCTCTATCTATTCTTTATGTCGCCGTCTCACCACCCCATATGGAATTGCAATAACTCACCTATCACAAGTGTTCCTCTCAGTCATGGCATCGGCGGCAAGGTTCAGTGACTATCCTGCATTCCCCGCCGGCGTGCCTTTCGCTCCCCTGCCTAGGATCTCTTTGCAGAAATTATTTGCAAACGATGCCGATGAGTCTAGGGCTCTGTTCCAAAGTTGTCGCTCGGTCGGCTTCTTTTTACTCGATCTATCTGGGCAAGAGGCGGGCGATGCGTTGACCCAAGACATCGACACGCTCTTAGAGCTAGCGCAACAAACCATGGAGCTCCCAGCAGAGGAGAAGATGAAGTACCACGCCAAGCCACCTCAGAGGTTATTTGGGTAAGCGAACTTGGGTGATCCTTGCAAGGGCGTATAGCTGACGCTCTCAAGATACAAAGCGCTCGGCTTTACAAAGACAGAGACAAAACAGCCTGACCGATGCGAATTCTTCATGCTTTCGCAGGACGAATTGACTGGCTTAGCGCCTGCACCTCAATATCCGCAGCCTGTCGCAACCGGATTGACAGCCTTTGGCTCATATCTTGCACACGCACGACCAATCGTCGAATTGATTTGCCGCGTGCTTGCCATGAATTTGGACCTGCCACCCTCCACATTCATGGAGAAGCAAAGCCCAACCTCCAAGTCTGGAACGCTAATTCGCCTCATAAAATACCCGGCTTCTGCAAGTGAAGTCGATCGACGGACATCCTTGGTGAATCATACAGACATGGGTACGATCACGCTTCTGGCAGGCGTCCTTGGAGGACTTCAAATACTTCGACCTCCGACCGAAAGCGGTGGAGATGAGGTCTGGGAGCATGTCAAGTCCGAGCCCAACTGTTTGATTGTCAATATGGGAGATGCGTTGGTGCAGTGGACTGGCGGCGTATTGCGATCCAATGTTCATCGCGTCACGTACCCTCCTGGGGAACAAGCAGCGTATGACAGATACAGCGTCGCATATCTGATCCGTGCATCAAGCGATTGTAAGATGGAGCGGCTTCAGGGGGGCCGCATTCCCGATAAAGAAGTAGACGGGAACTACGAGGATGATGACATACTTGCGGATGATTGGGAGCGAAAGAAGAACATGGCACTGATTTCGGGAAAGGACTGTGTGAAGAGCACAGGTGGAAACCCCATGAGAGGGGAGTGAGTGGATTATCTGCTAGCAGGTAGACAGTGTGGCGAAGTTGCCATGCTCAATTTGAGTCCCGACAAAGAATTTGCTAAAATAACTAATATTCACGTTGAAAAAATGCAAGTACCTGTAAAATGCCGCGAGCGAGTCAGTCGCGTTCATGCCCTTCGTACTTACTACCTTATTGTGCTTCCCCAATCTCCCACATTGGCCGGTGGTTATACTTGCCCTCCACAAGCGCATCTGACGTCCCTTCTAACACAATCCCGGGCACGTTTGGCAAAGACTCCCTCGGATCATCGTCCGGAGGCGGACGCGTAGAAAGCACCCAAACTCTGTCGTGACACCTCTCTCGGCGAGGGTTTCTAGAAGTTGACACGTGCTAGGACTACCCATCGTTTGCTTGACACGCTATGGCACACTTTGCGCTGGCGGGCCACCCCGAACGGCTCGAACTCCTACGTAGAAGCCTTCACGAACAAGATTCCTCCACATCAACATCTGCATCTAAACACAAAAGTCGAGTCTATGGAAAGTCGACGGAACGGCGTGTAAAAATCGTCACGAGAGACGATGGTGTTACTGAATTTGATCATGTAGTTTTGGCGGTTCATGCACCACAAGCTCTCCAAATTCTTGGTGGTGATGCGACCCATCTGGAGAGAACACTCTTGGGCGCCTTCAAGACAAGCAAGAACATTTGTGTGTTGCATTCCGATGAGTCAGTGCGTACCCATAATATGCGCGTTATTTTGAATCTACTGAATGAATGTGCAGCTACTCCCGCAAACGCTTAGTGCAAGATCGCCTTGGAACTGCTTATTGGAGGAGTCGGTTTACACCTTAGGTTAAAAGCGGAGTAAGAATCCTTTTGAGCGAGCGCCCGAGGTTGGTAACAAGATCGCGATCGCCTTCTACATGAACCGACTGCAAGGTTTTAGTCTTGCAGAAAATTCGGGGAAACTAGGAAATGTTTTGGTGACTATGAACCCTCCACGGCCCATCTCATCGCCAAAGGCCGTCTGTGAGTTTTTCCATCCACTCTTTTCGTCCGATAGCGTAAAAGCATCAAAATAACTGTGGCGTATCAGCGGGGTAAACAGCACATCTTTTGCGGGAGCATGGATGGGATACGGATTTCATGAAGACGGCTTCACAGCGGGAAAATCAGTGGCAAATGGGTTACTACGAAGAGATGGCTATCTGGTCGACGAGAACGATACTGAGGTGACGACACTGGTCGGAAGAACTCAACCTCGTAATCGGTTTATTGTGGGTATGATCCAGATAGTTCAGTTCTACATAGACGTTGTGACTTTCCTCGAGGGCGGCGTAGAGTAGAATATCTAGGGTGGAATGAGACATAGCATGTGAAATTATAGATTTGCCCGTCGATGATTAGCTGACGATGATTAGCTGACGATGAACCAATATTTCCTAGGTCACATGCGCCATGCACTAGCGCTTGTGTAATGCCGCGTACGCCGAGCCGCGGTGACCCAGATTCACCTGTCAACAAATATATGGATGTACCCCACAAAATCAAACATCTCTCACCCACCACGCTCCAGACATAGCGACCATGTCCACTGTCGAGGAACAACGAAAGATCATACGAGCTACATGTCAAGCGTATCTGTCCCTCCCTTTAGTGCCAATTTCGCAACAGCAAGCGCAGTCGTCAGGAAAGCGACCCGCCAAGGGTAGTGTATCAGTCGACCAAGCCACGTTTGCTGCGCCGCCTGAAACGGACCTCAAAGATGCCCTGTTTGACGTCATTGAGCAGCTGAAGGGTCCAGAGCATGAGTTCATGTCATCTGCCGAGCTTTCACAAGTCGATACCGGTGTTGAATTCGTTCGTGCGGATAAGAAGAGCAACTGCGTCAATAACGATGCAGTCATTCTGTACATGCACGGAGGAGGACTCTTGTGTGTGCATTCCTTTAGCGTCCCTCTCCCAGCTTGCTGACGGTTGAGCAGCTTTTCTTGTCCAGCCGAGTACCGTGCCGCAACTGTTCGTCTAGCTCGCCTGACGGGCGCCGTTGTAGCCAGCACCTCATATCGACTTTGTCCCCAGAACACGTTTCCCGCACCCATTTTAGACGTTCTACTGGCCTACGCCTCTCTACTAAGTCCGCCCCCTGCGGCCACAGCCACGAAGGGATTTCCTGCAGCGACTCAGGCGTCGAAGATTGTGCTAGCAGGCAACAGTGCAGGCGTTAACCTCGCATTCGGCCTGACCAAGTTTCTGTTGGAGTTCAACAAACGTGCGGATCCTACCATATGTTTTCATGGACGACGTATCCATTTGCCTATTCCAGCTGGAATAGTCATTGCATCGGGCTGGTGCGACCAGACCGATTGCCTACCTTCCTGGCTGAATCCGAACGCGACCGATATTTTGACCTCCTTACAACCAGCCTTATGGTCAAACTTCCCTTCTGACAGCATTTGGCCGAGTAAGCCACCGCGGGAACATCCGTATGCACGAGCAATGAGCCTTGACCATGAATTCATCAGCCCAGCTGCTGTGCGTGATTGAACAGGGGCACCCCCAATGTGGTTTGCCGTAGGCGAACTTGAAAGGGGCCGAGACGGTAATGCCGTCGTGGCATCACGGGCAGCGAGCTGCGGCGTTCATGTCACATGGACCGAGTGGCAAGGTATGTGTCACGAATACATGATTGTGACTCGTGGACTTCCGCAGGCATCAAAGACATTCAGCCTGTGGGCAGAGGCTTGCATGCGATTTGTGTCACCAGACAAGGCAGAGCACGTTGCCAGCCAGGCAGTCATGTACGGTATGCCGGATTGTAAGGCAACCGAAATCGAAGGAGGGCTGGGAGGCCTTGTGCCTTTGCCTTTCGAGAGCATTCGACAATTGATGCGAATCAGGAATAAGCAAAGACCGGTATGGACAGGATGCAATTCCAAGAAGGTTCCAAAAGATACACGCCTCTAGCGACCAAGGTTAGTTCTCTTCTCGCAACCAAACTAGTCTTGCGACAAAGGATCTGACCAACAGTCTAAATGCAGTGAAAGTACTCATAGGATGATCTAAGGTAGGACGGGCTTAGATAACTTTGAATGGGGACGAATCAATAAACGTATGGACTTACGGGAAACAACAATAAGCGTTGCATCAGAGACTATCACTAAAGCTCGGCTCGCTATCCTCCTACCCCCACACCTGCTGCATTTGAAGCTACAGAGTGGCAAAATTAGATTATGTCTACATCCTCAGCCAACAAAGCGCTCATCTCCATTCGACGACATGTGTGTTCACAGCACCATTGCCTTACCACCGGAGACATATATATTACCCAAATCAAACTTCCCAGGAATGTCCGTATGCAGCAATCATCACTCCTGCTGTGGTCCGTCTTCGTTACAAAAGACCCCATAGGTCGTCTGGTCTCAGTAACCCCTGTCGCTAACACACTCACAATTGAGCTATGAGTCGAGCTTTTCCTGACACCATACGCACCCTGTCTATGTCTTAGAAATGGCCCGCCATCGCGGTACGCTATATGCCGGATATATGAAAGCTGGGCGTGGGAACGGGTGAGATTTCGACTGGGTATATCTTGGCAACGGTCCGCCGTTAGGGTACGCCACCACATGCAAATTAGATTATAGCCGGACGCGGATACGGGCGCATTCTCGAATCCGGCAGCTGAATTGGCAGCGTCAACTCTCAAGTATCACTTGTATCTATTGCGTATCCTATCATGCCCCAGGTTGCGGCATGACACCTGGGCATGCTTGCGAAAGTAATGTCGTCATCATCAAGCTGAACAGCATTTGGTCCGCTCAGATTCGGGTTTACGGTTGTTCAGCATTCCCTCTGTTCAAGGTCAACGCTTACAACTCTTCCAGTATTTCTTGCTCCAAACCGTGCCTACTTTCTGATAGCATCTGAGTAACATAACATATCTACCAAAGAGACATATTCTCGGGATGTCGCATCAGACATCCACACGACAATGCTGGACTATCTGTCCGGTTGGAGACTTCACGCTGTGACATTCGCGTAGGTCTTTTCAGCGCAACAACTAGGCAGACATTTTCATGACTTCAATTCAGAGTATGTTGCAGTCTCTTCATGGCGTCAATGGAAGTCTCCATCGTCAGTACTGCTCTCGTCTCGATCAGCAATGACTTGAGGAACTTCACGGACATTGGATGGGTGGTCACGGCGTACTTGCTCACCTACGCGGGTATGCCTATATGTTCGTTGCCGCCGCAGGAGCTTACACACGGTGGCCAGGCTTTCTCGTCATATGGGCACGGCTGAGTGACCTCATAGGCCGTAAAAGCTGCCTCACCGCTGCATTTGCAATCTTCACCATATTCTCTGGAGGATGCGGTGCAGCCAAAACTAGCGTTCAGCTGTAGATCTCCAGATCTATATGCATAGGCATGCCTAGGTAGCTGATATTCAACAACAGCATAACGCTGCGCGCCTTTCAAGGATTGGGTGGCTCCGGAATGACAGCCATTGCATTATCGATTATCGTCGAGATGGTTCCCCCGCATAGATACGAGACGTACTCAAGCATAACCGCTATGTCCTTTGCGTTCTCGTATCTTCTCGGGCCATTGATCGGCGCCGCAATCAACGACAGGACTACATGGAGATGGATCTTTTGGATCAAGTATGAAGGTCTCTAACATAAACTCTCTCATCAATTGCCACTAACAATATACCGTGTTTAGTGTACCTGCTGGCGTTGCGACTATGCTTCTGCTTCAACTTAGCATGCCAACAAACTTTCCACGCCACCTCCTCCCGGCTCCCACGGTGCCATTATACTCACTCAAAACATTCCGGCGCCTAGATATTGTAGGGTGCTTTCTTCTCTTTGGATCCTCCGCACTCTTGGTCGCCTGTTTTGAGGAAGCAGGTCTTCACTACCGATGGTCCTCCGCCTTGGTCATCGTCTTACTCGCACTATGCGCCATCTTATGGCTAGCCTTCGCCGCTTGGGAGTATTTCATTACAAGGCAGCAAGAGTCCGCCCTAGAGCCAGATTCATGCGTGAGAATCTTCCACAGCAGTCTGCAAGATGCGGTACCTGCAGCGTTGGCTGCCGCAGAGTCAGAATCCGGCATGGAACCAGTGTTGCCGTGGAGATTTGCGCGCAACCGTATCTTCCTTGCCATGCTCCTGTAATTCTATGGCGCGTTAATCCTCTTACACCATACTTACTCCCGCTAAGGTGTGCCTTCGCGGCCGGTACGCCTTTCACGGTATCCATCTTTTCGATTCCGCAACGACTACAGATTGTTAATTCGCTCTCCGCGTTCGATGCTAGTGTGCGTCTATTACCATTCACTCCTTGAATGCCGGTTGGTTCTATTGCGCAAAGCACTCTAGCGAAGCGAGGTGTGCCCTGTGTGTATCTTCTCATGGCCGGCGGTATCTTTCAGGTAGCGGGAGCCAGTGCGCAACTGGGACTAAGCAGCGATATTACCGCCTCCATGTACGCCGAGCAAATAATAACTGGTATTGGGGTTGGGATAAACCTGGGCATACTCATCCTCTGGACCCCGTTCCAAGCCAAGGGGGCAGATACCTGTAAGTGTCCTTCACCAGCATGCAAGGGAAGACACTAAAACTTTTGATGAAGTTATTGGTATGGCAGCGATTACGCAGATTCGTGCGCTTGGTGGCGTAGTTGGCATTGCAATTGTGACCAACATCCTCAATTCTCATGTGCGACACGTTCTAAATGGAGTGTCTCTACCACCTAGAGCTCTAGATGCGCTCTTGAAATCACCATATACAATCACTGACCTGCCTATACCGACCCAGCAGGTTGTTCGAGAGGTATTTTCGGATGGCTATAGGCGACAGCTGTGAGCAGTTCTTGCGTTATCAATCGTCCAGTTCATGTGTGTCGGCGCCATGTGGGAAAGTAAGCCTAAGAAAGTTGTATAGAAAATAGAAATACCGTAGCGCCCTACGGGCTGTTCGAGCGAATGTTCTATTCAGTTCATCTGTCCATTTAGGCTTGTACAATGGATCTGGTAGTTAAGCCAACGCTTCCGGTGTATTGGTTGAACCTGGTACATAAAATAATGAATTAGAAAATGATATTCCAGATAACTAGCCACTACCAACACAACTGCATGTGAGCTTATGAAACTCATCTGATGGAACGGATCCTGTGTCGGAACATTGGGGATCGCAAGCTCCGGAGTCCGGACAAAACAGTGCTGACCCGGAGCAAGTTGTAGCCGAGCCTGTGGAAGTACCGTCACGTGAGCGAAGCTTTACCTAGGTAGCACTTGTCGCACAGAGTCATATTCAAGTCTGACGTAAGTAAGCGTAAATCTTATCAAAAAACGCAATCAGTATGAACTATAGCGTCACATGAACCGAGATAAGTTGAGCGTGGAGTCAGAATTCTGTGTTCGACGTTGCATTATATAATCAATGGAACACCTGCTGTTGCCTGGCCATTCTGCAGCAAGTTGATCAACGTCATACCCGCACCTCGGCCTAACCACGAAGAAAGCAGCGCATATTGACCACTCCTGGCTGTGGCCTATTGCTATAATGGCTCCTTCTCACAGCGATTTGAAACAGCTTGCCACAGCTGTGGACGACTTCATATCCTTCGGCTTTGCCCTCATACGCGATATCCACGGCTTAAAAGGTGCCGAAGGTACCAGCTCAACGCAAAATACGTGGCTAGAGGATTCCAGGTCTTACTACAAGCGTTTAGGAACCAGGGGCCCAGCAAAGGCCGGTCACGAACCTAACGCCACAGAGGTCAAGCTTCAGCAGCAAGCCAACGCATGTCAAGAGCTAGCCGATAGTCTAATTAACCTGCTTGAGGGGACTTCAAGTGTCCCAGAACTAGAAAAGATCATAGATCTTCTTCGCAAAGCTCTTCCAGAGATTGAAGACGAGATGTTTGAGATATTGGAGGCTTTAAATGACGGATCCAAGGAGTTGGGGCTCTCCTTGGAAGCATCAAGTCTTCATGATAAAGTCAAGACATCTGGATTTGGTCAAGCGATGCGAAAGCCTCAAGAAGCTCCGCCACCAATGCCCCTGCTTCAACCCTCCGACAAATCCACATTTGGCTCATCTTCAATAGAGCAAATTAAGAATTCAAGATCTACCAGGCCGACATCCCAGTTCTCAGCAGTGGACATGTTTACGTCTTCGAAGCCGAAGAAAGCAATATCTCCTCCCACTCTTTTGTCAGAGCATGACCAGGTTCTGGCGACTCTAAAGAACAAGGATCGAGCCCATCTGGTGCATGAGTACTTGCTCGAGTCTCTCTCATATTCCTCCATGAAGGATAGAGAAGAGGACGTGGAGCAGGCACACGCACATACCTTTTCCTGGATATTTGAACCTTCGACACGCTCATCCCCATCCTTAACTGATAAAGATGAACAGCCCATGCATGAGTCCAACGATTTCCTTTCCTGGCTCTCGACAGACAAGCTAGGGGGCGCATACTGGGTCAGCGGAAAGCCTGGAAGCGGAAAGAGCACGTTTATGCGTTATTTGTACTCGCACCCCGCCACCTTGGACCACCTAAAGACTTGGGCTGGTGGAACCCCACTGACGATTGCGAGTTTCTTCTTTTGGACGAGTGGGAGCTACGACCAACGATCGCAGGCGGGACTAATACGGTACTTGCTGTATCAAATCTTGGAACAGCATCCAGAGCTTACCGCGTGGACTTTCCCCAAATGGTGGCTTAGGAGCCAGGACGCCAAAGCCAGAGTGAAGACACCGATTAAGTGGACAGTAGATGATTTGATGAATGGGCTCAGTGTATGTGTGGAACGAGTGGTAAAGACTACGAAATTGTGTCTATTTGTCGATGGCCTCGATGAATTCGATGGCCAACCTGAAGAGGTGGTAAAGCTTTTCAAAGAGCTTGTAGTAGATTTCAGGGGGAGGATAAAGGTGTGTCTGAGTAGTAGGCCGTGGGGGGTATTCGAAGATGCATTCCGGGGGATTCCACAGTTCCGCCTGCACGATTTGACGAGTGCCGGAATGCATCGGTATGTGAGCGATAAGCTCAATGGGCAGCTTCGCATCCGTCAGAGCATGCAACAAGACCCCAAGACGGGGCGAGAGCTGCAAACTGAGATAGTAAGAAGAGCCGACGGGGTGTTTCTGTGGACTACATTGGCAGTGCGAAGGCTTATCGAAAGCGAAGATGCTAGCGTGGACGGGCTGAAGGCTTGCTTGGACACGCTACCAACCGATTTAGATGATCTCTTCCACTTCCTTCTCTTTCAGTCGCGGTCATCCAAAGAGCTAGAGGAGCAATCGCGCATATTCAATATCATATGCGCGAAAGAGGCCGTATGCGATTTCACGAGAGACGAGAGCGCACGTTCGATGACGGCGTACCAACTCCGCCTCGCGTTCTGGGGGAACGATACATCTTTACAAGGAACAATCCGGCAGGTTACCGAGATCGACGCCATGGAATCATACGAAGCCTGCAAATCCCAGCTTAGCTCTCTATGCGCAGATCTGCTCGTACTCCACAGCCGCGATCCCATCAAGGCGCGATACTCTCGATTGAGCTCCAGCAGATCCACCGATAGGGATCCACGAATTCTTGCGGAGAGCAGGATCGCGTACTTGCATCGCACAGTGCGGGACTTCTTGCTGATACCTGAGGTGTGGGAAGGTATCCGGGCACGCTCGGAAAAGGACTTTGATTCACACATAGACCTACTACGCTCTCACGCCCTCCAGCTCCGAGTGCCCCTCGAAGAGCCCAGTAAGCACCGGCGGCTTGACGACTGGTGGCCCGACATCGTACTTGCTCTGACGCATGCGCGCTTCTCGCATCCAAGACACTGCACCACACAGATCAGATTACTAGATGAGCTGAACACCACGCTAAACTGGTACTGGGCCACAAAAGAATCTGATCCGCTCGACAATTGGGCACGCAACGCATTCGGATCATACGAGGAGAGAATGAAGCGGAAGACGCCCTATCACTATCCTTTTCTCTCACTGTGCGCAAAATTCGGGTTGGACAGCTATCTGAACGCAAAGCTAAGTACAGGCAAATATGGGTATCAGGGCGGCATTCCACTGTTGAGCCACGCAATTGAATTTCTGTTCAATCGGCGGAAGACGGTATACCCACTTACGGACCCGATCGTAATTGAGTCGCTCCTAGCCAACGGGGAGGACCCGAATCAGCTGTATCAGGACCTGTCTGGGAAGAAAAAGACGCCTTGGTTGTTGGCGTTGCAGTATTCGCGAGAGGCGGACCGCAGGAAATGGATCAAGATGCACGACACAGACGAAACTGGTACGAAAAGATGGGTCAAGGTTTTGATCATGTTCATCGAGCATGGTGCTGATCCGAATGCACTCCTAATAGCAGATGGGATGGATCCTGCAGCTACAGCACTTGACGTTGCGACGATACTACAAGAGAAATATCAGACAGAAGGTCTCTCAGATCTGCACCGGCTTCTTCTAGCGCGGGGCGCTGAGCTAGAGGACAATTAAGAACGTGACTTAAGTAAAACAGTGGAAGAAGTTAAGCACATGCCCCTCGAAAGTAATGGTTAGGGGTACAGTAGGGAACACATCTCCTGGCGGTATTTCACTTACAATCCAGACCGTTATGCCAGCTTTTATCTTCCTGACTCGTGTTCGCGGCCTTCTCTTCGATTTGTATTACTCTTTGCATCATTGCAAGTGATCTCGATACGACGCCGAGTTCTGCCTGGTCTCCCGTAATTTCATTGCAATCGCTTCACCTGGTTGACGCTTTAAACCGTAATTGGCGAGGTGGTAGTGGCATCTCTGTTAGGCGAGCTGTTTATCTTGTTTCAGCCGCACGACACAGCGCTGATGACCGAAAGCTTCATCTTGGCAGCACTACCGAGCGTACGGATACTCGCACTGCCGACGGCTAGATCTACAAGTGGTACAAAACTTGGTAACAGACCGCATGTGAGTGGACGGTTTTGAAAGGATCGTCCGTGGCCCTTGTGCTTTGCTCGCTCACCCCTGTCTAGCTTCCGCGGAAGAACTTTTCTGCGGCAGGAACCCTGTCCTGCCGCTGTCACGATCGGGTATCGCCATGACAAAAGAAGAACGTCCGCGCATCGCTAATTATGGATGTGAAAAAGCTTGGTAACGCGATCGTGGTCTGTCCCCGCTAGCAGTGATCAGCGAATCTTGATTGGTACTACGGCATTGCGAAAACTCCATGCTTCCAGCCGCTGACGGATGAACGACAGATAACGGACGCCTGCCGAGGTATGGATCCAAAAGGGCGACGCGGTTCTCCGAATTGCATCATTGCTATGGCCAATTTCCACTGAGCCATTTCAAGCTTGGATCTAATTCTCATGTGGACATTTATAAGACAGGACAGCTTACCAGAGAACAATTGCAGCATCAGTTGTATCACTTCATTGTATACCCACCGCAATGCGCTTCACCTTCGCATACGTTGCCGTCCTGGCATCCTCTGCATGCGCTTTCCCATGGTTGAGACCCGAGGGTATGGAAGCCTTACTCAATCACCCAGAGGCCCAAGCAGAGATCAGAAGGAGGCTCGTTGAACACGAAGCAATACACACGAACAAGCAGGAAGCTCGGCAATTGAACACCGGACTAGTTGGGGGGGTTGGTCACCTTGCTTGATGGGACACTGAATGCAGTGCTTGACAATGTCCTGGGCTTGATTCCTACGAATGATGCCGTGAACGGACTAAAGAAGTTTCCTGAAGGCACGTTGACCCTATTCTTTATTATGTGAAGCACGCCACTGACAGCGACCAGCAAAGTACCCGTTCAAGGCACCAGGGTCAACGGACCAGCGTGGTCCTTGCCCCGGCCTAAACACACTAGCTAACCATGGCTGTGAGTAATATCGAAACTTGATACGATCGCAACCTATTAACACCTTCAAGATATTCCACGTAATGGTATCGCAACAATCGGCCAAATTAATGCCGCCACGGCGGCCGTTTTCAATATGGGCGCCGATCTGTCCAGCCTCCTCGCAACCGGCGGTGCCCTCGACGGCGGCGACATTATATCCCAGAAGATGAGCATTGGAGGCCCGGATGATCGAGTGGGTGTCCTCAATGGCGCACTGAATAAGTTGCTCGGTACGCCATCGGGCATTGCAGGTCACGGCAAATTCAATGAGGGCGATGCTTCTGCCACACGCGAAGACTTCTATCTGAATGGCGACAACATTTCCTTCAAGCCAGAGCTCTTTAAACAAATGCACCAGCAGGCTATCGCAAAGGGCAACGGTACCTACAGCGTTGATGCGATAAAGGAACACTTCAAGAACCGTTACGCTGCATCCAAGGCTGCCAACAAGCAATTCTACTTCAACCTGCCCTCCTCTGCCGTGGTCATGGGCGCGTACTACTTTATCCCAGGCTTTTTCTCCAACGGCACCATCGGCGCTGGTGGAGTCGCGAATGAGGCTTCTATCACAAGCTTCTACGGTGCGAAGCCAACTAGGCAGGGTGCATGGAAAGACCCAGAGCTGACCTATACACACGTCCCGGAGCGCATTCCAGAGCAAGGTTGGTACCGTCGTGCGACTCCCATGACCGTTGTCGAAGCCGTCGGGGGGCATTCTCGACGTCTATCTCTACGCAAAGCCTGCGATGGGCGGCTCCGGTGCCGACCAATCCTGGGTTCTTGGTCCGCTCGATATCCCGAATAATCCTCAAGCTCTCAGCTGCTTTTTGTACAACGCCATCTATGCTAACTTTCCATCCGAATTGTTTAATTCGGTTGTTCTGTTGCAATCGGTCGTTAACTCTTTGAGCGGCTTGCTTGGACCTGGGTATAAGGCTTTGGGATGCACCATCAACTTTCCGGATGCAACTGGTACAGGGGCCACTCGGTACGATGCTTGGTCGAAGACGTACGTTGGGGACGCAAAGTATAAAGCAACTGGAAGCGGTTGGTATAAGAAGTAGTGACTATATGGAATTACGATTTGGCTATAAGCGATACAGGGCATTACATTTAATTAATACTATATGAATCAAAATATAAGCATTCGATATATCGGTGGCGCTGTCATACGACCTCCGCTAAACATAAAGAAATCGCCCCATCCACCTACGTAGTTGCAGCCACATCGTATTATTCGCCTCAAAACGATCTGGTTACATAACAGTCCGATTGGGATCGCTGTGTAAGCGGAGGAAAGACTTCTATAGTTCTCAATGCTATCGACACCTAGCTAGGTGCGATTTCGGACGTTTGAGATAGCCGTCCGCCAGCAACGCGACTGGATCGACATCAAAGTTCACATCCGCATGGTGCGCGCCAAATCTTTCCTTGCATCATACCCATGACCGATGCGACTGCAATGTTCTCAAGGTCGCACAGCAGCTTTCCTACTTGAAAAGTCTGGCAACCCCCACCGGGTTCTCTCATCACGATTAACGCAGCATCACTCACCATTGAGCCCAACCACATCTACACACTGCCAGCTCTCCCGCATTCATGCCGCCCAAACGAAAGCGCAGCAACGCTCGCGCAAGGCGTTTCCCATCGCTCGAGCGCCCCTCTGCTCAAACCTCTGCCTGTTCAGACTGTCCCCGCACAGATATACAGACGCCCCAGTCTACGCTTTCAGGCGACAGTAAATTTGGCTCTTGACGGCGGATAACCTCCCCTAACTCCAAAACGCCTTCTTCACCGCTAGAACATCTACCATTTCAGGTCCTGATGCTCTCAACCGAAACGAGCGACCATTTCGCTCTAATGTCTACAAAACATGTGAAGCTGCGTAGACTAGCTTTGACGGGGAACTGGTCGATCGGACCACGACGCGCCCTCAGGCTATTGAAAAGCTCATCAGTCGTCCCAAAGGTGAACCCAGAGGCGAGGAGCGCTTCGTCCTCAACCGCACGGCACATGGTAAACAATTCTCGCCTGGCCAGCGAGGAATTGAAGAAGACTCGAAGAATATACTTGGAGAAGAGTTATCAACGCAACGTGCATGCAGACCTAACTAAATAAGCGCGGACCTGCAAGTTCCACATTATATGCATGATCGGGCCTTAAGTATGAGTATGTTAGTCGCTTGAAGATAAGCATTGAACTAGCTGAAGGCTCCAACGAAAAGAGTTCTGGTTCATGACCACATCATGTATTTTCCATGTGATCATTCCAACCTCATATAACTACGTTCTCACTCCTTCGCGACAGCAAGGGCGACCTTTCAGGTGGATCTCCGCGTTCTATACTCCCTTGACACACATCCTCGTCCGTTTCGGACGCCCACTTCCGCACAAAGTACGAAGTAGCAAGGGCTGGATAAAAGGATACACTGTCCACCATTAGCTGGAACCCTTTCCGACCTCTCAGACACTTGCAATAACACTGTTCCCGCCACCACTGCCCTCATAACCCTCTGGCTCGCATGGCAAGGATGCCGATAGGTGTGGTCTTTGTAGTTCCAGCATGAGTCCAGCCAAGGTACGGATTCAAAGTCGAGAACGAGCCAGAGCCACAGTGCCGTAGCCAGTACGAATTTAGCAGCCTCGAAACGCATATGCTCGCGTGGAAATATCATAGATGATCGCTGTACTAAGACTACCAAGACGATGCATGCTGCCATAAAGGCAGTGCAATTGTCGCGTCTGTCACCGTCAAAGAAGGTTGATGGCGGGGAGGTAGGGAAACGTACCCGAAATGTCTGACGGTCCCTTTCAACGAGAGGAATACCATCGCACTCTTGTAAACTTCGGTGCAGAAGAAGAGGCAGAGGGGGAGCGCAATAACAACCTGCCAGATGCATGCGACACGCAGCAATTGCTGGCCCAGTAGGAGCCGGTGAGATTCAGGCATTCTTGAGACGCAACCTGTGTTAGACTGATCGGAAGATTTTCTTCTGTCCTGGATGCTTATTTGGAGATGGTGATGTAGATGGTCAGTGTTGCTGCCTAGAGGGACAACAGGGGACAGGCGCTAGTTAGTCAGCAATGATCAACTACCAACAAGTCACGCACTACGCATGGGTTCATGGCGACGAAGTTGAGCCGGATCCCCAGCAAATGGCGACGACTAGAATGAGCCAGTGCTCTTACTATATCTCGAGAGTTTTGATATGGAAGCTCTGCCACATCACTCTTGAACTTTCGAGTTTGGCCAACTCGATTGGTCTCTGCATGCGCGAACCCCAGGCGCCGATCCTTAAGCGAATCCAGTTCCAATGGAAGCGTTCCTCGTCCGTCGATGCTTCCGAACTCTGCCTCCACGGGGACCGTCGCACGCAAGCTCGAGCTACCTAACAACCAGGCCGCACGCTTTTCTACGATCGAAAGACGGCCCTCCTGGGCCTATACCTCTCCGTTCTGTGCTCCGTGCTGTAAGCGGAGGTTGAGACGAAGCAGGGGGTTCGTAGCAAGTCTATGGCGAGTGGGATGCAGCGATGCAAAGACCCGACGACTTCGACAAGTAAATACATGAAGATGGGGGAGATTGCGGAGTGAAGCTGACAAGCACTACCGCGCTCGGACCGGCTCTGGAAACGCGCCCGCTTGTGCGAGAAGACAGTTTTGAAGAGTTATCCAGTCTTGGCGGACCACTCCAGATATTTGGTTTTTGCCGACTTTATGTTCGGGACGATGAAGATTAATTTGTAACTAAGAGAGCGCTATATAATAAAAACAGGTAGAAGGGACATCTTTCTAGGTGTCACTCTAAATCAAGGATGAGACAAGGCTGCAGTCAAGTGCGCATGCATATGGTTGTCTTCTGCAATTTCATGTCGACGTCATATAACCCTTCAAAAACCCTGTCAGCTGCTTCGTTGATCGCCTGCGACATTTTCCTGTGATTGTCATCAACCGCGTTGTCGTAAACGCTTTTGAATTCGGTCTCGCTGAACCCTGAGAGTCCAGCCGAATTCCCTGCCTTCAATGTCTCATCGTATAAGATGAATTTCCCTTCTTCTGACATGCCCGGGTCACTATGGAACAACTCCGTCAGTAATCAACAGTTCAACTGTAGCAATTGGATTATCCACTCACGATCTCTCATTGATTGATGCAATTGAAATGTCCTTCCACCTTTTTTGCAAGGCTGCAATTGCTGTTTCAGAGGATGCTAGGTTTCGGTGGAATTCGACTCGCTGAGCAGCAAGGCGAGCGTTGTCTGCCAAGGCGGCGATGTTCTCTCTCTTATCGGAACCCTCCTTCGAGGCTTTCAGTTGGTCTCTCATGAACGCTCCGACTCGAGGCCAGAGATCTGCGACGTCGCTGCTCTTGGAAAGATGTTAGTCCGAGTAAGGGTGCGGCGTATCGAGAGACTCAACACGCCAGGGTGGTTGACGAACGTACTTGGGTATTCATTATTCTCCTCGTAATATATTGTCCCGTCGCACCTGCTGAGTTTAATGCCTGTTACTGTCTGCTTAGCAAGTAGATTCGTTATACGGAGGGTAATCGGAAAGAAAGCTCGTACTCTAGCCCATTTGTCCAGGTCATTGATGTCAGGGTCAGTGACGACTTTAGTCGTTCCAAGCTTTTTATCAGTGATGTAGTCGCATAGTTCGTTGAAGTTGCACCTTCGTTTCTGCTGGGACCACTTTTGGCATGCGGGGGCAATGGTGTCGCCTTCGGATAAACCGTCGATCTGGTAGGCGTACCAGAACAAAAAGCGCTCGTACCCCCCAGGAATGCTATAAGCAGAGACATGGGCTGCTAGGCCAACAACGAGCAACCAGCAGAACTTCATCGTTAGAGCTTCGGGCGGACGACCACATACGAAGCAATGCTGGGGGTCGAAGTACCATTTTAACACGAGTCCAAAATTCTTTAGCATCAGCCATGTTCACAATAATTGAGATTACTCAATAGCATGCTTACATCCATCTGTGCCTTGGGAAGGATCGAGTAAGGGAGGCGGGCCACCAGCACAGGAGATTGCTCTGTTCTGGGGCGAAGTAGCACAGTCCCCAGCACTATCTTCTCAAATGGGGTTCATTGATCCTTTGAGAACATCTAGATTCATGGAGAATTCAACTATGGCGGTGCGATCTCTTGGCATGATTGAAATGGGTGGGCGCATGTGTCTCGAGCGGTGCTAGTATCAAGCCCGGGACTGAGTAAAAGCCGGCTCAGTCGTGCGAATGATATCTCTGCGCATCTTCTGACCTCCTAGGGACGGATGAGTTTCCTGCGATAGCATCTCGCTTAGGAGTTCTCGAGCCGCCATTTCCAAAAATACGAGGTGGCATGCTGCTTCGAAGAGGGCTCGAGCCATCTTCTGGCGGAGACAGCCTCCCATCACACCCTGGGATTAGCTTTTAAGTGACCCATGCGCTCCTTCTAAATAGCAGTGTGATCCTACCTGATCTCAGTTCCCACGTGCACAATTACCACCCTTGGAATATCACGTAAGACGTCAGGTATTTTGTGTATCATAGTCAGCCCTATAATCAGGGCGAATGACGAGCTAGCTGCTTTTAGTATAGCAGACGACCTCGTACATCTCGCGCGGTAGAAGTTTTTGTCGACATCTTTCTGCTTTGCCGCCAATCTCGCAAGCTTGCCCAGATTCCGACTCGTCGAAAAAGATCTCGTCTGAGACTTACGCCCGAGGACCCAGCTGTACAACTCTCTCGCGCGAATCCGGGGTGCAATCGTTTGCATCACAAAGCTAGGGCCTGTTGGGGGAAGGTGTGTTTTACTCTAGGTCCAAATAGGCAGCTCCACCTCCCTAAACAACCGATAAGTCCTACACCTCACGTTTATCAGGGTCTACGCAACCCACAAGACTATACCCAATATTGTATGCCAAGCACAATCTGGGCTATGGCGGGACCTTTAGCAAGGATGCTTAGTTAGACTTCTTGTAGCGGAAGACCTATTTTCTGGCCCCCATCGACACGCGAGGCGGAGCATGAAGCATTTCAAGCTAGCTCCTACCATACCAAGCATTCCGCGATCGAAATCAGATCAAGCATTTGCGACATGCATCCTCAAGGATCGTTCTGGATCTTACACGAAGTTGCTCGCATCCGTGCTTCGATGGTCCGATGGGCGGGACAGTGTCGAAAGGTAGCAACTGCGAGAAGTGATCAGTAAGTGATACCTTTAATATCTGCTCCAGACGGTCTCCAGCTACTCTCTCAAGTACTTCAAGTTCCTGTTCATTGGCAAGTGCAGTCTGACGCACTCTCTCTTCCTCTATTTTGAGAAGAGTTGCATCAGCCATGGCGCCGTACATTCGAGCCATCGCGGCTCTTTCGCTCGTTTCTTCCTTCGTCATCCATACTGTCACTGCCGAGGGCAACTCTTCTTCCATTGTCTCTGCTGTCACCGGTGTGGGAAACTCTTCTTCCATTCTATCTTCTTTCGCTACTGTGGGCAACTATTCCGACGATGTCATCTCAGTCGACACGGCGTGGGACAACTACTTCCCGCCGTACGAGGGGACCTCAGACCCTGTCTTGAACGATTTCTACGATAATTCCACCATTGGGTTGGATCTGACGAACACCACTGCGTTCTGGAGCCAGCCAGAGATGTCGTTAATGGCTGCGAAGGACTTCTACTTGAGAATCATGCCGCTTGGTGCCTCGATCACGGAAGGCGTGCGCAGCAGTGATGGTAACGGATATCGCAAGTACATCCGCGACCAGTTGCGTTGGAAAGGCTGGAGGGTGAATATGGTCGGTTCTAAGCAGAACGGCAACATGGCCGACAAAGACAACGAAGGTATGACAGACTATCGAAAAACGTCCAGGAAATAAATGTTGATCAACCCCTTCAGGCCATTCAGGGTGGATCATCACGCAAATTCATGAGGCCTATCAAAAGGTGCAGGCGATGCAGCCTAATCTTGTTCTCATTAACGCTGGAACGAACGACTGCGGCCAGAATGTCGACACTGGGAACGCGGGAGCGCGACTCAAAGTCATGGTCGACGATATTGTGAAGACCGCTCCGGGCGCTGTCGTTGTAGTATCTACCCTCGTGCCGTCCAGAGACCACCAATCCTGCGCGCTTTCTGTGTCTCAGCAGTTCCGTGACATGGTCAACAACTACGGTAACGACAAGGTCGTGATTGCCGATATGATTAGCTTCCTCACCGCAAGCGACCTCTCCGATGATGGTATTCACCCAACGGATGCGTAAGTTGTCGAATAAACCGATGACATTACCATGCTGACGAATCTTCAAAGCGGTTACAAGAAGATGGCCGCAGTTTGGTGGGACGCCATTTCCAAGGCGGAAGACAAACTAACAGCCCCTGGCACTGCGACGGGCATCGACGATAGCAAAGTCAGTTCTGGACGCACCTGTACAAAAGTCGCAGGTAACGCTAGAGGTCCGATCCAGTCACAAAAAGGTAGTGGCCATGACAACGGCAACTATGTCCACAAGTCCACCAACATGGGCAACCTTGCTAGCGGCAAAGTGCTCAAAGGACCGAGCAAGAATGTCAACAACGGCATTCCCACGCATATGTGAGTCTCTTCAGGTAGCCACTGGCTATACCCAAGCTAAATTCTTATCGCTAGGTTCTTTGCACAGCTGGTGTACCGGGAAACTAAGAGTCGTTCCGCGGCGCTTGATGATTGGGTACGGATTGAGCATCGAGACGACAACACAAACATCTACTGGTTCAGAGAGAACATGGGAGGTGGTACCTTTACCGCCTCTAAGAGCTTCGACGTCGACATGAATTGTAATATGGGTCCCCAATACGCCTGGGCTGATTTCAACAACGATGGTCTAGACGATTTCTTCTGCCTTCTGCCAGGGTCTGCCGTGGGCGTCTCCATCAACCAAGGAGGCAATCCACCCACTTTCAAGTACCTCGGCCAGGTTGTCACTACGCACAATGGCTATGATGCGCCCGACGTTCGCATTGCTGATATTGACGGTGACGGTCGAGCTGACTACTGCCTTATCGGTAAAGAGAAAGGAGATATTATCTGTTCTCGTAATCAAGGCGTAGGCAACACTTACTCCTGGCAAGGTTTCCAAACAAGGGGTGGCTTGCGCGAGTTGGTGTTCCCAGCCAAGAACAAAGGCGACAAGAATGGTGTTCGACTTCGTAAGTACGAAGGCTGTCTATAGTAATACTATCGCTAACCTTGCCTTATAGTGGACCTGAACGGAGAGTAAGTCGTCTACAGAAAATACCGATTCCGAAGTTAATGAGGTATGCTGATTGATGATGAATGTAGCTTCCGTAGCGATTGGATGTGGCTGAGCGACACTGGTAGTGTCGACACTTACATCAACCAGCGCGGTTGGGGCGCTGGCATCGTACCTGACTGGGCTTCTGCAGGCATCACCCATCCCGGCCTGGGTATAGCAGGTTCACGGGACAACATCAAGTTCGGCCGTGTCTACGGATCCGGAAGGCTCGATTACGTGTACTTCAAAAATGTGACCGATGGTTACGAGATGCACGTGTACAGAAACGACGGTACCGGCGGTACAAAGAGAAAAGGTATGTTGCAATCGGTCCTTGAACAAGCTTGACTTTGCTTATTTAGCTGTATAGCCGACGGTAACTTCTACTGCGACATGACTAATAGCGGATCTGATGATTACGTTTGGATCTATTACGATGGCCACACTGATTCGACCGACTTCTTCATAAACGTTCATAATCCTCCTGATTGGGGCCATGAAGGCAGGATAACACTTTCGGTTCCAGGCCCTCGTATGGGCGTCCACCTGGCTGACTGGAATGGCGACGGTAAATGCGATGTTCTTGTGCAGAACAAGGCAACAGGCGCACTCACAATGTACGAGAATCGATACGACGCTTCTACCGAGAAGCTTACCTTCGCCAACGTCGGTGTGGTTACTGGTGCCGCGACCTGCACTCAGGGTTGGGGCGTGAACATCTTCGATCGTGGCATGACGCTTGCTGATATTGAGTGAGTCTTCTGCCTCTCCTGTCTGTTGGTCCCTTCGCAGCTAACCATCCTTTTTTACCTAGCGGTGACAAACGAGCTGATGTCATCTGTATCGAACCTGATGGCCGAAGCACTGCGTGGCTGAACACCAAATCCGGATTGCAAAATATTGGCCAGATCAAGAAGACCGAACGCTGGGACAGAGCTATGATCCGATTTGCTGATGTCGAAGGTTCCGGCAGGGCTGACCTTATCCATCTGGACAGATACACGGGAGCTGGAGAAGTCCTTAAGAACAATGGATTGCTCCAGAACAGCGGAAGCGCGGTTTCGTGGACGGCTCGCGGCGTGCTGTACTCACCCATCGATCGTGCTGACAACATGGTATGTCCTATCTGTTTAGCATCTCCACTAGTGGCGGCTAACAATCTGGGCAGCATTTTACGAACCAAGGTGGACTGGGTCGAGCAGATTTGCTTAGAGTTCTCCCTGTGAGCAATACGGCTTACACCTACTTCAACGAGTGCGGTGGTGGTAGCGGTGGAGATGATGGTTTGATCAGTAAGTATCTTGCTCGGATGCCCTTTGCTCATTACCATTACTAACGATATTCTGCTAGCTGATCCCAACCTTCCTGCGTATGGTTCCGGTGATGGGAGCGGAGATGGCGGCGATGGTGGCGACTACCCGATCGATGGATCAGACCAATGCGACAAGTATTGCGACCTTCCTGAGCCTCAAGCGTGCGGAACCCCGCCCGCAAGCCTCAATGATCTCGGCAGCGAAAAGGATCTTGGCCGTGTACCAGGTCACTGCGTCAACCTCTTTCTAATGCATGTGCTCTATGACGAGTGCCAAGCAGCGCTGGATAAGTATCAGAAACTCATGAACGATGGGTTCGATGACGACTTCAATCGATATCGTAAATACGTGTTGGAGTCGATACAGCCGCAGATTTTGCAGTTCATGCGCGACCATGCTGGAGGGTATTTCGACTGCAAGAAACTCGACGATAGGCCGTGTTGTTCCAAGTGCACATCCGCACAAGGATGTCAGAACGGTTAGTTGATGACTCAAATTGAAACGTGACGGTCGAGAGCTAACATCAGAGCATCAGGTTGTATACCGGATAGTCAGTGCGAGGATGGAGGGTCATGGGTTGCCGCCACTTGTCCGACAGAATACCATTTGGAGCCGGGAACGGCCATCAGCGGCGTGGATTCCACGAAATACAAGTTCTCGGTGAAAGACCGCGACGATTTCAATAAGAAGATAGAAGATGACTATGGGATCCCGGGAGAATGGATCAAGTTTGACGCCTGGGCTTACTTTCTCAACAATGGTTGCCAGTACGTACCCGGCTCGAACTGCGCCTTGTATTATGATGGTTTCCCGAGTAAGTCATTCACATCCCCAGTGTTCATTTCGGCCGTCTGGCACAATTCCCTTTATTCGTACATCTGCCTGCAGATGCTAACGTCCTTCCACTGACCATCAATTGCAGTGACCGCCGACAACGTCGAAGTCCCTAACCCCAAAGATGGCATTGAGCCCTCTCTTGACCAGTACAAGTCCATTCGAGATCAACTCAAACAAGCATACGAACAGTCTGGCGATTACCACGTGTCAGCATGGCGCGACGACACCATCGTTGAAGCCTCTGAACTTCCAGTGTACATGCTGGTTCAAGGTGTCGAATCCATGCAGTCGGTCCACGACACAGCCAAGGAGATCACGGAAGAGGAAAAGAAAGAGATGATTCTCCTTTTCATCGGCGGTATTCTCGGCTTCATTCCAATCGCTGGTGAGGAAATCGCGGCTCTTGGCCTAGCAACACTTGGACGGATTATCAGGATTGTCGGTGGCGTCGGAAACGCGGCTTTTGATCTCTACGGAATCGTGGAATCGCCGGAGTCGGCCATCTTCGCCGTTTTCGGGGGGTTGGTCAACCTCAGGAGTTTCGGTCAGGCTTCGGGCCCAGCCAGAAACATGATTCACGCCGGTCAGCAGGAGAAGCTGGGGCCTACGGTGAAATCGAAGACGGATCAAGTCAACAAGATCAAGGTCGGTTGCAAGTAATACTGATAATTGTTTACGAAAGGGCTTGCCGCTCGAGTCATTAGTAGCGCGTGGAAGCTGTAGGGTCCTTTGTGTAGATTCCTGGGAGCACTGTCCCGTTTCCATTTGTACATATTCATGTCACATACATAATACTAATGAGGCACCAAGAGGCGTCTGCAAGCTGATTACAGCTATGGTTTAGCCCCGTCTATGACTTAGTGTAATCTGTGTTTCCGAATGTGATTACTTGTAATCTGCTTGGCACCAAGTCGAGAGAAACAATTGGTGGATTACCCATGACTCGCTTCTAGAGGCGAGACTTTCTCTCGCGCGGTAGGAAAACTCTGCGAGCGAGCTGTGCGCGCGGCGATATCTTCGTCGGTCTTACCGGGGGCCTGTTAATTGGCGAACCTATTTTTGTCGAGGCACCCCGAGCGGGCGTCACCGCGATAAAACGTAGACTTTTGCAGATACTAGTGATGATGGGTCAATTTCGCTGGTCCGTGCACTTGAACTACCTTAGGTAAAGGCTAGGTTCATTTAGGTAAGGTATGTCTTCTTTCGGCATGTTGATCATGTGCTGTTAGGCAACGTTCACTAGGTAAGGTAAGCAAGAACGGACCTCTTCATGTGCTTCTAGCCCACTTCTTTTCCCTCCACCTAGCCTATGCCAACCTCCTCACTCCACCCCATGGCGCACCAAGCACACCATCTCCCGTGGCAGAGCCTCTCGTCCGCCTTCCGCTTCGTATCATATAATCAAGCTGATGGCGAAAGAACGAACCTGTACTTTCGACACGAAACAGGACAAAGCGGCCAACTCCACCACTTTGCGAAAACGCTCACAAGCGCCTTAGAACAGGCTTCAAAAACGGAACGCGCAAAATATCAACCGACGTACGACCCGCCACTGCTCGACGACATCATAATCACGCCCGCCATCGAAAAGAAGATTGCGACGTCTCTAAATGAGTGTCGCTCGAACAACCCTTTTCAGCTACAGCACGAATGCGCCCAACGCGTGTGGCGTGGCTTGAAAGTAGACTGCACCTGTCCGCTCCTTGACGTGGAGAAGCGTGCCTCTTTCTTCGTGGAAAACTGGCGAAGTTGTCGGCAAACATGTAGCAGCACGAAGGAGCACCACCACGATTCAATCGAATTACTCAAGATGCTCATTCTTCACAACGAGATGGAGCCTCTGTTCAAACTATGCGCGAGTCCGGACTTCGACCTATCGCAGAACTGGTGGTCCTTCCCGTACGACATTCCCCAAGACTACGGCTGGGCTGAGGTTATGCGCTCGGCCCTCATGATGTACATTTGCTTGAATGTATTCTACCTGAAGCCGGAGACTTATGGCCCAGAGTTGCGAGAGGAAAACAACACTGGAGTTGCCGTCGCAGACTACCGTGACACCACGTCCTATCAAAGAGCCTTGTTCCGCTGCACTGCAGGAACAAAACTCGACACGTATACTTATCCTCATCGGGAGTTCTTTGGCGTCCCAGAGGGCATGTACGTTGCCGACTGGCACTGGTCAAATGATGAGCTATTGGGCCTAACAAGCTTGGAGAGACGACAAGAGCCGGGTTATGGACATGTTCCTACAAAGGAGGACGTTGCGCGTGCTCGTCGTCTAGTGTGTAAAGCGGGAAGAATGCCAGCCGAATTGGGGCTGCAGATACTGGAATGTGCAGGTTATGTACCGGCACGCCGCATTCCAGTGGCTGACGACCCACTGCACAAAGACAACGCAGATGAACTGAGGAATTACCTAGATTACTGCTGGCAACTCGTCATTCGGTGCGATATGGTGATGAAATCGTGTGGGAAAAGTATCGATTGGTATGGAGAAATCGTTGTATGCATCAAGGACCTATGGGGCGATCCCGACACCACGGAGTGGATCGAAGATGGACAGGACGAATGGGATGAGGACTTTCGCGATTGGCCTCTGAACGCCGCCGAACGCCACTGGTATCGGTTTGTGGGGTATTAGTTTGAAGGAAAGCTGCGTCAATGACGCGTCCTACTCGGCGGCTAGCTCTTAATTTTAACACAAGTGTCGTAACAAATACCTGGCCCTCAGCAAAGACCCATCACAAATTCTCCCAGCACCAACAGCACAAACTCAGAGACATATGATAGTCTCCTCACCCATCATTCAACACTTCGCCCAGTCGATCCTCCCTCGTCCCCTCTCCACTTCCTTCCAAAGAAATAAAAAGGGATCGCCAAAAGCATAGCCAGCGAAACCAGCATAAACATAACCATATAGACTTGGATCCAGCCTTCAGCAGCAATCCAGTCGACAGCAGTATACAAGAACAAGAAGGCAACGAGGTTCTTGAAGACATTAATCGTGACGAGGCACTCCGACGCGGTTTGCGGATAGCATTCGACGACGTACGTTATCGCGATGTTGGGGGCGAAGAAGGTGCCGAAGGAGCCTGTTACGAGTTAGAGTGAGGTGGCGCTGGGAGAGGAACGGACTTACACATGCCGAAACCAAAGGCGATAGCGACCCAGTGCAGTTTCTGTGAGCATGCAAAGGCTACTAGTATGCATCCTGCGGGTGCAATGTAGAATCCTGGGAGTAGCGCAACGAGACGTTGTTCTGGGTATACGGCGCCGTGCTGTCTACGTATGACTGCGGCTGTGATTGAGTCGGTGGCGAAACCGCCGCCGTAACAGGCGATGGCGAAGCCGATGATAGCGGCGATTTGCATGAGGCCGACGCCACCGCTGGAGAACAGATAGGGAGGAGCCATGAGCAAGCTTGGGAAGGCATAGCTGAAGATGAGGTGTTTAGTGTCGCGTACGCCTTTGTTTGATAGCATGCTGAATAGACTTACATCATGATAACTTGAGCTGCAAGGCTCGTACCAAATACAAATACAGCGTACAGTACAGCCGGGCGGCCAAGTGTGAGAGTCGGTTCGAAGAACACCCTCAGGATGTTAACGTCGGGATTGACCGTGATAAACGACGTCCAGATCTTAGTCCAAGACTTCTTCACAACACTGACATGATGCCACGAGATGGTGTCGGTGCGGATGATCTCTCCCTTTTCCGTGTTTGCATCCGCAACTTGCTGTCCCTCAACGGAAACCACGTGGGGAGTTTTTCTCGTCCGGTTAAAATTGGACTCAGGGTAAAACAAGAATATGGCCAGAGAATTGGCACCAGCTAGTGCGGCGCACACCCAGATGTAGTCGCGCCAGGAGCCCGGGCTGTATTCGGTGATGAAGGATGCCAGGAGCGGTCCAATCGCAGTGGCACTTGAGATGAGGAGCGAGTATCTGCGTGTGCAGTCAGCCCAATTGAAATCTGGTTCAAGTGGCACTGAATACTTACGCCGACATCATAGTAGCATGCTCATGGAGGAAAAATATGTCGGAAACAATGCCGGGGACAATGCTCTGTGGAATGAGTCAACGTGCGTTGGCTGATATCGATATAAAGGACGCACTCACCTCTCCAGACGCCGAAACAAAGCCTGCAAGGCATCTTGCGGCCAATAGTCCCGAAAAATTTGGCTCTTTAGCAGTCCAAATGAGCACAGCGAAGAGCATCATCATGGAAGTGAGAAGCGAGGCTCGCTTGCCGAACTTGACGGCGAGCGGGACCCAGAACATGTTGCCGACTCCGAGAAGGAGAAAGTTGAACTGGCCTCGTTAGCGATGATGTGCGACAAGCTTTAAGGGAAGGGGTGGGTGGCTTCACCGTGAGCAGTGTATTGACCTGATTTGCCGTCTTATCAAATTGATGCTCGAGGACGACTGTCGCGACAGACAATCCGGCTCCCGCGAAATTGGCAGTAAAATTGAAGAAGGCAGTGGCAAGTAGCGCAGCCAGCTTCAGTCCGCGAGGCCATCTGAGTGGGTCGTTTTCGTCCTGAGTTGGATGAGGAAGCAAGGGGAGCCCGTGGTGTCTATGGGCTGCGTCGGCAACGTCACTGAAATCGGACCTGTTGTTTGCGACGTCTGTCGACATTGTGGTGTCACGTTTTCAAAGGGACGGTGTGTGAGATGGCAACACGAGGTTGGATCACACGATTCCAAGGTTGTCAGGAGTCAACAAGTGGTACTCATAGGTCGTGATCGCCCACACCGGCCCATTTGCCGTTACTACTGCCCGTGTTGGAGCGTGCATTGACACGCATAAAACGCGTACTTTCTCCACAGTGGGAAAACTGCCAGGGGTTCTGGTCTGCTTCTGATTTGCTTCTATTTTGCGGGGAGGGTGGCGTTTCCACTAGTCTGAGTGAAGTTCGTTACGCAGTTTGTCGAACGCTAGGGGAGATAGGCTGCAATCCCGCACACCGGGGCCTTTGCCGTTTCCAGCACGCAAGCACCACTGCAGACATTATTGAGAAGATAGCGAGAGATGCCTAAGATGGTATTAGGCCGATTGTTTCTAATTCTGTTTATAGCTAAGCATATGCTCTCCATTCTCAATACTTGCCCGACACAATACCGTCCTGAGATGGTCCCCGAGCTCCAGCACGCATTCATCTTGTAGCTTTCTAGGTACTCTACTAAATCTATCAACAGTAAGAGGAGATCTATTCACTGACACTGGAGAGCACATTTGAGGGTCTGAAGCTTCAACAAGAGATTCTTACCAGGGGCATTTGGAACCACCGCCTGGCGCTAGCGTGACGAAATGTGCGCGTTGTTCGTAGGTCGGGTCCTTCCCCGTTCTCCCTTCCGAGCTCCCCGTCCGAGGCCGTTCTCGAAAGGTCCCTGGCCCGTCACCGCGGTCCCCCATGATATCCAATGAACCCTTTAACGATTGACTCTCCTACTCTACCCGAAAGCTTCCGCAGCTCGCAGTCCACAGCCCCAAGCCCGGTTCATCCATGACCATGACCATGTCCCTGCCACTGCCACTCACATACCCCTCGCAATCCCTGCGGTTCCTCGAAACACTTCACCGCAAAGAGATACTCAGCAACGGCGTGGGGCCTACGCCTACGGTACCTGAGACGCAGCCCGCGCGGTTGAAGCTCGACATAGTCATTGTCGGTGCGGGCCTCGGTGGACTTGCCCTCGCCATTGCGCTTGCGCGCCGCGGCCACGCTGTGCGGATATTAGAGCAGGCACCTCAGCTTGGAGAGGTATGATGGAACGGAATGCTACACATGTCCCGACGACTGGGTAATCGTTCAGCGACTAACTGACTCTGTCCCAGGTCGGCGCCGGCATCCAGATTCCTCCCAATTCGGGCCGCTTGCTGCATCGCTGGGGGGTATTTGAGCACTTGGAGAAATGGGCTGTGCAGCCTGAAGCTATTAACTTTCGGCGCTGGGAGGATGGTACGGTGATTGGGCATACGGCGCTCGGAGAGGCGTTTAAAGATAATTTTGAAGTGCCGTATTATGTGGTGCACCGGGCGCATTTTCATGAGGCGCTGCATCGGCGAGCGGTGCAGCTGGGCGTTGTTGTGAAGCTGGGGTGTAAGGTTGTCAAGTACAATGAGAAACAGGGCTCTGTCGTGCTTGATAACGGCAGCTTTGTGCGAGGCGATCTTGTTGTTGCTGCCGACGGTGTGTTAAATATCATTCCGGTGAGAATCTCGGTTCAGACTGATGCGCAAATCCAGGAATAAAATCCATCGCTCGCGAGAGCATGTTTCCGGACGAGCACCACGAACCTATCTTCGATGGATTCGCAGCCTATCGCGCCACCGTTGATGTGAAGAAGATGCGGAACGACCCAGACATCGCTTGGATATTAGAAAGACCGGCGCTGAACATCTGGTACGTCACAATGGGCGAGATCAAAGCAATATACTGATCCGTCTTGATCGGAATAGGATCGGAGAAGATAGACACGTCATGTCGTATACGATAGCCGCAGGTGAGTCCTTCAACATGGTCCTGTCGCACGTCGACCACTCGGACCCAGCGACATGGAGTCAGAAATTCGCCAAGGAAGACATCCAGGCGGAATTCAGAGGGTGGGACTCGCGGTACGTAACTTCTGGTGCAAACCCTCGAAAAAAGGCATACTGAGTGTCCGTTGAAGATTGACCAAGATCATATCACTGATCAACGATTGCATGAAGTGGCCCTTGAAAGTAGGAAGGCCGCTTACGTCCTGGATCTCTAAGTCATCGCGACTGATCATCATCGGCGATGCGGCGCATGCCATGTTGCCGTACATGTCCCAAGGCGCTGCCATGGCAGTTGAAGACGGCGCTGCGCTTGCTGTAGCTCTCAACAACATCTCATCAGTCGAAGAGCTGCCGTTTGCGCTGCGGAGCTTCGAAAACGAACGGATCAAGAGGAGCGGGGACATGCAGAATGCTAGCACAGTCAACGGTCGGATATGGCATTTCCCGGATGGTCCGGAGCAACGGGCGAGAGACGCTTCAATGGCTGCAGAGGTTTTGGGTAAGCCTTTTACGAGCAGCGCGAACCAGTGGAGCGATCCGGTGACACAGTGGTGGGCGTATGGTTACGATGCAGAGAAGAGGATGGAAGAGGCGTGGGCCAGAGACGTTGCGACGTTGATCTCGCGATCCAAGCGTGATACATCTGCGCCTTATATATGATAGGAATTAGATAAATGCCACGTCGTGTACTACAGACCAACTCCTTCGTGTGGCGTACCCAAGTCGAAATCAGGCGCAAAGATGCTGTCCAGACTCATACCCATGTGTAAATCATTCAAATCGGCAAAGTCGAATGGAGTATAGGCATGCGCAGCATCACAGGTTCTTTGATAGTTTGGCAGATCTCGGAGAGTATGTGGCTGGAACCCTAGTGCCGGGGCGGCGTCTTGGAAACCATGTGTCTGGTCTGGGATATCGAGTCAACAGATATATCAGCCTTGATATGCGGAGAAGACGTACAAATGTTGGAAAGTATCTGAGCAAGAGAGCTAGTGTACCGAGCACATCTCTCCGTCATTCTGTTTCCTTTGAATAGCATTGAAAGGCATTCGATTGCTTGGTAGAGGGAATCTATGGAGAGTTCGACTCCCTCCAGTATTGGCTGCTGGTTCGACATCTGCTGTATTTGGTGCCGTGCGAGTAATATTGAATAGATCACCAGCGCCGCATTGAAGGCTGGGCCCTGCTTAGCAGGTGTAAGGTGCTCATGAGTGGTGGTGGTACTCACTATAGTAGAGGGAGAACCACCATGCGCCCAGCAGATGTCGCGGTGGATCTTGAGGCGTCAAAGCGGCTCTCATCAGGTTTATTATCGCAAGCGCTGACTCGGCGCAAATGCGCAGGCTGTTTATACCCACTTGCGCTAATGTGGAAAGTTGCCGAGCGTCGGGCTTTGGGGCACCAAGATATTCTAAGTATTTGCATAGTAGTGGCCGGTGGGCCAGTATGCGAAGATTGAGGAACCGCACGGTGAGGATGAATCGGTATCGTAAGGTTTCTGGGTCGTTGTTATCGGAGACAAGGAAATCTGAATGGAGCAGAATCAATGATACTGGCAGAGACTGCTGCCACATCAGGAGTTTCTGCTCGAGTTGTAGCAATTGAGAAGCGATATTGAACACATGGTCAGACAGGGCACAGCCCAAATTGCTTCCGTAGAGATCATCCACAATTTCACCCATGATTGCGTAAAGCGTACTATAACATCGTTAGAGACGAAATAGCGAAGAAAATTGCATGCCCACATTGTTGCGTTGAAAAAGTCTAGACTATGTTGCTCGGTCAACTGTTGGGAAGCGTTTGATTCTGAGCATAGCTGCCTAGGTGCTGGGAGGTCTAACTTGATGAAGTTCTGGGGGATGGATGACGGGCGGCCCAGAGTCATGCCCAAAGTTCTAAAGGCGGTGAGAAACAGGCATGAGATGGCAGAAGTAGCGTACCTATCGACTACAATGCATCCAAACCAAGTCCTCTTTCGGAGCTCTCGCTCTGGGGGCGGGTACTGCTTCAGTGCATTGGGTGAGTGCAGTCCAAGCTGATAAGCCGCTTTCACAGCAAGTCCATGGATGTTCCAAGTTTCGATAGAGCGCTCCGTGCCCTGCAAATACTGACTCATCAAGAGGAGCATCTGAACCATTTCTAAGCTCGTACCGTGGCGGATTTGCTTCTCACAGAGTGCTAAAGCTCGGCGAAAGTAGATGTCGGACTCGGCAGCGCGTTCGGATGCCGATGATGTGCTGACATGACTTGCACTTGTCGCCATGGCTAACACCATGTTCAGCAAACCGAGCCATGACCTCCTCGCTGCCCGTATGTTGGTGGAGTTGAAATGGTGGTAGTTTGAAAGGAATGAGTCTTTGGGGATGTAAGGAAATAGGACGCCAGTGGTGCTGAAGTAGATGTCAATCAAGCTTAGCGTTTCAGTCTCTGGTGGAAGGTAGAACAGATCGGTGGTCGCCGATCTCGTGCTTAGGAGAGGGGATCTTTGTGACACGGGAGAAGCCCGTCGCGACACGTGGAGCATATGGCTCTGCAACGCTGCATCACTGGGTGACATTGGACTTGACGTGAGGGCTGTCTTCAAGATAGCGGTCGTGGTGCGGACAATAAGGCGGGTGAAAGCGATGTTGGATGAGGGCCCAAAGAAACCAGCTTCCTCTTCCTTGGTGAAGACGACCGACCCGATGCCATCAGTGGGGTCCTCTATGTCTGCAATAACTGCTTCACCGCTCTCGAGCTCTGGTGGGCGTGGCGAGCGATGCGACGGTGCGATTGAACCGGTCACATCGTCCTTGAAGGCTTCGACGGCAGCGAGTCGCCCTTCGAGCCCAGCAACATAGCGCTCCGTGTCCGCCAGGCGTGCTTCGAGTGCGGCCAGTTCCTTGGAGCCAGATAACCGCGTCAAGGAGGCTGCGTCTGCGTACTCGCAAGCATAGCCGTGATTGCGACACGTCGAACACGCAGGACGGATGCCATCGCACTGGCAGCCACACGACATCAGCATGTGTCACGTGAGGTGGAAGGGAGCTTACCCGTGACTTGCGTGACCTGCACCAGGTGCAGGCGACGGTGATCCTGTTGCGCTTAGCCGGCCGGCCGCTGCTGCTGTCGCCCGTCGGATTGTCTGCCGCCGCTTCCATTGAATGCACGCTGCACAATTGCGGGAAACCGCTGGACAGGCGATGTAATACCCGGGAAGACGATGGCGGAGGCGTGGAATGGCGGAGGCGGGGAGCGCGGGTCCGGGATGGCCGGCTGTGGCGCATCGTCTCCCTAACTCCCCGTCCCCTCTCATGCGCGCCATGGCGCGCCCTCTCCATGGAACCCCGCAAGCTGATGGAGATTCGTCACTGCGTCGCACGCCGACGGGATCGCTATCCGTCGAGACAAGCATGGCAGCCCAACAATTTCAGCAGATATGGCACTCTCGACACACCAGCTGCTCGCACCATCTTGAGACCCAACCGCCATTATGAGCTCGACCACAATGACGTCTACCACTACCGCAATGCAGCCTAAACTGACAGCCGACAACCAGCAGGCAATCGAAAAGCTGCTGCAGACGGCTGAAGACTTGGATACGAAGCCGCTATGGGCGCAGATGGCCCGGCTCAATCCTCCTCTGCCCAACCCGAAATGCCAGCCCCATGTCTGGGACTACAGCAAGATCCGCCCCAGTCTCTTGCAAGCTGGCGAGCTCATCACGGAAAAACAAGCTGAGCGCCGTGTGCTAATGCTTGTAAACCCATCTCGAGGTTTGCCTACATTTGCAAGTCCTTTATCAGCATTTCCGCTAATGGCCACGCAGATGCACCCTTCACCACTGACACTATCTATGCTGGTCTTCAGCTGGTGATGCCCAATGAGACTGCTCCAGCTCATCGCCATACTGCCTTCGCCTGCCGCTTCATCATCGAAGGCAACGGCGGATTTACTGCCGTCCATGGCCGCCGTATCCAGATGCAGCGCGGCGACGTAATCCTCACTCCGACGTGGAATTGGCACGACCACGGCAAAGACGGCTCTGGCCCAATGATATGGCTGGATGGTCTTGATCTGCCCAACTTTGTCCATTACCCAGTTCACTTCGTGGAGCACTACGCTGAGCCAAGATACCCGGCCAAGGACGTCGACACTTCTCCAATCGTTTTTCCGTGGTCGCGGATGAAGGCACAACTTGATGCCCATGGAGGAGACAGTGCTACGGAACGCTACTTGAGAGCCGACGGATCAGAGAGTACGTGAAACTCCCTATCCGGCTGCTAGATACTTACCCAATGCAGTAAGTCGTACACTAGGCGCTGCCGCCACACGCATTGCCAAAGGCGCATCCACCCCGGCAATTCAAGAGACTGCTTCCTCGGTCTTTCATGTCATCGAAGGCACTGGATTCAGCACCATTGCAGGGAAAGAATACCCGTGGAAAAAGGGTGACACTTTCTGTGTGCCGGCATGGCACGAGTATACACATCACGTGACCAGTGATGAGACCGTTTATCTTTACAGGGTCCATGATGAGCCCATGTTGAAAGCTCTCGGTTTCTATCGGTATAATGGACAAGACATAGAGTCATTGGTGTCCGAGTAGCTCGACAATATTGTAGCACTTGTCTCAAGATGCTCAGACTTGGGCTTGTTTCCGCGAATAGGAATGAAGTCTACGTTCTCTGCGTGTGCATCATAGAAACACCACATGCTGTGACACGGATCAATTTACCACCTGGGCATAACATAAAAGTACATCAGAGCACTTTCTATTAAGCTTGAAGACTTCTCCAGACAGTAAAAATGAAATCTATAGCAAAAATTGATTGTAACCCTCAACTGTTATGTTGTTCATCGTAAAACCAACCCTCTCTCAAGCAAACGTCACTCCATTCCTCAAAGTCCCAATTTTGCTGATGGACACTTCCATAACCGTACCCTCAACAAGATACTTCGGAGGCTTCAACCCCGCCCCCACCCCACCCGGTGTCCCCGTCATAATCAAAGAACCCTTCCGCAGCGTCGTGCCCGAGGACAGATAGTGCACAAGATACGCACAATCGAACAGCAAATCGCTCACGTATTCCCTCTGCCTCACCTCCCCGTCGATGATAGTCTGCAGTAGCAGCTCCTTCGGATCTCCAATCAGGTCCGCAGCCACGAGCGCCGGCCCAATAGGCGCGAAGGTGTCGAAGCCTTTTGAGAAACCCCACTGCGGGACACCACCTGCGAGTTTGGGATCGCGTTGCAGGCGGCGGGCGGAGATGTCATTACCAGCCGTGTAGGCGGCGACGTAATCGAGCGCGTCTTCGAGCGGGACGTTTTTGGCATCTTTCCCGATGACTAGCGTCAATTCGCCTTCATAGTCTGCTTGGTCGTCCTGCGCAATCTTGGGTATTTCAACATCCTCGCCGTGATCGAGGATGCAGGTAGTGGGCTTGAAGAAGATGAATGGGAACGGTGGCGGGTTTCGGCCTGCTTCTCTGACTAGGTCACTGCGTTAGCGCCTCAATGCCAGTCTTAATTGATTGAGGATACAACCTACTATGTGTGGTGTAATTCAGACCAACGCAGCGGAGGATGCCGACGTCTTCTGCTGTAAGCGGGCCAAGGAGCTTCTTGACCGTGACGACCTCGTCGGAAACATGGGTCTTCCCCGTCGTGTCGTACAAATCGTCGCCAGCAATGACTTTCGCCTGCAATTTCGTGCTCTCGGTCGTGTTGCCCAGGTCAAAGTCTGGGTCTGGGAGGATGGGCTCTCCTCTCAGTACGCGGCCATCCGTTGCAATGAATCGGATCAACCGAGACCACGCAACACGCATGTTGATGGAAATTGGGCAAAGACAATCAAAATTTTGGATGCTAGTCCGTAGACTTTAAAGCTTTCTGCGGTACTTTGTAGCCACGAGATTCAGTGCAGGCATACAGCGTTCTATGGCTGCCTCGGATCGTCCCGGGCGTCGGCAGAGCATCCGGAGCCGTGCTCGACTACCGCCAACACCACTGCTATCATCCGCAACGCAATCGAGGTACAAATACGGTACATACAACTCAGAAAAATGGTGCCTACAGGCCCAACCAGTCGAGATGACTATCACCGTTCCTCTAATCATCGACGGAGTGGAAATTGTGGCCGTGGAAGGCCAAACGTTTCCCAACTTCGAACCAAATCCAGATAACAGCAACAACAAGGGTATCACTGCAGTCGGTTCTACGCCAGAGCTATGTATCCGGGCAGTCGAGTCATGTGCTGCTGCTTTCGACGCGTGGAAGGACTCGCGTCCGACAGAGCGGCGCAGGCTGTTTAATAGGCTTGCACAGGTAAGCATCAAGATGTGCCATGCAGAAGGATGCAATCACTAAGAAGGAAAAATCAGTTATTTCGCGAACGAAGCGAGGAGATCAAAACATTGATCCAGAAAGAGATTTCATGCACTGCCTTGTGGGCGCAAATCAACCTCCAGGACTCCATTGCACTTGCCGAAGAATGCGCTGCTATAGTGACGTCTGGCGTTCTGAGCGGTGTGCTTCCTACGGTGGGCGATCCTGAAGCGCATGCTGTGGTTATCAAAGAGCCGTTGGGCGTTGTCCTGGGCATTGCACCTTGGAATGCGCCGCTCATCTTGGGTCTGCGCGCTGTTGCTGCAGCTGTCGCCGCTGGGAACACCGCAATTTTAAAAGTATGTACGTGTGCTTCCCCAAAAGCATAGCATAATATATGCTAACCAGGCATCGCTCGCGTTCTAGGGTTCAGAAATCAGTCCCAGGACGCATTCTCTGATAGCAAAATTATTCCTGGAAGCGGGCTTCCCACCCGGTGTGGTGAACTATATTCAACATCGCCCCGAAGATGCTGTAAGTTGCTTCGAAGCCATGGTATCTCACTCGGCGGTGCAAAAATGCAATTTCACAGGGTCGACGCCTGTTGGACGGCACATCGCGCAGCGAGCTGGGTTTTACCTCAAGCCCGTCATGCTGGAGCTTGGTGGCAAGAACTTTGCAATCGTGGCCGGGGATGCAGACCTGGATAAAGCGGCTAACATGGTCTTGTTCGGTGCGTATTTGAATGTGAGTTGCGCAAATCCCACATAGACATGTTCGACAGAAAGCTCACGTGCGATAGTCCGGCCAGATCTGCATGTCCACGGATATGGTGCTAGTGCACAGATCAATAGAGAAGGCCTTCCGCTTGCTGCTGCGTCAAAAGCTGCCTGAAGCCTCGAAGCACGTCGTGAAGACGATCAATGCAAAGAGTGAGACTAGGATCGAGGGACTCATCACGAATGCAGAACAAGAAGGCGCAACGATCAAGTCTGACAAAATGCAAAACTCAGCCCCAGTAGTGCTCGTCGAGGACGTCGCTCCCGGGATGAATTTCTGGACCGCAGAATCATTTGGACCTCTGCTCGGCTTGGCTGTCTACGGCGACGAAGAAGAGGCTGTGCGGATGGTAAACAGTTCATCGTTCGGGTTGTCAGGGGCTATCTTCAGTCGCGACCATCTCCGTGCGTTGAAGTTGGCGAAGAGACTTCATACAGGTGCCGTTCATGTGAACTCGCCAACGGTGCACGATGAGGCTACGTTGCCGCATGGGGGCAGGAAGGAGAGCGGATGGGGGCGGTTTGGGTCGCATTGGGGTTTCGAGGAGTTTCTGCAGACGAAGACTGTCATACTGCACCCCTGAGTCATACCTAGGTAGCATAAGCCAATTGAGTTGTCTCGCACGTCCGATGTATAACGCCTCCATGGACTATGTGCGCGCTCCTCGACCTGTATTGCGGCCCCGCATTCTAGTCAAGTCGATCGAGTGTCGCATGTTGATTGAGGACGAGGATGTGACGCGTCTAGCATGGGGAGGTCCGGAAAGTGTCCCCGACGCTAACGGGGAGTTAAGCCCGGGAACAATCACCACAATGAAGCAAACACTAAAACCTGCAGAACGAAGCGCCTTCATCACGACACCAAACCAGAGAGCCCCTTTTTTTGAGGCACGTAGCGAACCCCAATCAGACAGCAGCTGACCAATCTTCTTGATTATGGCGGGCCATTTTCAATCGACCAAGAGCCCGGCTGCTTTCCCTGATCGGCCGCAATTCTCTGAATTCATGAAGCCATGTCGTTTTGAGGGCGAGATCCAGAACTTGGAGGTTCGGGGCGAGATCCCTCAAGAGATCGACGGGACCTTCTACCGTGTCATGCCCGATCCACAGCTACCACCTTTCATCGAAGATGACCCTGTAAGCGTTGCGTATATTTCTTGTCATGTCTTGCATGTGCTGATTAAAGCGAACTCCAGTGGTTCAATGGAGACGGCAATATCAGCGCGTTCCGCATCAAGGAGGGGCATTGCCATTTCAAACAGCGATATGTCAGGACAGAGAAGTTCCTCCGCGAAAGAGCAGCGAAAAGGGCTTTGGGGGGTAAATATCGCAACAAGTATACGGATGCTGTCGAGTTCAAAATTCGCACCACTGCAAATACCAACATTGTGTACTTTAATGGCCGTCTCTTGGCCTGTAAGGAAGATGCGCCTCCATATGCGATGGATCCAGAGACTCTGGAAACGATTGGGCTCGAGAATTTCGATGGCCAATTGCCCTCGTTGACGTTCACTGCGCATCCAAAACTCGACCCCGAGACTGGCGAGTTGGTTTGTTTTGGATATGAAGCGAAGGGTGACGGTACGCCTGATATCTGCTATTTCTCTGTTGATTCGAGTGGACGCTTCACTGAGACGGTTTGGCTCATCTCGCCCATTGTGGCCATGATCCACGACTTCGCAATTACCAAGAATTGGGTACGTCCAGGACAACCTTAACGTCTTGACTAAGAGAGCAACTAATGCTCCTAGATATTGTTTCCCATCATACCGCAAACGTGCGACATCGAGCGCATGAAGAAAGGAGGTGAGCACTGGCAATGGGACCCCGACGTCCCCTTCTATCTCGGCGTGCTCCCCCGTCGCGGCGCCTCCAGCTCCGACGTGAAGTGGTTCCGCGCGCCCAACGCCTTTGCCGGGCACACCGTCAACGCATTCGAAGACGCCAACGGCCACATCTCCTTCGACCTGCCACTGTCAGATAAGAATGTCTTCTTCTGGTGGCCAGATGCACAGGGAAACGCGCCCGCGCCCGAGTCGATCTCCGCGCACCTCGTCCGTATCACCTTCGGTCCTACGTCTTCCAATCTCGATCTCCCCCCGCATGAAGTCCTCATGGCGGAAGACTGCGAGTTCCCCCGCATCGACGACAGAGTCCACGGGAAAGAACACGCTCATGCTTTCTTCGACGTGATGGACCCCAGCTTAGGCACGGATTTCGCGACCATCATGCCCAGAATGGGCGGTGGCCATCCGCCGTACAATGCTCTGGGGTATCTGGATTACGCGTCCAAGAAGGTGGCGAAGTACTTCCCCGGTCCCACGCATTTAGTGCAAGAGCCTATTTTCATACAGAGGAAGGGCTCGGCTACGGCGGAGGGTGATGGATTCTTGGTGGCGCTTGTAAATAATTATGCGTCGATGGCGAGCGAGCTGCATATAGTTGATACGAGGGATTTTAGTAAGGCGCAGGCTGTGATTCTTTTGCCGATTCGTCTGAGGCATGGGTTGCATGGGAATTGGGTGGATGCTCAGGAGTTGGCTCTTTCTGGTTCTTAGTTCTATAGGATAAGGATGGAAGGCGGTCAATCGGGGCTTGTGTGTATCTATATGGAGAGTTATATTGCGATACCAAGCGCTCTTCCAGCGCGACCGGTGCAAACAGCAAAATTGTGCCTGGGTTGACTTAGGAGACTGTGAAAATGAGACCACAATAGCCTCCATGGTTTCACAGGTACTGGGGTCTGCAAGTAGGCCATTAACGTTGCGTCGCGAAGATTGGTGTAGTCACCTGATCAAAACCCACTACTGCAGCCTAGCAGGGTGTTTGTAGGAGCTCCAGCTGAAGGAGGCGCGGCACAGCATTTTTATACCAGCACACCTCACCAAAGCAGGAAGCGGCAATTGAAAGGCAGAGGCAATATGGTCCCACTGTGTGAGGCCGATGTTGGGAGTGAATGTATTACGTAAGCCGCACTCACTTATAAGGCTGGCCAGATGTACGCTATGCTTATCGTAGCAGTGCTAAGTATGCTGCGCCACATTGTTCGGAGAGGCCAAGGCGGTATCTCACACTTCCAATTCACAGTCATAGTGTAGAAACCTGCTCTTTATCCTGCCCCCCTTATAATCCTACACAGCTTCTTCTACTACTCCTTCAGTTTTCCACCCAACATGAGTACTGCTTCGCGAGCAGCCTTCCTTGCGGAGCTAGAGCAGAAGCCTAAATTCAAGGTTGTACACACACTATGCAGATCCAAATGCACTCGCCGAGAAAATCCTCGAGCGTACTGTCTCAGAAGTCGACATTCCACAAGAACACACTACTGTGATACAGCGTGCTCTGTAGTCGAAGTGGCTCGGCGCACGGCACCAGGATATCAAGACAACCTTGGAAGCTTTGCGAATTTGTCATAGCGCTGAAACAACAACTAGTAAGTCACCCCAAGGTAGGAGTTGACGGATGGGGATACCAAGGTATGGACAGAGTTGCCAGCTTTCGGGTACACTTTCGGCGATCGATTACAACCTACCAGTAAGTGTCCGTCAACCGTTGTCAATAACGTCAGCGATCTTGACGCGGAAAAAAATACTCAACGGTGACTTAGGCAGACTCTCAGGGGAAGGCTACTGAGGACGTTCACCAGGACGAGAATCTAGAAGCTATCGTTGCCCAGTTGACAGGTTATCCGAGCGACCAAAGAGTGGACTTCGCGTATCATGGGCAGGTCATGATTAACGATGCTTTCCATCAAGACACTGCACATATCCGACCAGGCTACACTGTTCGGACTGCGCGACTTGCGTGTTGGTGGTTCCAAGGTGCAATTTAGGGACGTTGATTGAGCTTTGTGGCAATATTGGAGTTGGCAGTTCTGTTGGCACGGCGCCAACGAACTGTACGCGCCACGCACCTTTCATGTGTTAAGTGTCGCTCGTTCGAACACCCTATTGACCATACGGTTACAGGCTTGTATCAGGTAAAGAAGTATTCAACACTATAATCCTCTTACCGGCCGTCACCAAAGCATGACTGTCACTCTAGTGCCTCGTAAAAAGTCTTCGTGCCATAATTCCTTCAAAATGAGCTGGGCAAGTTTCAGACCTTTCACCCAGCATTGTAGGTCATACGTAAAGCGCTAAACGCCCAACACCACATTATGCAGATCAGCCCTCTGTCCTCACCACCCCAATGTTACTCCGAATATCAAACTCAACCCATCTCGCCCGTCCCTCTCGTCCCCGCCTGCCCTCACTCCCATCAATCGGTCCAGGATTCATGACCGTACACCCACAGTACTTGACCACGAAGGCTGGGGCCTCGCTGTCCGCGATGACGACACTACTCGGTAGCGGATATAGGTTAAGTGTGTGCGCAAAGTCCCAGTGCAGCGGGCGCACGCTTAGAGGAAATGGTGAGAGATGCGATTGCGAGAGTAGCGTTCGTGTGAGCGCTCGCGCCGTAAGCGTGTCGCTGTCGATCTGATCTTGGGATTGTGCTTGCGGGTTAGGCGTTGGTTCAAGCTGAGTCGGCTGATCGACGTCCATAGGTTCTGGTTCCACATCGACATCGACGTCAGCTTCCGGTTTGTTGAAGCGGATGCTCGTGCGGTGTAAGCGCCCTAGGACGTCGTCTCGTAGAATCGTCATTTCACCCTTCACCCCGAACCACGTTAGACGCGAGGGATTGCTCGTCCAAACCACTTCGCCTTCTTTACCGGATTTCTTGCCTGCGCCCCACACTTCGCTGTTAGCTTCTCGAATCGCCCTGCGTATACGGCTGGTAAACAGCTCAGGGATCTGCTTTCTGGGGAGAGGCGTGGCGGCACCCGCGGAGAAAGCGCTAGGCCATGCGTCGTTATCGCCGGGGACGAGGACGAGGCTGGTGTGTGCGAGGAGCTGCGGGAATTCAGAGAGCACAGAAGCGAGAGCGTCGAAGTGCTCTTTGTATTCTATTGAGCCGGCGCCGGGAACACTGGCGAGGGTGGCTTTGGAGGAGAAGTTGCCCATAAGGACGATGGCGAGAGGATAGACGGGCGTAGCTTCCTCGGCGGTGTGGGAGTATGTTCGGAGGAGAGTACGTAACGCTGTCAATGTGGAGGGAACGTCGAGGTGCAGGTCTGAAGCGATGAGGATGTTGTGTGCTTTCTCTGCGGTGAGCAGTTTCGAGGCAATACGGTTCATTCGCGGCCCGGTTGCACGCTCTGAGCCTACACCTAGGAAGTCTGTCCAGCCGAAGGCAGGGCCCCCTAACCCATTCTTTTCGACCTCATCCGCACCCCCGAGCGTTGCTGTTCTTCGCTCACATGGCGGGTGGCCGACAGAGAAGCCGATGAACTTTCCGCCTATGGTGCCGCCAATACCGCCTGTGCCGCCGAGGGTAGAACTTGAACCGGCAGTTGGGTCGCCGGCATTCTCCTCGTAGCTGCCGTCTACCAGGACAATCATTCCGGGTGCGAAGAATGTACCGTCTTCGGGTATAGGACGTGCGTGTTGGAGGTCTAATGATATTGTGCCTGTGAGATCGGAGAGGGCGAGGGTACCTGTTGGTGAGATAGTGATCATGCCGAGGAGTAGATGTGTGCTTCCGCTTCGGCCCAGGAGATTTGCGATGGGGGTGATTGTATTTGCGCCAGAGATGGCGATCGAGCCTGTCCTACTGAGCGTAGCCGATCGAGCTGCGGAGAATGTGGGCGCTTGGAAAGTTTCGTTTCTGAGTATGCGCTGGTGGACGACGTGATAGCGTTGTCTGAAGAGGTCGGTCTTGTGAGATGGATCTGGGAATAGCGACGGCTTGGTGGTTGACCTTCTCAAATCAGCGGAACCCTTTCAATGGCAGCGAGAACCTACCTGTCAAAATGCTCCTTAGACACATTGTACACCAACTTCGGCTGCTCGAACGCTCCAATTACCTTCATCCACTCTCGTGGATCCTTCAGTAACTCTTCTTCCTCGTCTTTGTCTTCAACCTCCAAGCTCGAGATCCCAAAGCTGGTGTTGTGATCCAAAGAAGGTCTACTCTCCAAGCTCGGTGCACCGTTATTGTTCGCATCTGGGCCGAAGTTGAAACTGCCTTGCCTGCCGAGATTCGAGGCATTTACTACCCTGCCTCCACTCATGGATCCCTCAAGAGCCTTCAATATTCTCTTCAGCGCCTCCCCATCACCTTCCACGATAACTTGTCCGTTATCCTTTTTCCAACTCTTTGCTACTTCCTCCAGCACTTTCTCTGCTAAGCCTTCTTCTCTCCATCCTGCACCGCAATGTTTCCCAATGAAACTCGCCAATGCCGAAAGCGCGGAGGATGTGAGTGTCAGGTTATGTTTCTTCGTGAATGTTCGGAATGCGAGAGGTCGCAGTGTCGCTGGCGGTAGCTCAATAGGAAGAACAGTTGCTCGAACGGGAGGCTTGAGCGAAGGCGGGGCGCGTATAGGAGCTGTCCGGCGGGGGTTTATGGGGTGGACCGGTGTGCCGAACGCCGGTGACGAGGAGGGAATTAAATTTTGGGGCACCGCCGAGGGCTTTTCTGGTCGTCTCGCGGTGGTCATTATGTGTATACGTCGTTGAAGTGAGTGATTCTGCGGAGTATTGACGGCGCTCGTCAAGTAATTTACGCGTCGACGCGAATCGCGGCTGCGCGTGTGCACGGACCGCCCGGCCCTCACTTCGATGTTTGCGCCCGCCGAGTCGCATCCTAACGAGAACACTCTCAAACACAAAATTTACCCAGCATACTGTTGTCGCATTGTCCTCACACCGAAATCCACAACATGGCCGAACCCACTAACGACGTCTCCGCGGAGATTACGGAGCTCCCTGCAACCAAAGAGAAGCTCGACGAGCTTACTCAAGCCGCCTCCCTCCAATACTCGCTGAAGAACTTCTCCGCCGCAGCTGATCACTATGCCGACGCCGCTGAAATTCAGTCCAAACTCAATGGAGAAATGGCACCCGAGAACGCGGAGCTCCTCTTCAATTATGGCCGTGCGCTGTACAAAGTCGCAATCGCGAAGAGCGATGTGTTAGGCACCAAGGTCGCACAGGAAGAGAAGAAGAAGCCCAAGACGAAGAAGGTGAAAAAAGAGGAGACGATACCTGAAGAAGGCAGCGCAGCAACGAATGGCTCATCGGCAGCGGCAGGGAAGGAGCAGACCGCAGAGTCGAAGCCGTTTTTCCAGCTGACTGGTATGGAGAATTGGGATGACTCGGACGAGGAGGGGGACGACGACGAGGAAGGCGAAGGTCAAGAAGAAGAGCAAGACGACTTCGGTGACTCGTTCGAGATGTTCGAGATTGCGCGCGTGCTGTACCACAAGCAGCTAGAAACGCACGAGGGAAGTGACAGCGCAGACAAGGGCAAGGGCAAAGCCGAGCTGACGCCAGAGGCGCGCGCAATCAAGGAAAAACTCGCAGATATCTATGGTTTCCTAGTCGATCTTTCCTTCGAGAACGAGCGCTTCCACGACGCGATACCGGATGCACGTACATCACTGGCGCTGCTGGAGGACCTGTATAATTTCGGCCATGAAAAGGTCACCTCAGCTCACTATACGCTATCATTGGCTCTAGAGTTTGCCTCAATGGCGAAGATTCGCGAGCAGCAGGCGAACAAGGAAGTAGCCCCCGAAGACGCCAAGAAACAAGAGGAAGATGTCGTTGATTGGGATCTGAGAAACGAAGCAAGCAAGCACACCGAGCTAGCCATAAACAATCAAGAAGCGCACCTGAAGAAAGCAGAGGAGTCTCTGTCTTCAGGAAGTTTTGCACCCGAGCAGAAGAAGGAGCTAGAAGCTGAATTGGCGGATAAGAAGAGCATGTTGGAAGACCTGAAGACAAGGGTAAGTCCAGTGCCTGTACATCCCGACTACACCAACAGGTGACTAATAGCGAACAGCTCGTGGATCTCAAGGAAGACCCCACAAAGCAGAAATTCGACGCCGTCGATCCTACGGTCTTTCAAGGCTTGCTCGGCGGGCTTCTAGGTGCAGACCCAGCAACGCAAAAGGCTGCTCTTGCCGAGGCCACAAAGTCGGCGAATGACATCTCTGGGCTCGTCAAGACGAGGAAAAAGGAAAAGCCTGCACCTGCAGCATCTTCGTCCTCGGCAGGCGCCGCGTCGAGCAGTAAGCGGAAGCTGAAGGATGAAGACGATGAGGCGAATGGGAAGAGGGCGAAAACTGAAGAGATCCAGTGAGAAGCTTGAGTTGACTTTGATACCCTTTCTTTTCTCGGGGTGTTTTTTAGGCTCATGGGTCGAAAATCATGCGGGCCTTTTGGTACTTTGAATAGTATTGGGAACCGCGTTTGAGAGTGTGGGGCATAGGGCTCAGGGGGGCTCGTGAATTCATCAGCTAGAGTAGGATTAGCGTATCCCTGCGTGCTAAGCTCGTAATTGTGTCTGGGACATGGTCTTGATCGAACAGCTACCAGTGGAGACCAAGGCTTTACTGACGGAACGACAAGCTATTAGAGCCTACTGGCACAACTTAGCTTGGTATGCCTCGGTAAAGTAAGAGGCGTCCAGGCCTCGACCAGAAAGCTTCCTGACTGTACTCAGGCCACCTGCGCGACAGCGGGGCAGTGATGTTGTCCTTCGTCAGCTCCTTACGAGACACTAAAATCAACATTCGTTGACCATGCGAGAGTGCTTCTCAAGTCTCATTACTGCTAAACACTATGGAATACATATTAGTCCTTCTCGCAACATGCCTTGCGCTTTTTACGCTCCACCTGCTACGGCGCGGGCGTGCCCGCAGCAAGGGTGTACTCACCACGCATCAACCATGGGAACCACTAACTGGCTTCGATGTCCAGATGGCACAGAGTTTGGACGTGCCATACCTGTACCGCCGTCACCAACGCTACGGCCATACCTTCGTCGTCAACAAACTTCTGTCTTTGCCGGATGTCATCACCATCGCCCCAGAGAATATCCGCGCAATCAATAGCGGGAAAGACTGGGGCGTCCAACCCCCTAAGGAAGCGCGGCACGGAAGAGTTCTGCGGCGCGGGTTTCTTGACGACCGACGGTGATGTGTGGCGGCACTCGCGAAGGGACATCAAGCCTACGTTCACGGGACCTAATTTGGTCGAATTGGATGTGCTTGCCACCGAGGTGGATCATTTTCTCGATCAACTACCTGACGCTGGAGCGACGATTGATCTTCAACCACTCTTTTACACCATGTTTCTTAATACGTCGCTGCACTTCCTCGTAGGCATCGATCCGAGACAAGAAGCGCCCGGCGCTCCTTGCACACCTGCAAAGTTCATCGACGCCTTCCATGAGGCCAAGGACTTGACTATGCTCCGCATGCTGCTGGGTCGCGCGTGGAAGCTGGTACCGCAATTCAGGTATTTGAACGCGTGCCGCACCACCCATGAGTACATAGATTACTATGTTGACCAGGCCCAGCGCGAACTAGACAAAGTAACAGGAATAAGCATACTCCACGTCCTCGCAAAGCAAACGGACGACAAGGAATACATCCGCAACCAGATTCTACAGGGCATGCTAGCGTCACAAGAGACCACTTCCGCACTACTTGGAAACGCATGTTTCCTTCTCGCCCGACACCCACAGTACTGGACCAACCTCCGCAGTCTCGCGCTATCCAAAAACATTCAAGAATGGACGTTCGACACCCTATCGACCTGCAAGCCCATCCAAAACATCCTCCTCGAAACTCTCCGCCTCTACCCAAACTTCCCCATCATGGCCTGCCGCGCCCTACGCCACACCACCCTCCCCATCTCCTCCTCTTCCTCTACCCAAGACCAACCAGTCTTCATTCCCAAAGGTACAGAGGCAGTAATGAGCTACTACGCCCTACACCGTGACCCGTCCGTCTTCGGCGCGGATGTCGAAACGTTCAAACCTGAGCGCTGGAACGAGATCAAGCCCGGACAGTGGGAGTACATGGCGTTTGGAGGCGGGAACAGGGCATGTATGGGGCAGTCGAAGGTGCTTGTTGAAGCTGCGTATGTGCTTGTTAGGATGGCGAGGAGATATGAGATGATAGAGAGTAGGGACGGGAAGGCGTGGAAGGGGGATGTGAAGTTGACTTGTAAGGATGCGAATGGTGTAAGGTAGGGTTGTTCGTCTAGGAGGAGGGCGTGCGGCGAGGGGGGTGTAGCATTCGTAGATAGGTAGATGGGGGAAGTTTGGAGTGTGTTTTGGGAGGCCTGGGTAATATAGGGTACTGAAGAAATGCTTGGGGAGATACTGTTGCTCGCTGCGCGAACAGATTTCTTGGAAACATTACAACTTCCACAATGCAATAGATTGTATTGATGATTCGGTGGTTTTTACTGGAATAACGCTTATTAAACGTCTCATGAGAATGGATTTACTCTCACTAGAGTTGTGCACTTGAGTAGCTTCAGACAGTTAATTATCCATACTGCATATGAAATTTATAGGTCGTAATTTCATCACGCCTTCAGGAGAGTGGCTATAGAGACAACGTGAAGTCTTACCAGGATTGATAGTGTGAGGTTCCCCACTTGTAGTATGCCATGCCGACTAGCTCTTAACTGGACTCAGGTTACTGTTGATTTGCGAGCAGGGTGGAGAAGCGTCAGGAAAAAGATAGCCTCAAGTGGCCTGGTCCTTAAAGGACGGGCGAAAGTACGAAGAGCTCGTTTTGCCTCACGTCAGCGCCAACTTCATATGCGTACGACAAAACCATGACAGAATATCATTAAGAAGCTTTTCAAGTATAAGCTCTTACGGTACCTGTATGACAAAGAAACCTTCTTATTTTTACAAGGTATTATTACGCTGATATACTGCAGAGTAAAGGCAATCGACTTGGTGTTCTCGCTAAAGCATAATCAAAACAAACGAGATAATTCGTAAGATGGGCTTCGGTAGTCTAGCCCTCGAGGGTCTAGCTGAAGTAAGCATGACTGAGAGTCCTACCGCAAACTACTACCTGAGAAGCTGAGTCTCTGCAATCTATATACACAGGACCCCGCCATGCCCACTGTACAAGTCTAGCTCGTACCCGGAAGCGCGCCCTTCTCGATCTGCAGCTTTCTTTCGTCATCTTGTTCCTTCGATATACATGGCTGTCTCTTTCCTGTCAACGGTATTTCAGTACGTTCCTGCGACGCTTGCGCTGGCTACTATATACGCTGTTTCTCTGGGCGTGTATCGCGTGTATTTCAGTCCGCTGTCGCATATTCCAGGCCCGAAACTCGCGGCTGCGACAAGATGGTACGAGCTGTATCACGATGCGGTGAGGCTGGGGAAGTTTTATAGGGAGATTGACAGGATGCATGAAGTGTATGGTAAGTGAGGCAGCGCTCTAATACCATTGTTAGAGCTCGCTATGCCATTGCCAGAGCTCTTCACGGTCCCACAAGCTGACGTGAATGAAGGCCCCATCGTGCGCATCACCCCGTTTGAAGTTCACATCTCTGATCCAAGCTACTTTAATGAGCTGTACAATATGAAGCTTAAACTTCACAAGGATCCCTGGTATTACTCGTGGTTTGATCGCAATGGGTCCATCTTTGCGACTGTGAATCCGGACCTGCACAAGCTGCGCAGTGCGCCCATTAAGAAGGGACTGTCACCCGCGAGTATCGCACGGATCGAGCATGTGTTGAAAGAGCATTTCAGCCGCCTTATGCGCAAGATTGAGGAGCACAGGAATGAGGGAAAGCCCATCAATATGACGGATGCATACCGGGCGCTCGCAATAGATATTGTGACGGACATCTCTTGTCCGACAAGCATGGCGCTGCTGGATACTCCTGACCTAGGCCACGCCTTCCACGAGTACGTCCGGGACTACACCATGTTCGCCATCTGGAACCGGCAATTTCCCATCATCGCACCTCTCCTCAACTCTCTGCCGCGATGGCTCGTCGCGCTGCAGGGCCCCACAGCCCTGGGCATAGTCGATTCGTTGGAGGCGCAACGACAACAAGCGCGGGACGTCATCAAAAACGACGGAAAGCCCATCAGCAACAAAACCTTCCCCGTCATCATGAACGAAGTGTACAAAAGCACCGAGCTGCCACCAAGCGAGAAATCACCCCAGCGCCTCTTCGAAGAAATCACCATCCTCATCGGCGCAGGCGGCGAGACAACAAGCCACAGCCTCCTCACAATAACATACTACGTCCTCGCCAACCCTCCCATCCTATCCCGTCTCCAGGCCGAGCTCAGAGAAGCCTTCACCGCGGAACAAAGGCGCGAGGTGCTAAGCTACAAAGAGCTCGAAAATCTACCCTACCTCACCGCCGTCATAACAGAAGGGCTCCGCATCGCAACACCCGTATCAGGCCGCTTCCCCCGCATAAACAAGCAAGCGCCTATGCAGTACACGTCCCACCCTTCGCCTTCCGCTCCGAACGGAAACACGTACATACTCCCTCCCAACACCGCAATCTCAATGTCCATCCGCGAAATGCACTACAACGCCGCGTGCTTCCCCTCCCCACACACATTCGATCCCGAGCGCTTCCTCGGATCCGCCAAGATCGATAACATGAAATGGTTCGCGGCGTTTGGGCGCGGGCAGAGGAGCTGTGTGGGGCAGAATCTAGCGTGGGCGGAGATGTACATGGCGATTGGGAATTTGTTTGCTCGGTGGGATGTGCGGTTGAGTGCGGGGGTGGGGATGGAGGATGTGCGGATGGAATATGAGTGTTTTACGCCGTTTGTGAAGGCGGGGAGGGAGGGGTGTTGTTGGATGTTGGGCTGTAGAGGGGGAGAGGGTGAGGAGCGAGGGATATGTGCAAGCGGCGGCATCGGGTGGCGTAGTGGTACTTTGGGGAAAACTCTGGGATATACGTGAAGGGTGCTATCTCAGATTTCGGCTCTACCTTGTTCAAGAGCTGGTTTGGCGGTCAAACGGCTCGCCCCTCATGTGAAATATCTCATGATAGATAATATGCAAGTAGTAGAACAGTCTCCGTGGATATAAAGCACTCACCCGGCACACATGTCTTCGAGCCGACGTCTGGAGACATTCACCCGAAAAGGCTGCTAACGGGAGAAGGCTAGCGTTGGGCATCTCCAACAGGAAGGCACGCAGAAAGCGTTTGCGCGACTTGACACGCAATAACCCTTGGACTACCTTCCGACCGACATCCAAGCCATGGCTCCCACGCTTCGTCGTCCGGTGCGTCCCCCGCCGCGTGCTGCGAACCTACCACCGAACAATCCCTCACACGCAACTACCTCGCACCATTCCACCGCCCCCTGGACCGCCCAGCGCGAGGAACTCATCACCGACCGTGAGCTCAGAGCCCTCGGATTCGCCAGCAACGCCATCAGCATGACGAGTATGCACCCCCCTGCCCCACGTACCGCTCGCCCAGCGCCACTGACGCTCCCCAGAGCTAGCAAACATAGCATACGTCCCTCACAAATACCACTACATAGCCTTGACAGCCAGCCGCGTGCCCGCACAGCAGAGCGCCGAGTCTGACGTCCTGTGTAGCTATCTACTCCGGATACTCGGGTACGCAGAAGACGGTAGACGCTTTGGGACTGTTCTGCACGAGGTGGGGGCGAGTGAGTGGGGGGTGGTACGGCATGCGTTTAAGATGCTGGAGAGGGAGCTCGAGAGGAGGGTGTGGCGTGAGTTGTTTTCCTTCCCTTCTGTCTTTTGGAAAACGGATTAGTACTGATGCCTGGTGAATGCTGCAGGTGGGATTGACGCGGGTGAAATTGGGCCCAGCGTCGGGCCTTGATGGCTTCGTGTGCACCACGCACGGGACGAGATTTTATTACAATCACAGGCTAGGCTCATAGGTAGCGAGCTGCGTCTGCTTGAGCGGGGTTCCAAGCTACAGCGATCGAGGGCAGAAGTAGCAAATGTAAGCGCGAATAGGAGGAAGGGCACAAGCCTGGAAACGGACGCGAAAGGAGAAAGGTCAAGTGCTATATCAACAAGCATATCCGAAAGACAGAGGCTGTTCTATATGCTCTACCTATGGGGAAGGGGAAGGGGAAAGGCAGCGACGTGCCAGGGGTGTGGTGGGCAAGAGTGAGTGATGATATTGTGTTTGGTAGTAAGTTAGTGATCTTTTCACTCGGAACCTCCAGATCTACTTGACCCCTCCACCGCTTTACCCTTACACAGCACACCAAGCTCTACATTGTTCCAGCACGCTCTCTCTACCATCCCATCCCATCCCATCCCATCCTTCCGTCAGTAGCGTCTACCTTCCACCTGTATCCAACCGCTCGACCAAGACCAATACCTATGCTATACTACAGACAGCCGTAAGAGGTGGATAGATATTTGTATCATTCGATGTATGTCCACCTAAGCGGAGAAGTAGCTATGCTAAGCTGCGCTATGCAATTTACACTGAGTTGAAACCGCCGTCCATCGCTACACATGACCATACCGTGCACACACCGTATCGTTACAGTAAAAGCCGAATATCTCAACCCAACAGACGCTGCGCAATGCCCGCCCTGTCACCTACCCAACAACGCCTGGTATCCCTTATCCTAGTGTATGCCAAAACGCCTGCCCAATATCCCAATCCAGAACCATAACGTCGTCACTACCTTTCAATCCTGCAAAATGCCCAGCAGCGCATCAAGCGGATCGTCGTCCTCTTCTTCCTCCTCCGCGTCTTCAGCACCCATTCTTTGCGCGCCAAACCCCTCATCCCCAAGCACTTCGTCTTCGCTATCGCCGTCCACACCATCGCTGTCGAATCCGCTATCCTCCTCCGAGAAGCTAGCATCCTCTTCAGCGCCCATCTCAACATCTTCACCTAGATCGTTGTCCTCTTCTCCGGTCATAACACCGCGCCAACTCTGCTCGCCATCATCCCCTTCGTCTTGATATAAATCCTCATCAGCCTCAGTGTCCCCATCCCCGCGGAACCCTGAACCCGGGCCGCTAATCAAAGGCCCAGAGTGGGGAGTTGCATATGCGAAAGGAGTGCCTTTACTAACGGCAGCTAGAGAGCGCTGGCTAGGGCGACTGGTAAGGTCTGACGCCGTGCGAGGGAGGGGCGCCGCGACGGAAGAGAAGAAGGGCGAGAAGGGCTCGCGAGAGCGGCGGGGGGTGTTGGTCCAAGCGGTGACATGCACTTCGGTGGCATCTGCATTGGCATCGATAGCTGGTTGAGGAGAGCTACTGGACACTCTGCGACGCTTCATTCGGGGGGTGGAAGCGCCAGCCTGTGCATCTTGCGGCAGGGAGGCGTGCTTGACGGGCGAGCTGTCTATTCGACGCTTGGACGACGTCGCGTTGATCGGTTCCAAGACGGAAGCAGAGACTGTACGTTGACGAGCGTACGAGGGACGCCGAAGATGATTCTCGCTCAGCGGAGAGATCGGTTGGGGCATGGCGTTCTTGAGGATAGACGCAGGTGTTATCGACCGTCGCCAGCTGCGATCAGCAGGGCGCATAGACAGCTCGATAGAATGGTGGCTGCCAAACGACGAGTGGACGCTGGGCGGTGGCGCGTCGTACGCTTCGAAATATGCCCAGCAGGCTTCCTTTGCGTCCGCTTCTGCTACCTGCGGTTGGCACTGCCCATCTTTGCCTTCCGCGTGGACCTCAGCTTCTGGTCGATAGCGAGGCAGTTCACGTAGCTCTTGCCACGTCCAACAACTTCCCATCTCATCCTGGGACTGCACGTATGCTTCGCGCTGGGTGACGTAGAGTCGCTTTTTGCCGCCAGACACATGCATTATGACATCTGCAGCAAGGAACTGCGCGGACCAGAGGGCCGAGCTCGACATTTCGGCGGGCGTGAGAAAGTGCAATTTTGAGTCGTGGCGAACTTTGCGCAGGGGAATGAACGAAGCGCGCAAGCCGGGATAGGATTTGATCGTAGGCTCGTCATCTTCGTCGTTGCACTTGAGATGCTCCAGCATGTCTTTGAAAGTATGCGAGAGAGTCGCTTGTATGTCTCTCGCGCTGCCACTTCGGAGCACAATATCTTTCACAAAACCTCTGCTTTTCAGTCGCTTGTAGACTAGATTGGTACTCTTGCATGCCTTGGGCGACAACAGCTCGTCTGTCAAACCGGAAGCCCAGTTGCTAATGGCTTGGCTGGACCAACCGCTCTCGGTGTCGCTGAACGGATGCGAGCTTCGCGATGAATGCCTTGAAGCTGGGAATGGTGACGAATCGGTCTCTCTGTATGCGATTGGAACATTCGCTTGCTCACGCGTGGAGCTCCGTGCTTGTGTCCACTCCTTTGTGTCCTGCGTTGTGGGGTTGGATGGATCGTGCATTGGCTCGTCTGGAGAGAACCATATACCCCTCAGGTCTCGACCCCACGGTAATAGCACAATCTCGATTTCCCATGGATTGGTCAGGGTAGGCGGCATGGCGAAGGCCTCGAGGACGTCTAATCGGTCCTTAATGCCACTGATCTGTGTCTCGGTCTCTTTCCAGTCCATTGCTGCAAGTATCAAAGCAGAAGAGGTAGTGGAATCGAGAGACTGGTTTGATTGAAAGGAGCCAGACACCGGAGCTATGCGACGACGACTGTAGGAAAGACTGCTGTTTTCACCGTCAATTGTTTGATGCAACGTATCATGGTCATCCATTCGGGATTCTAGATGCAATAATCTGCCGTCCACATGATCGAACTGTTGATGGAGATCGTCGGGATGCACATAGTTGAATGAGTTGTTGCTTTCCAGATTCGACAACCGGTCATTGAGTTCCTTCAAAGTATTGGCCACGTCTGGAATAGAATTGAGCAGATTGTACAAGGAGGGTAGGTAGGACACAAGCTTCTGGAGTGACTGCGGGGGTGCTGTGTTGAGAACGTGTTGGGCGTGGTCCTGCGATAGATGTGGAGAGTTGGTGAGCAGAAGCTGAGGCGAAGGAGCAAAGTCTACGCTAGCTGGTCTGTTCTCGGCGGCACGCTTGGGGCTATACTCCGAGGTAATTTGTATGAGATCTTCAATGGCTCTTTTACCATCTTGGACAGCCTGATCGGTCACCGCAAGGTCTGGTGTATTCCTTATACTTGGTGTGGCCACTTCAGTCGCACTTTGCACAAAATCATCCAGGTTGAATGTATTCGGGATGGTGTCACCGCTGACGTCCAGATGGAGGTTCTTGTTGAATTCTAAGATGGCGTCCAGAGGTCCTGGTACTGCATTCGCCAAATGATCTTGTTCACCTTGCATCGAGCCAAGTCCGGTCGCAGGCCGCTTGCTTGCAGCCTGTGTCCCACCAGACGGTTGACCTAGGTCGAAATCGTCCGGAATGGTGGACGCAACTGATTGCGGGCGGTCGAAGGAGCGAGCCGCATCGCCCACATTCAGCATAGACAGACCCAAGCCTGCAATTGTCTGTCGGGATTGATTGGCATCGTCCCTAGCACCACTGTTAGCCGCAGGATAACGATCATTTGACATCAGGCAAATTGAGGGAACCCGTGGCAGACCAGAAGAACTGGGCTGCGACGGAGGGCCCCTCGTACCATTGTCGACACGAGATCCATTGGCTAGTGAAGCTTCATTGCGCATGAAAAGTTGTGTGGGTAGGGTACGCGACGTGGGGCTGTTCAGTGGCAGACTCACGTCGCCCCGCACACCTCCAGCTCTGTGAAGCTCGCATTGGGTCCCTGAATGGGTCTGACAGCGACCATCACAGCGGGGCGCCGCACGCACAGCAGTTGCTATAACAGCAGGCTTGTGGAAGCAGGCATGATGTCCACAGACACAAAAGGTCGAGCGCTGGCTGCTCGAACGGTATTCTTTACCCCCATCATATACATCGGCACTACCAGCATCCCAGAATTGTTCACATCCACATATGCCGACTACGTCGCGATGGCTACAGGCCCCGGTAGGCAGAGGGCGGTTCGAGTACGATGTCGCGATCGCGTGCGTAGAATCGGGCAGCGCAAATCCCGCCATGGGTGATGCCTGAACTTGGCATCCCAGAGCTGGATGGCCAAGTTCTAGTATTGAGACATGTTGTGTATCTACAGGATAGCTTCCAAAAAATTAGCAATTGATCGCAAAACTTTTTGGACGGGCGCATACCGATGAAATAGCAAGTATACGAGGGAAAAGGATGTGTTGGGGAGGGCGGTGGTGGTTATATACGTCTGAGGGAGGAGCAGACGGAGAGGAGGATGCGACGGGCGGGGCCTCAGCAGGCGACGAGCAGCAGAGGAGGCCGTCGATATCTCGACAGCGAGCTCGGTGACTCTTCGCGGCTCGCACGCGTCGAGAGCGGTTAGGCGGCGCTTTTGGGCGCTCCCGGGGAAGTGGAAAGGCTGCGCTATCGGCTGTAAACACGGCGTGATTCGTTGCCAGGCGCCGGGGAAACTGTGGAGACGGCGGCAACCCCTGCGGGAACTACCCGCCCTACCACCGTCAGACTGCTAGATAAACGGCCGCTTCGTCCTCCAGAACGATGGTCCTCCAGATCACAGTCGTCATGAACCGGACGAGTCCAATATTTCCTCATGCAAGTCGCAAGTTCTCTGTCCGTTGCTTGGTCGAGGCAATCCCCAGGCAGCAGCGCCTTCAGATTGCGTGATGCAGTGACAAGTCACAGGTCGCCTCTTCTGGATGCGCAAAGCCGCTCATTGGACGATACTGGAGCGACGTCCCGCAGCTGCAGGTCAAGTCTTGGATCGCATCTTGTGCGGCATTTTAGGCGTGGGCGAGTACTCGTGGTACAAGGCGAAGCTACCGCGTGTCTCGGCCTCGTCAGCTGTGCATCTTGCTTTTTCAGGACGACCATTTCTTGTTGCCTGAGGCTCGACGAGGAGAACCAGTGAAGAACAAGACGATACTGTCTGCTGCCTGAGGCTCGGCTGCATCGCCGAGGAAAACCAGTAAAGAGAAACAGCTATTGTTCGTTGCCTGAGGCCCGGCTGTATCGACGAGGAGAACCAGCGAAGAAACGCGTTATTGCTTGTTGCCTGAGGACCGGCTGCATCAACGAGCAGCTATCATTTGCTGCCTGAGGGTCGGTTACGCTGGCAAGACAGCAGTACGCACGTGAAGAGTGTGGAAAATGAGACGATGAGAGCTGCGTGCTCAAAACAAGTTCAGGAAGGAAGTCCCGATACCGAACCATCCTCCGCCGATACAGAGCACCTGGCACAACTTTGTCATCCGCTTCGATCCGAGACACGAAAGCCAAAGTAACGTATCGTAGAGCCTGACTTCCGAAGGGGCCATGCTCAGGAGAAAAACGTAGCGTAGCCCCTATCATTTCTCTACCACTTCTACACATAACCTTCCTCTCGCTGCAGAATCACCCCATCCACAACGCCGCAGATGCATCCTGGTGCTATCTAGTCAGAGCAGTACCCATCATAACAGTGTCCACACCAGCCACAGTCCGTATCGCACAGCGCCCAATCCAGACCATGCAGGTCGCAGTCATTCAGCCCCGTGCACGTCGATGCGTACACTTGCTGCCGATCCGTCTTCTCCTTCTCCTTCTCCTTGGCCTTCGACTTCGACTTCGACTTCGACGCAGCCGTCTTAGCGTCTTTCTTCACACCCGTGTCGGTAGCCTGCATCCATCACCGTCAACATTATAACATACACGAGAAACAAAGTTGCCGCGTGCAAGTACCTTTGCCGCCCCGCATTCGCGACGGTGCGTAGTGAAGACTGCCTTGGCAGCGAAGCGCTTCCCACAAGTGCTGCACGTGGAGATGCGCGTGTGGGAGTTTTCCCGCTCGTGGGCGTGTAGGCTGTCTTGTTTGCGGAAGGTTTGGTCGCATTTGGCGCATGTATATACTAAAACTTCGGTGAAGGCAGACATGAGGATAAGCTGGCAGGGTGTGGTGGTTGGAGGTGTTGAATGTTGGGAGAGCGGGTGGTGCGCGAGGTGCTGTGTTTGTTTGTGGTTGGATGTTCCAAGAGCTGTCGTGGTGAGAGGGGAAAGCGGAGACTATTCTGGGCACAGTACGGACGTATCGAGGTGTAGCTTATAGCTCGTCCTGGTACGTTGTGTTACCCTGAAATGAGCAATGTACCCGAATGTCTGACGTAGAACACTGTGGAATGATAATGCCAAACACATGCTGGGCTCTTCTCTGCGAGGGGTAGAGACACTTAAGCGCTAGATAAGCAACGCACATCATACACAAAGCGAGAACCTAGTATCGTGTTTCCCAGCATTGCGGTGGAGGAAGGTGCCACCCCGCGCCTTCTTATCGATATCCATGGATGTCTGGGTCGCACGTGCTTTTGCTTTGCTGTTAACTTAGCATTGAGACGAAGGAGCGTGCGACAGCTTGAGCCTTTACGATTGCTACGAAGCGCATACGCGCAATGAGTCTATTCTCTACCACAGCACCAAATCAACGCCCAAAGCACCTTCTACCCCACGCTCCTCAGAATCCTCAGACTCCTCCCTCAGCACCGTACATGTCCTCCGCCCTTCCCCCAATCACGCCAACCTCAACCCATTCTCCTCCGGCCTAAACCATTCCCCCAGCAAATCAGCCAATATCTCACTCGCACTCGCTTTAGCCGCCTCGCTGTTATCCCTAGCGCTTTCTATGTATAACTTGATCTTAGGCTCTGTACCTGACCCCCGCACCGTAAAGCGCGACCCGTCGTCAAGCTCACACGTGATCATCTGCGCGGCCTTGTCCACGGGTAGATCCGGTACATTGTCCTCGCTTTGCGAGTCGTACCCAACGGTAAGGTCTCTCCAGCGGGTTATCTTCCGTGCGCCGAGCTGTGTAGGGTGCGCAGTACCTAGCGCCCGTATGGCCGTGAAGACAGCGGTGGTAGTAGCCGGCGAGGGCGAAATGAGGTACGTATTTGCGTCCTCGAAGTATCCCACGTGTTGGTATAGCTTCTGCAGCTGGGCATACGGGGTAAGGCCTTGAGTTGCCCAGTGGGACGCCGCAGTCAGGAAGATAGCGGCCGCGCTGATGGAGTCTTTGTCGTGGACGGTCTGGGGGATCATGTAGCCGAGGGCTTCTTCGAAGGCGAAGAGTACGTCGTAGCCTTGTGCGTCTAGGTCGCGGGCGACGTTGCCGAGCCATTTGAAGCCTGTGAGGGTTTCGGTGAAGTGGAAGCCTTCTTTTTGGGCGAGGGCGTGCAGCATGCGGGAGGAGACGGTCGAGGCTAGCATTGCGAGGTTTGAGCGGGGTTTTGAGGCGGGGTAGCGTGAGAAGAGGTAGGAGGCGAGGAGGATGCCGAGCTGGTTGCCGGTGAAGATGTGCCATTTTCCTGCTACTTTTTCTGCTGCTGCTAGGCGGTCTGCATCCGGGTCACTGGCTAGAATGAGGGAGATTGAGGAGGCATCTGCCGTTGCCATTGCAAGGTCGAGTGCGCCCTTCTCCTCAGGGTTTGGAAATTTGACAGTGGGAAAATCGGGATCTGGCTCTGCTTGTTCTTCAACAACTACCATCTGGGATGCCACGCCAAGGTCTTCCGCGCACCGCTGCATTGCTGGAAGACCAACGCCGTGCATTGGCGTATAGACAAATCTGATGTCCGACTTTATCTTGATAGATGGATCTTCTGGGTGCGCTGCGTACTGGATCGCCTTGTGATACTGGTCCAGCACAAGGCCCAATGCGCCCTCGACCAGCAAGGACGGTTCGTCGAAAGAGGAAATATCCCAGCTCACAGGATCCAGGTTCTCCAGAATAGCCTGTGCGATGCCAGCGTCATGAGGGGGAATGATTTGACAGCCATTCGACCAGTAAACTTTGTATCCGTTGTCGCGGGCAGGGTTGTGGCTCGCCGTCACCATAACCCCAGCCGCAGCACCCAACTCTCGCACACCAAACGGCACAAGAGGCGTATGCGACGGGGTTTCATACCACCAGACTTTGATTCCTTTGGCAACGAAAGCTGCCGCGGCCAGCTTCGCAAACTTCTCGGAGTTGTGGCGTGCATCCCGGCCAATTACAACGCCTCTCGTCTTCACATTCTTCTCAGTTTGCAGTAGGTATGCTGCCAGTCCTTGCGAGGCTTGTATGACAATAAGCGAGTTCATGCATGCGAAGCCTGCTTGCATAGGTCCGCGCAGGCCTGCGGTGCCGAAGGCTATGCGTGGTCGGAGACGGCGCTCTAACTCTGCAGCATCGCCTTGCACAAGAAGTTTGTATATCTCGTCGGTCGTAGATTTGTCCTTGTCAAGGCGAAGCCATTCCTCTGCTAGCTCTTTGAGATCAGGTGATAGTCCCATGGTCGTTACACTGGGTCGATAAAAGAAATTCCGGGCTGAGGTTGTTTCTTATGGGCTGTCGAGTGTTTGAAAGGTATTTGAAGAAAGAACAGATGTTCAATTCTGGTTGTGTTGCGTCACATAAAGGTGTGGTGATGCCAAAATCTTGCAAGCCCAGTGACCGCAAGCGGTTCGTGGTTGTTGGTAATCGGTAATCTCTCGGATCGGGAGCCGCCGCCACGCGGGTATTCTGACAGGCAGCTGGCACCGGGCGTTGATATTCGGAGCTTCCAAGACCCCTCCCTTTGCGAACTTGCGTTCCTCTGATAGCGACGGATGTCGTAATTTGTTTGTAACGGTTTCGGCAAAACTTGCTCGCCCTGGGCAACGGTCGACCGTTTCCACGTGGGGTTGCCCTGCCTTGTGAGCCCTCGGTTGGCCCGAGCTCCGGTGCCGCGAGTGGGATGACCTGGAACACCGCCTTCCGCTTGACTCCACAAATCCAGATGGATTCGCAACCCTCTCCTGATAGGTACAAGCGATGAGCTGATCCTCTTCCTACTTTGCTCCTTCTAAACCAGAGCCTTCTCCTCCTCTGCGCAGTGCGCACACAACCTCCTCGAATTTCCACGGTCCAAGCAAACATGGCCGCCCAAGCGCAGCGCAAAACGAAGGTGCTGAGCCGCCGCGATATCGAAGGCCTCATCGCCGAAGGACGCAATATTGTGATCGTGGACAATAAGGTGTTGAAGGTCGATGCATGGCTGCCATATCACCCAGGCGGTGACAAGTCCATCAGGCACATGGTTGGCCGTGATGCCACCGACGAAGTTCACCGGTATCTTCGTACCCAAATCACAGCATAGCTATCGCTGACATTGCAATTCAGCTTCCACTCTGCGCAGACGCTCGAACTCACCAATCGCTACCAAATTGGCCGTATCGAGGGACGATGGCTCAACTTTGTGCCGCCAATTCAGGGAGGAAAGTTCAGAACAAGGGAAGAACTGAACAAACTATCCGAGGCGGAATATGCGGAATCATGTTCTTCTGAGCAGGAGTCTGTCAGCTCCTCCTCTTCGGCAGCGCAAAGCCCGGTGTTTGAACCAGCAGACCCGCCCGCTTCGTCCCTTCGCAAGCGCAATGCCACCACCGTCCCACGGTCTCCTTCGTCTTCGTCCGTGTCATCGATAGAATTGGAGCCCATTGCAGCTACTAAGATGTCTGTGTTGGATGCGCGAACGCAAAAAGAGTTGGATTTTGACAAAGCGAAGTACCCTTCCTTAGACCCGGAGAGCCAGGATAATATCGTTCGGAAATACCGGCAGCTGCAAGACCGCATAGAGGCTGAGGGCCTGTATCGCTGCAACTACTGGTCAGGATATGGCGTGGAGTGCATCCGCTATTCCATCGCCATCGCCCTGTTCATTCTATGCTTGCGATCAGGGTGGTACATCACCGCAGCCTTCCCAATCGGCTTCTTGTGGCACCAGCTTGCCTTCGTAGTCCACGACTCTGCTCACATGGGCGTCACACACAACTATTACTTCGACTCTGTCCTTGCTATGTTCATCGCCAACTACTGCGGTGGTCTAAGCGCATGCTGGTGGAAACAAAACCACAACGTACACCACCTCGTAACGAACTCGCCCGAGCACGATCCCGATATCGAATACCTTCCCTTCTTCGCCATCACCCACCGGTTCTTTGAGGATCTCACATCCAGCTACTATGAGTTTTCCATGAAGTACGACGCAATCGCCAAGTTCATGGTTCTCTATCAGCACTTCACATACTATCCAATCATGATGGTCGCGCGTTTCAACCTCTATAGACTGGGCTGGACATACATCCTCCTCAACCAAGGCCCCAAGAAAGGCCAGGCATGGTGGTTCCGCTACTTCGAACTCGTGGGTCAAATCTTCTTCTGGACCTGGTACGGATACTTCGTAGTCTACAAAACGATCCCCGGGAATTGGACCCGCTTCGCGTTCGTCATGATCAGCCACGCCATCACCGCGCCTCTGCACGTGCAAATCACGCTCTCTCACTTCGCAATGAGCACCACGGACATGGGTGTCACGGAGTCGTTTCCCCAGAAGATGCTACGAACGACCATGGACGTCGACTGCCCGCAGTGGCTCGACTTCTTCCACGGCGGCCTCCAGTTCCAAGCTATTCACCACCTGTACCCTAGGATTCCGCGCCACAACCTGCGCCGTACGCAGAAGCTGGTGCAGGAGTTTTGCAACGAGGTGGATATACCGTATGCGTTGTATGGCTTCGTGGACGGCAACAAACGTGTAATTGGGAAGATGGCTGACGTCGCGAGGCAAGCTGCCATTCTCGCGGAGTGCCAGCGCACGATCGTAGCTGGAGAGGTCGCGCACTAATGATTTCCGTATTTGCCCATGATGGCGTAGGGAGTTATACTTGGGTATACAAGATCAATACAAGACAAATCGTCACATCTAGATTATAAACATAGGATGACGTATCCAAGCGTAGTCCACCTCACTCTCTATCCATTCTCCAAAAATATAACCTACAGCATCACCCCCCTAAGCCTAGCCCTCAACCTCCTGCCACCCCCTGGTCGGCCAGTCCCAAACCCATGATAGCACACCTCCCCTTCTCCCCTGATATATTCCCAGCGCCTCATGAACCCCCACGCCACCCCCTCCACCCCCAAAAGGCCGAAGCATCTCCCCTCCCAACCCCCGTCTTCTCGGCCACGTCGCAACCCTCCACTCCACCCACGCCCTTACTCCCTCCTCACCAAGTAACCCTGCGTGGCGAAAGGTTTTAGAGTGTAGAGTGGTGTTACATGCAGGAGTATAGGCGCTCGCGCCAGAGGAGGCTCTCAATGTCCCTAGCTAATAAGAAAAGGTATAGGGACTATACTTAGGACACTAGAATAACTAATCTAACTACTCGATTGGCCTTGCTGTAGAAACATCAGGAACTCCAACCCCTTCAACAATCTTTGCACCTAAAACTTCATAAACTGGTAGCTCAGATAGTCTTGAGATAACATGATGTAGTGTTGGTAACTGTTCCCAATCCAGAGGGTCTATCTTTAAGTCTGCCTTGCCCGCTTTATAGATTTTCATCGGTCTCGGGGTGGTTATTGCTTCCCTAAACGGGTCCCAGGTGACATGCTCGTCAGCGGCCACGCCTTTGTTGTGAGCACCGACCTTCGGGATATATCTGTATGCCAAAATGCCTGCATCGGCCTCACCACTGATGGCTCCAGTTTCAGATGCAACATCGACCTCAGTAAGGTCCGAAAGGAGAAAATCTCCCCAAACTGCACCCTCCCAGCCGGTGCGGACGCGGTAAGACTTGGAACGGCGGTAGATGTCGATCGATGTGTACAATTTTGGCATCCCGAGTTCTTCTCGTCCGGAGACAATGGGGTCTGTCAAGGATTCAAAAAGGATGGGAAGATAGGAACCGCTAACAACACTTCCATCCTTCTTGACGTATTCTACCCCATGTACGTAGAGTCCGAAATGGCTGTATCCGGAACCCCCAAGCCACTCCATCTTGTTCAGTGTCGTTTGCGAAAATGACGCGAATGCGACAGTACCAGGACTTTTAAATCGCCAGCCACGCCGGCCAGGTGGGAAGAGGTTTTGCAGGAGAGTCCGCGAAGTGCTGAATTTGATAGACGCGGTTGTGAACGTTGAATTATTGCCGTCTCGGACCACGCCGGAATGCGTTTGACGGGGACCAGGCATTGGACCGAAAGCGATCGGCATCCGCCAGTAGAGGTTCGGTGTGCGTTTCCACTGCCACTCTCGAAATCGTTGCGTGGCATTGTCGAATTCGTCATGTCCGAAGTTGTAGTTTGTAAACCCATACACTAAAGCAGTGAGTCATTTTACGAGATTATCTGAAGGACTGCACACTTACTGTCGATCTTTGCCTCCTCCACCAAATCTTTGCCGGCGAGGCGAGAAAATTCCTGGATTTTATTCGCTCTCTCCATTCGAATCTCTTCGTAAAGTTTCAGCCTCTCTGCAATCTCGTCTGGCTTTGTACCTAGCGGAAGAACCACTGATAGTGCTGCAGCATCTTCGATTGCAACCCCTGCGCCCTGACCTTGGTGTGGCAAGAATGGATGAGCGGCATCCCCCAAGAGCGCCAAACGTTCGTTCGTCCAGCTGGGAATAACCTCCATGTCCAGGAGTTTCCAAACCCTGATACTTTGGGGATCCGCCTTGCCCAGCAACGTCAAGACAGCAGGGTCGAAGGACGCATACACTTGGAGAAGCTTGGCAAGATTCCCAGTCTGATCCCAAGTTTCACCCGATTCATCCGCACTCTCTGCTTCCGGGTGAACACAGATGAAATTCAGGAGGGTGTTATTGGACGTCGGATACATAATAACTCGACGGTCGTCCCCGTACCAGATGATGAGCTCCCCGTTGTTCTGATTAAATTGCTCGGTCTTGTGGTCTTCAGCGGCAAGCTGACGTGGGACAAGAAATCGAAATGCGCTCTTGCCGCTGCCGAACGGTTTAACGTTGCCTCCTGGGGTATGTTTCCTAGCTATTGAGTGCACTCCGTCTGCTCCAATAACAACGTCGCCTATTATCTGGGTTCCATTCTCGAGAGAAATAGTAGCTGATGCGGAATCAAGGGACACGACTTTGCTGGACGTTTGGATTTGGACTGATCCGCTCCCATTTGGTTCTGTTGCCGCTATTTTTAGGTTGTTGTGTAGATCAATACGGTGAGCAAGAGTCCATGGCTGAGCTTTGATGTTATTACTCAGTTCCATGGGTGCTGTCTTCACATAGGAACCAACTTACGTGTTGCCACTGCTTGTTTGGTTCCCGTAGGTCGATTGACCGTTGTATGTTCCCTGATGCGGTATACTCGGTCAACTGTAACAAGAATTTTAGAGTCGAGGATCTTGTAAGTGTTTCTCTACCGACATACTCTCTCCATTGGATTCGCTCCGAAAGATTCCGCATCAATTCCTAGACGCCTGAGCACCCCGTTTGCGTTTGGTGCTATGTGTACAGCGGCACCGGTCTCACTCGCGAATGCTGATTGTTCAAATACCTGCGTTTTTAGCATACGCGTTGAAGGAGCTAGAAAGATGGCACATACATGTACATCGTGTCCCTGCTTTCGGAGTGCAATTGCGGCCGTCAGACCGCCAATTCCGGCGCCTATTATCAATGCCTTTAATGGCGTTTTTGAAAATGCCCCGTTGTTAAGAATGAGGTCTTTGTGTTCGCCATTTGTACCGTTCATTCCGATAGAGCTCGCCATCTTGATCGCCACTCTCGGCAATCACTCGTTCTTTAAAGCAGCTTCTTCAGCGAATGAGCCCAAATTAGCGGACCATGTTCAACCGTGGCAGCATTCAATTTTATAGGTGTCTCGAATTCACTCTATAGCGTATGGCGCGCGGTGGCTTCCGCGGTAGTTAGCATTCTCGCCTGCTGTAGCAGGGTTCGTTCCGGGGAGCGGGGAACATGCGGGCCGGGCAAGTGGAGGGCGGTATATCGGGACCACATCGACTGCTGCGGGGCTTCTCAACGCGATTCAATCAATCTTCTAGAGAATCGAGTACGAGCCTACAGGCAGCTTACTGTGACTAGATTAGTATGTTAATATTCAATCTTGTATCGTGGTACCAATCTAGCAAACCAGCAGTGACAGAAACTGGTCGCGCCCCGCATTTGCGAACTAGCCTCGCTGGACTGAGTTCATAGCAGAACGACACTTTCTACGCAATAGCTCAAAAAATAGCTTTCGCCTCCGGTACACTGTATGCATGACGTTGGGCTCTAACACAATATTATACATGTATAGTATACATCAAGATTAAGCCCCCACAAGTAAAGGGAATAGAACTTGATGACCGTGCACAATCACATTCTGCTCCATATTCTGGAAGGTGGCGATTCACTCTGTAAGATCTAGAAAACATTCTACATACTTAGATCTTTGCTAGCTTCGTGGCCGAAGCTTCATAATTGCTGATCCAGCTATAGTTGTCATGCAAATACTTTCGTGCTCTTAAGTCACCCGAGCGGGCATGGCCCTCAAAGTTCTCTGCCCTTGCTGCCCTACCACAAAGACGACCCAGTTCTCCGCTGGCTTCGGGATTTCTTATTTCCTGATAAGTCACCGTGCGCAAAAACTTGCCGACCCATAGTCCGCCAGTATACCTCGCCGCTTTTCCTGTGGGAAGAACATGATTTGTACCGATGACCTTGGGACCAGATGTTAGAATATCGAATTCATCCACGTGGCAGTGGACATACCTTGTCACCGTAGGACACACACGTCTTCTCGCCTAAGAACAAGGCTCCATACGCCGTCATTTTCTCCAACGCCTCTCTTGGATCTTTGGTGAAGATTTGAACATGCTCACTCGCATATTCGTCACCCAGTTTCCATGCCTCATCTAGCGAGTTCACTACAACCACTTCTCCAAACGCTTTCCATGATGCCCCCGCTAGTTGCGCAGTCGGCAACTCCTTAAGTAGTTCATCAATAATCTCCATTGACTTCATCCCTACTTCCTCGGAAGTCGTTATGATGACTGCAGGTGAGTCCGGACCATGTTCGGCTTGAGACAGGATGTCAGTTGCAACGGTGAAAGGATCAGCCGTTTCATCGGTGATGATAAGAATTTCGGTTGGCCCAGCAAAGAGGTCGATGCCGATATCTCCGAACAACTGCCTCTTACCTTCTGCCACAAAAGCATTCCCAGGGCCAGCGAGAAAGTCAACCTTGCGGATCGTCTCGGTTCCAATGGCAAGGGCTGCAACGGCTTGAACACCACCAAGAATGTATATTTCATCAACACCGGCAAGATGCATCGTTGCGACGGTGGCATTTGGTATTTGGCCAGCGATTGGTGGTGTGGCTCCTATTACATGTTGAACGCCGGCGACTTTGGCGGTGAGGATAGTCATGTGTGCTGAAGCCAAAAGAGGATAGCGACCACCAGGAATATACCTATGGCCAGTCAATATCCGTTTGATAAATCTGTTAGTATAACACTTACGCCCCAACAACGGAAATGGGATTGTTCTTTTGGCCTAGGAAGACACCCTAAATTCTGTTAGATACAGAAAAGTTAAATAGTAGCACGGTTCCCACCTACCGGTTGGGTCTCTATCTCAAAATCGCGAATAGAGTCTCTTTGAGCCTGAGCAAATCTTCTAACGTTCGCCTGCACCAGCTTGATATCTTCTATGGTCTGTTTCGGGACTGCAGCTATTGCAGCATCAATCCGTTCCTTTGACAGCTTGAACGACTCCGGCGACCATCTGTCGAACTTCTCCGAGTATTTTCGAACGGCACTGTCACCATATTGCCGAATATCGTCAATGACCCCCTTCACAATAGAAGCTACATCAAGTTCAGGAGCGCTTGATGATTTTGCTGCTTTTGTGCCAATTTTCAGATATCGTGGAGCCATGGCAACGAATATGGTGCGTCATACAATAGTTGTACCTGAAATGGAAGATATTGCAAGCAAATGGATCGGATTGCGTGCAAATTAATAAGTTCAATATATTGACCTATGGTTCTATTATGAGGGTTCTCATGGTACTACTCAGAACCTGACTTGCGTGACGCCGCTATGTCGGCCCCACTTCCAAGAGTGCATTTCCGATCCACCGCATTCGGGAATTTAGACCGCCGTTATTGCCGCAAAACTTACTGAACTCAACAAACCGAGTGAACCCATCACATTGACTCGAATAGCGCCGTGAGAGGAGAAAAGGCAATCTTCGACTAACAAGAACATCGAATCCGCAAAGATCCCGAGGTTGACAAGTCTCACCGGAAGTTTAGAAGTCAATATGTGTTAATCATAAGTTCAAAGCAATGGTTTCTTCGTTATTGGCTTATATGCTTCAAAAATAAGGGACGACGATCTTGTGCACTCCTTTCAATCCTTCGCAGGGATGAGCGTTGAATTATCTCTTATTTCCCGGACGGTCGTACATCGTCCATTCCACCACCATAATCTTCTTGGAGAGACTTGCCATCGACCTGTAACGACTGCGCCTCCTGAAGGACATACAACATGCGAGCCCATTTGGTGTCGCTAGGGTTCCTCCAAGCGTGATTGGTGGCCCTTTGGATTGTAATATCGCCCCGTTTTAGCAACCTCGTCTCACCCGAGTCCAACATTAACTCCACTTCCCCCTCAAGGACGACACCGTAATCTAAGCTAATCGTGCGATGCATTGGCGATATCGATCCCGGATTCATGTCTACCACGCGCAATACAGTCCCTCCAGGAATTGTGATGCCTGGAAGATTGATGAGATTCTTCTTGTAGATTTCGAGGTCCGTGTTAGCGGTGAGGTTGACCGGATACTGTTCCGTTGCGTATGCTAGACCGAAGCGGGCACCATTCGCTAGTTGCTGCCATTGTAATACGTCTGACAAATCGTTTGAAAAGTTCGTGTTGCCTTCCGAGTCGTGATTGGTGATGAAACGAGAGATTGGTCGGAGCCCATTGTCAGAGAGCTGTACGGTTTGACGAGACATGTTGATTTTGTTTTTGGTTTTTTTTGTTGGCGTAGGTTGCTCTTCTCGAAGCTGATTTTGACTGAACGTCACGAAGGGAAGAGAAGTATTTTGTGGTTTTATTCGAGCAGCTGGGCGGCTGAGCGGCCCTAACTTGAACATCTGTTTCTGGGTTTATCCTGGATACGGTCTTCCGTGAGGATCGGGTCGGTCTGATGTGGGCCCGATCTCCCTTCTAGGGCATGACCGGACAACAACTCAGTCCATTTCTCGCGCAGGGAATCCAACCTTGACTTCTTATCGAGGAATACCGCGACAACTGTGCATCCAAACATACAGTATCTACAATGACGGCGGCTGTAACCAAGGTTGCACTCATCACGGCTGGGTCTAACGGTCTTGGTGCAGCAATCGCAAGATGTCTCGCATTAGAAGCGCACATGTCTGTTGTTATCAATTTCCATTCGGGCTTGTCCCGCGCGAATGCCCTTGTTCAACAACTGGAAGAGGAAGTACAGGCTTGTAAGGAAGCGAATGGATGCACAACACAACGATTCGCTGCGATTAACGCGGATGTGGGTAGTAGGAATGACATTGGACGATTGGTGGCCGAGACTGTTCAACAGATGGGGCGTTTGGACGTGGTCATTTCGAATGCAGGATGGACCAGAATGACCGATTTTCAAAATCTCGAAGATGCCGACGATGAGTCGGATTGGGATCGCTGCTTTAATATGAATGTCAAAAGTCACTTTTTCCTCTTCCAGGCATGCAGAGAGCACCTTGAGAGAAGCGAGGGTGCATTCATCGCCACAGCAAGCATAGCTGGAGTTATACCAAGTGGAAGTTCGCTAGTAAGTTGGAAGAGAACATGATACAAAGTTCAACTTACCAGAATCATACTGACGTTGCAATTTAGCCATATTCTGTAACGAAAGCTGCTCTCATTCATCTCTCACGGAGCCTTGCGCTTATCTCAGCACCAAAGATTAGGGTGAATTCAGTCGCTCCAGGTGTGGTGCTCACGGTATGTTTACCCTTGTTGTCGAGACGGCAGCTAATGGTGGCAGGACTGGGGTCGTCAATTCCCAGAAGACAAATTGAAGTTGGTGCAAGAGAGCAATGCATTGAAACGGTTTGCTACACCAGAGGTACCTTTTTAAACCCCTCCGTATGGATGAATACCACTCACGACCTCATAGGACGTTGCTCAGCTGGTCAAATTCCTGGCCTTATCCAAATCCGTCACTGGCACAAACGCTGTTATCGATGCCGGATTTTCACTATAAGATGGTCGCTTTCGGCGGCTATCGCGGGAATATACTCAGCAAGTCTAAGGCAAATTCAAGTCCTGAAGCGATTATCAAGAGTTCAGGAGGGCACATATTGTGTAGTGGTAGTGGTATTGAACTTCATGAACGTGGCTCTGATTACGAACTACCAGATCATTCATATATTATCAAGTAAATTGAGGCGCACGTCACTATTGAAGTTACACTCTTAGGTATATTCAACACATCCGTTATCGCTTTCCAAGATGACCATTGCACTTCGAGAGTGCTCTGCTTCAAAGCCAAAGAGCTTCCCCGCATACGTTCATGCATACTCAATCGAGGACACGCACTATAATGTGCTATTACGATATGGGGAAGAGCTGCGGCTTCTCTCCTACTTCAGAGGGAGATACAATATGCCAAACACAAGACTTCAGTTCCGCAGAAATAAAGCATACGGGGGGGCCGTTTCACCTAACTGCTTGGCTCCACCCTTGGACCGCTGTGGCCCGGTCCCAGCTCGGATGCACCACGCCTTTAGGAACACGGCAATTATGACAGTAACCCATAAAATTAAATCGCTTGCATTATCAAAAAGCCCTTTGTTCCAGATTTAAACTCTTACTATGGGCGCAACAAACGACCACACAACAATTCCTATACCCCTTATCATTGATGGAGAAGAGATCCAAACATCAACAGATGTTATTGGCATCTCTCCAGGCACAGGCAGATCACTTTGGGAGAGCTAATGGGCGTCGAAGAAAGATGCCATAGCTGCAGTTGAGGCTGCTCATCGCGCCTTTGCTACGTGGTCGAATTCTCGAACTGAAGAGCGGCGCCGGATCTTTCTAAAGGCCGCAGATCTTCTCTAAGAGCGAGCGGAAGCGTTACAAACTTATATGGCACAGGAAATTGGAGCTCTACATCAGTTCGCCCAATTCAACATCAAGGTTTATGTGGATCTATTACGTGAGCTGACTAGGCGTATTAGCAGCGCTTTGACGGGAAGTATTCCGGTCTGCTCGCTGCTAAGCGATTCCTATCTTCGTGGCTGCAGAATCACGGCGGAATAGTTCCACGCTAATTTCTAGCCTTTATTGGGCACGTTAGATTGCATCAGTGCGTTCCTTGCATTAGCGTTTACAACCATCCGAAGGTTGGGTGGTCCCGATGTTAAACCAAAAATGGCAAGCATTGGGAGAGCGCTCTCTTGGTGGGGTTGGTGGGGTTAGTCGGCTTATTGATTGCAGCCATGATCGGGTTACACATGTGGTGTAGCAGCCGCCAGAAATGCCGGGTTCGATTAGTAAAGACTGTTAAACTGCAGCAGGTACACCGAAGCTTCTATCTTCTGAACAGCAAAAGCAGGAAAGTGTCTGTATTCATTGCAAGCCGTGATTAACTTCAAAACTTCGTTTTAGAGATCTAGAACCATGCCGAACCAGATCAGAGACATCCTCACCGTTGACGAGACGTCATACCTATACTTCCTCGAGCAGAACGTCTCAGTGCCTCTCAAATCTGGCGTCGGGGTTATCCGAGCCAACGTTTACAGACCGAAGGCGGACGGACCACAGCAGGTGACGTGGCCAGTCATTGTCACTTACGGCCCGTACGGGAAGGACATTCCATATGAGACGTAAATCGAGCTTTTTCATTTTAATCATGCACTTCCTACTTTTTATATCCCAAGTAACCGACAGAGCAACTAATAGGCGTCCAGATTCCACCCCAAGTCATTTTCTGAAGTCAATCCCGAACAGCGGGGGCCTCACTCAGCATGGGAAACTCCAGATCCTGCATTCTGGACCATGCATGGCTATGCAGTAGTGCGCGCCGACGAAAGAGGACTTGGACAATCTCCTGGACTTCTAGACACCATGTCCCGAGGCACAAGTGAAGCCTTCTTTGATGTCATTGAATGGGCTGCCGAGCAATCGTGGTCTAATGGAAAAGTCGGCCTGCTCGGAATAAGGTGTGCGGTCCCGTTGTGCCAAGATGAGGACCTTGCTAATATACTCCTGTAGTTATTACGCAGGCAGTCAATGGCGAGTCGCTGCCAGACAACCGAAAGGATTGGCTGCAATAGTACCTTGGGAAGGCATGTCAGACTACTATCGTGACCGCTGCCGACAGGGTGGCATCCTGTCAAACGGATTCATTAAGTTCTGGTGGGATAGACAAGTTATCACGAACCAGTACGGCCTTAGGGGACGAGCTGCACGCAACTGGCAAGTCTCCCGGGTACAAAGTGGATGTCTTCTTTCTGCTAAGCGAAAGACTATCTTGATCTACTTTATAAGAAAAGAATCTTTCCCTCGCTTAGCTAAGACACTAGGCAATGTACCGTCCCCACTTCTGTGAGACATACACTGACTTTGTACCTTCGGGTTTGGCAGGGGTCCAGATACTATTGAAGGTGATCTCTCGACAGAGGAGCTAGCAGCGAATCGACGTGACCAGACCATTGATAACGAAAACAATAGATTCCGCGACGAAACCTACTACAGCTCAAGAGAGTACCATCTTGGAGATATTCAGGTGCCCTTGTTAAGCGTGGCTAATTGGGGAGGTATATGTTTACATTTGCGCGGAAATGTCGAGGGATGGACGTGGGCGGGATCTGACCTAAAGTACTTACGCTTTATTACTGGAAGACATGATTTGCCTTTCTACTACACACAAGAGGTCAAGATTCAAAGGAGCTTCCTGGACGCCTTTCTAAAAGGCGAAGATCGCGAAGGCTGGAGCGTCAAGGGAAAGCTTCCTCCTATTGACCTTGTCCTGCGCAAAGGTGATGCGGAAGTAGAGCAACAATATTCCCGCCGAACCGAGAATGAATGGCCAATCGCACGCACGCAATACACCAACTTCCACCTCACGCCAGAGGGAAAGCTGGCACGGAGTTTATCCACCGAAAAACAGTGTAAGCTTTCATATAGAGCGCTCGGCACAATCGAGGAGCCACAGCTTCTGGGCTTCGAGACCGCGCCGTTTGAAGCTCAAACTGAGATTACGGGCCACGCCGTTGCACATTTGACCGTCAGTGTTAGTCCGTACGCAACCAGCGAAAATGTGCCTTCTGATATCGACCTCTTCGTCACCCTTAGGCATATTTCGCCGTTAGGCAGAGAAATTCACTACACCGGCACCGCCGGCGATCCAGTTCCTCTAACCAAGGGGTGGCTGCGAGTCAGCCTGAGAAAAACGGACCCCGCCCACTGGAAACACCGGCCATGGCTGCCTTACCGACACTACACTAGTAATGATGTACAACCCGTTATTGTCGGAGAGTTGTATGCGGTAGATGTGGAAATCTGGCCGACAAATGTTGTAGTGGAAGCTGGGGGGAAAATTGTCTTTGAAATCGCCTCTGGGGATACACAAGGATCTGGTGTCTTCGTCCACACAAGCCCACGTGACAGGTGAGTTATCCTCTTAGATAGTTCTGGAAATGGCAGCATTTTGACAGACATGTTACAGGTCCAAGGACAAGTTTGATGGAATGAATCACATCCATTTCGGTCCAACATTACAGAACTATGTCACATTGCCCATTATACCACCAAAACCATAATTGTTCGGAGACTTGGATGGAATAATAAAATGAAGTAACCTAGTTTTTTGTTCTCATCGACCCTTCCTAGAATAGAAGAAATAAGCACTGAGCTAGTCAGCTACCATTCACCCCCAATTTTATATCTGAACCACTCGTCGCTAAGTACTTTGCCAAATGTAGCGTTCCATGCCCAGTTCAAGTTCTGTAATAGCAAGCCCTATTAGCAAGGTCTTTCGCAATGGTGCTCAACGGGATCGGATAAGCGGAAAACTATTTCCTAAAAGACACGCGGTCACTCACCGCGTTGGTCTGCACTCCGGTAAACATGACCGTCAAAAACACTCTCTCGCCAGTACTCATGTATACCCTCCTCTCACTTTGGTCTAGATTCCTATTTACCGGCCGATAGGGCGGAATACGGCGGTGGTTATTAAGCCAATCTGGAGAATTTTGCAGCACATGATGAAGTATAGATGGCTCAGATTGCTGAATTTGGGGACTGAGAAGTCTGATGTTTGCTTGGGATGCACCCATAGACTGAGAGGGCGTGTTCGAATGATGGAGCTCATAGTCCGTAAGATGACTCCAGTTGCGCAGCTGGGCCGCTTCCGCGGACACTGGACCGGAGACTGACGTGACAATAATAGTAGAAGACATGATTGTGATACAAAAGACGAAGATAGCAGTGCTGGACAAAGGCTCCGTAAAGCTAAAGAATATGCAGCCGTGAGTAAGCGTTTGGCGGCACGGAAGGTGTCGGGAATGTGGGGCACCGCCTTCCCGGAGCACACGGTCGCGGCCCACGCAGACCACTGACAATCCAAGCTCCGTATCTACTACATCGGAAAACATCTGATCATCGCCACAGCTTCGACACGCCAAAATAATGTATACTGCAAAAGCGACGGAAGACGCGAAGTTGACCATACATTGAATCCAGTCGGCTAATAACATCATGTCACGCTCTCTACAAGCCGTCCGCGAAGCAGCCGTCGACGGACGTCTCCAAAACATTATCTATCGGCAGACCATGTTGGAGAATTTGCACAAAGCTCTTGTCGAGGATGTAGAAGCAATTGGAAAAGCCATCAGGAAGGATAGCGGACACAGCGATGCTGACGCGGCCCTGGAATTCATCTTGACCCTGCAGGCCATCAAAGATTACTACAACACACTCGACGAAATTGATTCATCGCGCCGCGAGTATGCACTTGCGCGGGGCGAAGATGCCACAGAGCGTCGCGACGGAATTGGCATTGTTTATCTTGTTCCGACGAACTACACTCTCTTCTACTCGGTCATGGTCGCGTTGAGCGCCGCCATTACAGCGGGAAATTGTGTTGTAATTGAAGTCAGTATTTTTTACTCCCACAAATCCGCACCTCGCTGAAACGTGCAATTCGAAGTTCAAAAACACAACAAAGGAAGTGCCTCGCCTGCTCCGTAAACTTCTCAAGGTAGCACTGGACCCAAACATTGTCGAGTTCGTGGCCAGCCATGCCTCTGATGAAGATCTCGGTCCGAACCACATCCGCGTACTCCAAGACGGCTGTTCCACAGCTGACGAGCAACCGCCACCACTGCACATATTCCCGCCTCTCATTTCACTGCCGCAGTCGCGAGTTGTCGCCATAGTTGACCGCACTGCAAATCTTGCAAAGGCGGCAGCCACGCTCGTCGCGGCGCGATTTAGTTTCGGGGGTAACTCACCCTACGCGCCGGACCTCGTGTTAGTTAACGAGTTCGTGAAGAAGGCGTTTTTAGTTGTTCTGGTCGAGGAGACGGCCAAGTTTACGGCGAATCTACAGAGGGTCGGACCAATGGACTCCGAGCGAGTTAGAAGAGTGGAAACCCTGCTGGAATACGGCCAGAAGAATGGCGAGATTGAATTCGTCACATCGAACAGCAAAGGATCGGTGTTTGAAGTGAAGAGCAGAAATGCAGAAATCTTAGGTAGCAAGATAAGTAGCGCTAACCTGGCCGTGCTTGGCGTGCGGTCACTCGACGATTCTATCAATCTCGCGAATCGGTATGTACTGTATACCAAGTCATAGAGATCTTCCCTGACAGCATCTAGGACGGAGAGCTTGTTAGCATCGTATATCTTTGCAGCACCGACATCGGCCAAATATGTGAGCCAGTTTTTGCGGTCGCAAATATCATTTGTGAACGAGCTTCCGCTCGAATTCCTCGGTTAGTTTACAAATGAAGCCAAAGAAAAAACGGTGAGAAGAGAAGCCGTACTGACGTCAACAGTTGGTCCTGCCACCCCACGATTCTCGTTAGTTGATCGCTCTCTCCGATATCCCGCCTCGCTCCTGTCAGCTCCACATGCCGAATACAGCACTCCGTCTACAAAATCCGAGTTTGTACACCAGAGTCTACGAGACAACAACGCGAATGTTGTTTTGAAGGCTTTAAAGGGTATTTCGGCTCCGCTGAGTCCGAAGAAGAAGCGCTCTACTGGAGGGCAGCTTGGTTACTTCGAACAAGGCATCTACACTGGAATGGGCATGTTTGGCATCCCGGCTCTGTTAAGCGTCGGTCTATTAGCTTATTATGGTGTGCATTTTGGGTTTAGAATAAAGTCGTGATGCACATGGTCTGTTTCGGTCCTCTGAGAAACATCAAGACGAACTTTTACTTTTCAAAACTCTAAGCTTAGATCTGTCTTCCTATGAAACATGGAATGGGAGCATCACTAGGAGTTTGACAGATATTATGTTGCACATTGCATCAATATAAATCACATTGCTATTCCATTCTATCCAATTTTCGTGTCCCGTAATCGCTCCATGACACTGAGTAAATTCTCCACAAGAGGGGAATTTGGCCTGAAGGGTTCGCCATCGCCCCGCTTCATGGTTTCAATCATGGTCGTCATGATGCCTGGGGCATCGTCTAGTTGTATTGGTGCCATATCTGCTCGCGATCCATGCAGAGTAGGCATGCCGTGGTTGAAAGAGATGTAACGGTATGTTGCTGCCGTTTCTTCATCATCAAGCCATACGGCCTGCTGTGGCGGCACGACGAGACTAATACTCCCAGCAGCCATTCGTGAATTGGAGTCCTGGAAGAGCATACGCGAGGCAAGTGTGTAAGCCCAGAAAGCCAAGCTAGCATGAAAGAGAATGATTGCGTAGAAATCCCGCAAATGCATGGGAGGGAGTCCTCTTGTAGCGCGTAAAAGTTGGCCAGCATGCCACACAGCCAATCTTGATGTCTTGCTACTCGCCCACTCCTTAATTGATGGGTGTACGCGACGTGACTCTTCCTGACCCTCAAGCCCACAAAACAGCTGCACCTCTTCTAGTGACATGTGTAGATGCATCAGGTTCGACTCAAGGAGCAGCGTGCTCTCAGTTGCGTGCCTTAAACGGTAATAGTCAAATATCTTGGCTAGTTCCTGATAGCGAGTCATCAACATCAAGTTGCTGTCCCACAAGGTCTTCTTGCCATAGCACAATAGACTCAACTTCCGGTATTCCCACACCATGCCCCACAGAGCATACAAGAAGGCTGCGCATGAGAGTTCGAGATCAATTACTGCCTCGTTGGATTGCAGGAGCTCTGGATTGGCGACGCATTCGGCCAGGGAAGGTATCCTTGTCGAATCGTTTTCATATTTAGCCCGGTACAGTATCTTCCACTCTTGCGCGGAAGTAGCTGACCAAAGGTCTTGCGGTTCAGGCAAGGGAAGTTCAAGCTCTGAATAGGATATTAAGGGGCCAACAAGAAGTGACATGGAGGCCTGAGCCTCATGACTCAAAAGGCGGTAAGCTAACCTTTTGAACGACTCCTGCTCTACCCAGGCTCGCCACTTGTTGTCTAGCACAAGGTCTTTGTCGTCAGCGGCAACAGTCAGAATGGGATAGCTTGATCGCTTGAGGCGGCCGCCACGCCGAAGCATCGTCAAGAGGGGCAGCTGGAAGCTTTCGGCAATTTCCATTTTACGGCTGTTACCACTCCAGAGCCCAATACCCAGATGTAGCATATACGCTTGCAACATCTCAAGGTCGCGGATTAGCGTATTATCCGATTCGAACGCGACAGGTAGGTGGTTGCGAACGACCTCTTCAATTGCGAATCCCAGCTTTCGCAAGGATCGGTCAGGGGTGAGCACCGCTCCAGCAGCCGCTATAGCAAGAAGTAGTTCTGGTCGAGCTCTCTTTGGTCGGAAGCTGCTGGTGTGGATCCATGAGCCGCCTGTTGGGATAGGGCCTGCGAGGAAGAATTGTATGAGCTTGTCTAGTAGCTCTACCGATGGGAATGCGGATACAGCTGGCAGAATAGGTGATTTGACTTGACTAAGAACAATTGTAAAAATTTTGTCGCGGGTTGGAGAGTCTAGTTTTTCGCTTGTTGCTCGTCTGCTGACATCCGCAAAGCTCTCCGGGCTCCCGACGATCTGTTCCTGCGTGGGTACGGAAAGATTGGCCTGATCAGTATAAGCATGGATCCCAGGAACTGGAACAAAGCGCCAAATGGACTGCGGAAGGTGTTTACTCAAGGAATTTGAGCCACCGTCGTCGCCATGTTTTCCAGAGTTTTGATCAGTGGTATCAGCACCCTGAGCTGGAATTTGGCCCACCAAGTTTTCATATTCGAATGGGACTTGGGTATTGTACGTGTCTAGAAAGTTAAGATCAATAGCGCTAAGATCGAGGTCTGTCTCAAAGCCAAAGCCGAGTAGCCCACTGGGGGTAAGTGTGCCGCTTGGGAGCTCTGCAGCAAATGACCCACTCGGGAGTAGGTCCACGACTCCAGGCAAATGACCTAACCCATGCCGCGGTTGCGGCGTATTCCTGTTGATGTGATCGCGCCTATCTCGCTCAGCAGCAGGCTGCTGGGTTCGAGTCATCTCGGACGAGACTGAACTTAAAGCATCCTTCTCACTATACGATGTCAGATCTGGCGGAAGAGGTCCTTCGTTGGTTGGCGTTCGCAGCGCTGGCTGGCCTTGCCCGCCTGTATCAGGCTCCGCTTGCAGCGATGGTTCTACGAATTGAGGAGCCAGTTCGTTGTCGGCGTCAATAAATAGCTTGGGAGCAACTACGCAAGCTACGTTCTTCCTAATACACCGTCTGCAAGGTTTTTCGTCTTCGCATTTCAAATGGTGCTCTGCACATGCCTCACAAGCCTTGGAGACGCGGGGTGGTGTGGAAGAATTGGCATCAGTCCGGCGGCGCTTCGTCGATGCGTGATTTGTGGCCGTAGTGTGGAGCAAAGCATGTCTTCTCAGTAAGTCGCTATCATTTAGATCAGCAGGAGCAGCATAGTGAATAGAGGAATTCCCTACACTCTGTTAAACTGCTTGTTGCATGTTTCACAATGATATGGCTTCTCCTGCGTGTCTGCGATGCTCGGTTAGCACGTGAGTTGTACGGATCCTGTGGAATTAACAAAGCTCACATACGAGACCGAACGTGACGCGCAAGGTGGTCGAGTCGGGAGTATGACTGCAAGCATGTTCCACACTGGAACAATCCGTCGCGGGCACGGCCCCTCTGGGCGGGCGCTGCAGTGATCGGGAGCGAGGACATGCCAGCCAACCTCCGATGGATAATGTGGGCGCAGCTCACGCGAGGATTGAGTGATGTAAAGAGAGGAGTGATGGAAAATTGGCTTTTGGTACATTCGGGAATGTGGGGCACCCGAAGTGGGGATTGCCGATGCGCAAAGGATAGCCGGGGCCATGTCCTCGACGAGAATGGTCGACGCTCCAGTAATGGTCGATCGCAATAGTACCCCGGCAAAGGGCTGGATTGTTTGTGCACAAGCGAACATTAGCACACTGGTCGATACGTTGCAGGATCCACTACGAATTATTGCATCTCCTGCTTGACAATGAGTAAGACTATCGAGCACTTGATGAAACCACGCGTGACTGATACCTCGATCTAGCATCAACACCAGTGCACTTCTTTTCTCATGGTTCAACCATGATGCTGGGCGAGGACTCTGAATCAGCCGACTATTGGAAAAGATGTGGCGATGAAGCTCTCGCGCATGGCATTAAAGGGGTTGTTATGATGGTGAGCAAGCACTACTCAACGGAGAAGGACGACAGGCGCTCACCTAGCAAAGGGTGCCCACTGGGACTGTATTGGTCACAATAAAGTTGAAGTTTCCATGAACCCTAAGCCAGGCAAATCCCCGGTTGCCTATGTTCATCCGTCCAAGTATATCGATTATCAGCTCGTCCCGGATCTGGAAAGCGGCAAGAAATGCATCGATCTTCTGGCCACGGACGGCTTCGAAGTGAGCGGCAACGACAAGTTCGATTGGATTCACGACACGTACCTCATTCTGATCCGCATGTTTCCGAAAAGGTGTCCACCAACGACTATCATCTCTCTCAATGCACGATTCGATCCTCATTTCCATATGCGCGTTGGCGCAGCACTCCGAAGCTTGAGGGAGCAAGGTTATCTTCTAATTGGCACCGGCGGTGCAGTTCATAATCTTTACCGAAACGTTTGGCAGCCTATGTTGAAGTACTCCGACAACTTTGCCCAAGAAACGCCTCCGGCGAATTGGGCGATGGAATTTCGTCAGGCAGTCGAAGACGTTATTTCTGGAAATAGCGGACCCGACCTTCGTCGAGCTATCACAAGGCTAATGAAGCATCCCAGGTTCCGAGACGCCCATGCAACAGATGACCATTTCATGGCTGCCGCGTTTGTTGCAGGAGCTGCCGGTAGTGAAGATGACATTGGAACGTACGGAAGGCTAGAAGCGGAAACATGGGAGCTTACGAATATGTGCAATTCGCAATTCACCATCGGGCAGTGGGCATGATCTGTGTATCCAACTATATACCTTTTCTAGCATCATTTTCTCAATGGATGTACAATCCTCCGTTCGCCATCAAATGGAGTCCGTTTATCCAGCTCGCTCTTGGCTCGCACAAAAATCGAACAGCATATGCAATCTCCTCTGGTTTCCCAGCTCGGCCTCCTACAGGCGTTCTCTCAATCACTGGGCGTATCTTTTGCATGAACTCTTCTCCAGCTTGAATAAACCCTTCCGTCATCGTTGGACCCGGACTGACCGCATTGACTGTGACACCATACTTCGGTGGCAGCTCCTTCGCCCACACTTTTGTAAAGCTGTCCACCATCCCTTTACTTCCAGCGTAAATTGTTTGCAGGGCAGGCGCTTCTCTGGCTGAAATGGACACGATATTTACTATGCGGCCTCCATGCTTTGGCAAGTGAGGCAACGTCGCCTGCGTGAGCAAGAACGTTCCCCGTCCATTCAGGTTAACTAGCAAGTCCCAGTCATCTAGCGTCTGTTCCTCAAAGGGCTTGTTCACCGCTAAAGCAGCATTGTTGACTAGAATATCTATCCTTCCGAACTCCTTGGCAGCAGCGTCGGCCAACGTTTTCGGTCCATCAGTGGTAGACAAGTCTGCTTCGATCGCAACGCTTTTCGTCGGTAGGCTCGCCGCTAGTGCTTCTGCCCGTTCTTGTAGACTGGGGCCTGGGTAATTAAGGACCACATTCGCACCTCGCGCCGCAAGCTCTCTTCCAATTTCGGCGCCAATTCCCGAGCTAGAGCCACTAACAAGGGCAATCTTATTGTGCAAAGTTTGCTCGGGCAATTCCAACGGCGCCGACATGCTGGCTGGTTATATAAGTATACGAGAGTTGTACTGAGGAGTTGAAACACAAACTCCAATGCGTAGCGGGTTGTAGAGTCAACGACAGTCTTATCAAATTGCCTTTTTGAATCGTACGTATGACCTGTTCGAAGTTGTAGAAGGGATGATTGATAGTTTAACTCCGACAAATGATATGTTGCGACAAAAATTTGCGTAATCCCTGTCCCGGTACCCGATACCATCGTACAAATTTCATTGCGGAGATCCGCCACAGAACAGCCAGTACTTCCCAAGCATTTCGGCTAGATTCCGAAGAATCACGGGTATCTACTGAACGGAATTGTAAGCAAGCGTCTCAGGCGGGTCGGCCCCACCAGAACGCGTCGACAAGTGGGTTAGACGAATCGGCCCTATTGACTACCAAATGCCCCACTACCTAGCTCCGCGCGGAGAGATCTCGATCAACTTATATTATTTCCGATAGTTGGAGAAATGGTCATGGGATCAAGTCCAAAGATTTTCTATTGGTATACATGCAGTATACTTGCCTTCGTAGTACATTATCATAAGATCCGACCTTAGGTTCCGCGACTCTGTTACAGCTATGGGCTCACAAAATTCGCTGCGCATCATCTGGAAGTCAGAATCAACGACGGAGAACTATGAACGCGCACGCATAGGCCGGGTATTTAACCATCGTCGACCCAAGCGATACCCAGTCGCGATTGTCGAAGCCGAAAAAGAAGAGCACATCGTCGAAGCAGTGAGACTTGCGCAAACCAAAGGCGTTCGTATCTCAATCCGCTCAGGCGGCCACTCCTGGGCAGCATGGAGCGTGCGGAATGATGCACTTTTGATTGATATGGGCAAGTATAGGCAAATTGAGTTGGACGAGGAGTCTGGTATTGTTGCTGTGTCACCGAGCACAACTGGACGTCAAGTAAATACCGTGCTTGGGGAGAAGGGCTTACTGTTTCCCGGAGGACATTGCCCTGATGTCGGCCTTGGTGGATTTTTGCTTCAGGGAGGAATGGGTTGGGTGTGTAGAGTGAGTCACTCGGGTTTTCAACGTTGATTGGAAAACTGATCCTAACGTTATAGAGCTGGGGTTGGGCCTGTCAGTACGTCAAAGCGATAGACGTAGTGACTGCAGACGGCCGGCAATTACGGTGCAATGAGAAAGAAAACAATGATCTGTTCTGGGCTGCTCGCGGAGCGGGCCCTGGTAAGTCTTCATGGAAAGCACAAGGTTTCGATCATCCTAATCTCACTCATGTAGGCTTTCCTGCCATTGTCACGAGATTCTATCTACAAACAAAGCCACTACCGTCACACATCCGTGGGTCCGGCTACATATTTCCCAAAAATAACTTCAAAGAAGCGATGAATTGGGTCAAATCAATTGCGAATACCTTCGATGAAGACACGGAAATCGTCTGCGTGGGGCTTTATCTCCCTTGTTACGCTGAGAGCGTTGCTCTCGTCTCGTTCACAACCTTCAAGGGATCCGACGCCGATGCAATAGTCGCACTCCAGCCTGCAGAGGACTCGGTTCCAAGCTTGTATCTACAAAAATGGTTCGCCCGTCCAACATCACTGCAGCAGGAATACGTACAACAGGGCTTGGCGAATCCTGAAGATCATCGTTATTGTTGTGATAATGTGTATCTTCACAACGAGTCCAATGTTGCAGACGTTCTAGAAGAAGCATTTACAACCCTTCCGAGCAGAAAGTCCTTCGCCTTGTGGTTTAGCATGGCACCGACGTCGCGGAGGCCGCTGCACGACATGGCTTTGTCGATGCATTCGGATCATTATGTAGCCCTCTACACTATATGGGAAAGTGAAAAGGATGACCAAAGATGCGAGTCATGGGTCCGCAATGTCATGAACAAGATAGCACCACACAGCGTTGGTCAATACCTTGGAGATTCTGACTTTCAAGTCAGAAACACAAAGTACTGGGGAGAAGAACAGGGGAAGAGGCTGATGCAAGTAAGAATGAAGTGGAATCCTGAAGGAAGGATCTGTGGATATCTTGATAATGGAGATCAGTCCGGCGCGGAAGGGCTTCCTAACGTATTGCAATGATGGATAATGTCCAAAAAAAAGCCGACTTTCAAACTTTCTCGGGAAATAGAAAATTCATTTTGGTCAATCTTCATTGCTCTACTGTTAATGTGTACCGTCTCAACTCTCAATGGCGACCCTTGAGAAGAATACAGTCATCGCAGTCAATAATTGGTGTTAGCAGTAGTAATAGTCCTCCAGTTAATGGTGGCTGCAATCGGTATTGTTCCCAAGTTTGGCAATTGACGGTAGTCGAAGGAACTACTGAAGTCTCCTCCCGCACCTCAAAACTGCTAAGTAGTATTGAGTCTAGTGAGGTCGGGTGGAGTTGTTGCTTGCAAGCGAAATTGGGGGGAACGGCACCCGTTCCGATGATCTCCACTTTACCCCGGATCCCGCACCCCACAATTTCGTGGAGCAGTAATATCTTGTCGGTGGCCTGTGCTTTCGGGACCACTATCAACTATCGCAGCCACTTTCCAAACACCACAGAATACGCTTTGTATATGGTGTTGATATTCGCCGCCGATCTAAAGAAGACGGACTTTGATAGATTTGATCAAAGAAACCTCAAATATTACATCCACTGCTTCTCTCACAGCGCTTGAACCAAAATCACCGGCAGAACGTTCAACAACAATGGTCGGTGCTACGCCCAATCGAAATCCTGTGGATACAAGAAAGAAAAATACTCTTGGAAGTCTTAGGCTCCGATATGTCGATTCGAACCAGATTATTCTGGTGCCTACCCCAAATGATGACCCCAACGGTACACACACACCCTTCCGTGTAACGCAGCCAAATAGGTTAAGCTAATTGTTGGAAAGACCCGCTAAATTGGTCGAAGAAGTACCGGATGTACGTCGCGATTCTCGTGTCTGCCGCTATATTCTTCTGCAATTTCCTAGCCGCTGGCCCATCGGTGGTCATTACTGAGATAACGGCCGACTTCTTCGGTGCTCCTCCCGAAAACACCAACTTCGTCGCCGACATCTCGAAGACGGCATACTTCTTCACCACGACGTCTTTGATGCAGGGAATAGGTGCGCTCTTTTGGATGCCCCTGATTGTTAAATATGGCCGCCGTCCTGTTTACATCTCGTCGTTTGTCCTATACACCGGTTGCGCTGTGTGGGCTGGTGCTTCAACAACCTATAGCAGCGAAATTGCGTCTCGGATCATCATGGGTGTGGCTGCTGGAGCAGCCGAAGTCCTTGCGCCTTTGACTATTTCCGATATCTTCTTCTTACATGAACGCGGGACCATTATGGCGTAAGTTTTGCGTCCCCAATTTGACCACTCTAGCGAATTAAAGTACGTTTCAGGATCTATACCTGCGCCTTGTCGACTGGTGTTAGTGGTGGCGTCATTATTTCCGGGCTAATATCTATTAACTACCACTGGCGCGTCATATATTGGGTTTCCACTGCCCTCATTGGTGCCTGTACAGTTCTTGTAATCCTCACCTTCCCGGAGACTATCTATCGAAGGGACGAAGCTGCTGCTAGTGCTGTTACGCGAAATGGGACTAGAGGAGAGGATCTTAAATCAAAGAGCACTACCACTTGTAATGAGACACTGGACGCCGAAAGAACATCTATTGACAATTCTGGGCCCGAGAAGCGTGGCTACATTGCCAATCTCCGCATCTTTACCGGAGTATATACCAAAGAGTCGACTTTCAAGCTTTTCATTCGCCCGATAGTACTATTTACTCTCCCGCCAGTTTTCTGGGCTACTCTCGTCATGGCGGGCACGATTGGCTTCCTCGTTGCCATTACGTCTAATTTCGCGAGCGCGTTCACGACGGCCTATAGCTTCGAGCCGTGGCAGTCAGGCCTTTGTTTCATCGCAGCCCTCATTGGGTCATTCATCGGTATCTTTGTCGGGGGCCACTTTTCTGACTGGATCGCCGATATTCAGACGCAACGTAATAAAGGCATTCGAGAACCTGAGATGCGTTTGCCAGCCATAGGCATCAGCGTCGTTACGGCCCCACTCGCTCTCGTACTGTACGGCGTGGGTATCAACAATCGTTTGCACTGGATTTGCCCTACTATTGGACTAGCGCTGAGTGAGTCTCTTTTCACATCCTTTCCAACATGCTCTAACATTTGCAGTCAATTTCTCCATCGTGCAAGCTACCAATGTCTCACTCGTCTACACGATTGACAGCTACCGACCCGTTGCAGGCGAACTCGTCGTCACACAATTAGGATTCAAGTCCGCATTCGGCTTCCTTCTATCATTCTACACTAACCCTTGGGTGCAAAAGTCGGGTTACATCAGCGCCTACGGCGCCATGGCTGGAATCTCCGGTGGGCTTTTAATCTTGTTTCTGCCGTTCTATTTCTTCGGCCATGCTGTTAGGGCTAAAACTTGGACTTGGAGACCCATCCGCATGTTTGTGCACTGGGATGACGATCGCGAAGTTGGGGAATGAAAAAGAAAACTCGAATCGCTATACTTCAGTAAGATTGATAGCAACTGGAATGAATACTTAAAGGTCCACTATTCTTTTATATAGAGGTTTTCCTATTCGTAACCCCTACTAAAACGACAAGCTACTTGTGAGCTCTATATGTGTACTGCATTTGACGTAATAATCGAGAGTAAGCCCGCACGGTGAAAACCTTCGAGTGTAGAGCGTAGTTATATGCGCATGTGTAGGTGCTCGCGCTGGAGGAGGGTAGCCATAGTTACCAGTGAGAGGCTCTAGTAGAGGAGAGAGAAGATAATAGCCTCAATCAAGCAGTAGGAGGCGTTTATGGAGCTAATAAGGAGGTGGGCAAAGGAGCGGTCTTGGGTGTGGCCGTGGCCGTGGCGGATAGTAAGGAGGCAAAGGGTGGGGTCGGGGATGGTATAGGGTTTAGCGTCCATGCTTTAAGGGTGTAGGTGTTAGAGTTTGTTCGTGGGACGTGAGGGTGGAAGCGTTGGATTGGGGGCGTGGAAGTGTGGTGGTTATCGTGAAGAGGCGCTGATCAAGAATGGTGGTTGCTACGGTCGTAAGATGAATGCTGTATCTGTGAAAGTGGGATGTCTGGCCTGGAGGCTGGCTATAGAAGTCGATTGACTTAGTACTTCTGTCGCTTCGATATGCGCGCACTTTGTAAAAGGGCTTCAGAGGTATATGATCGAGCCCATCGGTAAGAATGATCAGGGTGATTGAAATCTCGACACCCCGATGTTAGAAAGGTATACCTAGTTTTGGGGTAAGCCATTAACGTCTCTTGTGGGCTAAATTGATCCGGTACGTTGAGAGTGATGTAACAGTTGAAGATAACCGAAGGGAAGCAGGGCGAGTAGACTAGAAAGTGGTGTGACTTCTGAAGGATGTTACGCGGAAATGAAATCTGGCTGTTAATTTGGTCATCTTAGTTACGAGTTGGCAGACTGCATTCATTCTTTTTTAAAAGCCTACGCATTAGCGCTCACCAGGAGGATTATGATAAGAGGAAGGCAACATTCCAATTTCTTGGAGTCTTTAATGCTGGATCTCGTGTCTTCTAGTCGGAAGTTTCGGTGCCCGCTTCCGTAGCGAACTTGACCGTGCCAAAACCCTTATTCACGATCCCGAAGATTACCCTTGCAATCAGACTCCCAAGCAGTTCTTGATATAATTAAGAAGCGACCGCTGCATAAGGATACAGTAATTCAGCCTACGAATGAACCGTTCGGTACATTCGCCGGATGTGCTCCAAAATATTCCTGATAGCTTTTAGTATAACTTTACACCCTTACTCATGTATTTTACCAGATAGTTTTGCATCGTCTGCGGTTTGAACCCCTCACCGGTAAGTACCATCTTCCTCTTTTGCCGATTTAACACATCGCTCTGACATGATGTGAGCCTCTGGTGTAAGCGAACTAGGATGAGCCGAGGATTCATACCTGCTCGATTGTGCGCATCATGACATATTGCGTATAGACAACCTGCTTCGTCTGGCCTATACGTTGCGCTCTTGCCATTGCCTGTTTTTTAACAAAGGGATTCAACTGCAGCTCGAGGATATGAAATCGCGACGCAATGGTCAAGTTCAAGCTTTCCGGTCAGTATCTACGCAGCTATGATGTATGATTGTACAAACCCTTCTACCCCAGTGCCTAAGGTCATCAAGAGGATGTTAGGCCCCATGATCGATTTAAATTCCTTGAGCACCTGTAGTCTCTGCTTTGGCCTTAAGCTGCCGTGGATGATGTCGTGTCTGAGACCGTTTTGCTTCAGCAGTTCGGCTGCGAGTTCTAGTGTCTTTTTCCAAGAGCAGAAAACAATACTAATGTTCTGATTATATGTGAAGAGGAAAGCTGCGCTACATTTAACATACATTTGTGTCCGGGCTCCCTTTTAATGTCGTGTAGAAGAGCCAACAGTTTCGACGGATATTGGAATGCTGTTTTCTCTCCAGACGAAACGGAGATGTCTGTATCAATTTGTTTCGCAAGATCTGGTGGAACATTGCCCGATGCGCAGAGTGTACAGGCCTTCTTTTTTCCCAAGCATTGTGGCAAGCAGCTATTGCAGACAAGATGCTTGCACGGCGAGATGAACGTGCCACTAAACTTGTCTCCCATCACATCGATGTAGAAAATGGGCAGAGAGCATTTGGCGCAGATGTTCTGCTCCAGCTGCTGGAGGTACGACAGCGTCTCATCATCTGATTCGGACAGCCCGCTTTGTTTTCTACTCGGCCCATTATTGCAAAAGAGTCGCAATCCGTGGATCGACTGGAGTGTTGTAGAAGCGACTTTCAATACCCCACTAACAGCCATCTGAACATGCTTTCTATAGTGCTCGTACAACCCATCGTACTGATGGCGCTCCTGTACCGAAAATGTTAGTGTTCGCGGATGCGCAATGGGGTCAGATAGCCCCATAATGTCTCTCATCCGCCGAAGACAGATGGTTTTAAGAAGTATCTGAAGGTTCTGAAATCGGCTTCCTCGATCAGGCAATGTAGGTGCAATAACGCACGTGCGGAATGTCGAGGCCCACTCTAGATCTGGGATCCTGAGAAATGCAACAAGACTTCCAAGGTCCTCAAGATGATTTTGAATAGGCGTCCTGGTAAGGCACCACCTTCGCTGACCTGAAAGCTGTTGGACTGCCTGGAACTGTTTAGTCGTGCGGTTTCGGATTTTGTGGGCTACACAGTAATTTTAAGTAAGGGCACAGAAAATTAATAACAGATGGCTCTACCTTCGTCTAACACAATACGAAACCAATAGATTCTCGATAGTGGTGACTGGCCTCGTCTGGTATCTTCCAGGGCTGTGGCAAATGTGGTAAAAACTACGTCCTTTTCTAGCAGGAGCTGCTCTCCTGATAGCCGATCGGTACCGAGATTACTGTGATACGTCACTTTGTGCGGGTATGTATGTCTGTGATTATCAATAGAGCGATCGAATGGCGACAGTAGACCGAAAACACACGCGCAGATCTCATCAATCCAATTTTCGAGTAAGACTAGTTCGAGGTTAGCAGGTCAGAATTTGATGATAAAATTATCATTTGAACAGCTTTACCAGTGGACGGAACAATAGTCAGGGTTGCTTTTGAAGGAACTTTTGCATTAGAGGTCCCATTCAGATTCTCGTTCCGGGTCGAAACAAAATCTGCGGCGTCGTTGAGGGAACTCGCGATAGCAGCCAATGGCAAGACCGTCTTTTTGCCGTCCTTGCACTTTTGACTGTGTTGTTTCACGGCAGCCTGAATTTTTCTAATGCGTAATGTTAGCATTATAGTGTTGCCTAAGATTCCTCTGACGTTTGCCTAAGCCATAATGACAAGTCTCGCCCTATGGTCTGTGGCAAGGTGATCCGAGATTTGGCCTGAGATCAGCACAGCTCAAGTATGATAAGCGCTGCCGATAGCTGCCGCACTCAACCCGTGTGTTCTCCATATCTTGATCAATGGCGCGGTTTTCATTGACATGCATGCCTGATTGCGAAGGTTTCAGGATTGCCCCCCGCCTCACTTCACTCCTGTTGACTTAAGGAAAGAGACATCCTCATGTTCTCACTCTATGTCGAGGAAAACCTTTGGTAAAGCGGAATGCCCTCGACTTTACTTAGTCAGTGTTTTCTACCCGTTTACACGATAGACCCAACTCGCACATTGCCGCAACTCAATTTCAGCGCTAGCGTCCAACTCTTTCCTACTGTCGTTACTATCCTGATTAATCGCTAACTTGTGCTTCTTCTCGACGTCTTCAGGCTAGTGGAAGTTGAGCAGGATCAGGGAAGTATTGCTATTTCGACTACCAGTGATGAAAACGGGGAACCGGGAGCGATCGACGGCAATGCAGCACACTACAAGGCATCTACCAGGTCATATGCAATTTTCCCCAAGGACCCTGAAGGCCTTCTAGAAGGCTTCCCTAGAATCTGGCCTGTGATCGACATCGCGTTCCGGTCCTTTGGTGGTGATCGCAGCCAAGGGTACTGATTTGCATCAATGATTAATATCTCCTGTTCACACTACTGGTATGCTGTCGGGTCACGTTCCCGGGATCTGCTCGTCGCTTCCGAGATTGCTCTTGATCAGGCGCGGAGACAGCAATTCTATCTATTTGTGGTGGGTTTTGATTTGAGGTGCTAATTTATCCACCGGAAAACCATGACCGCGTTTCCGATATATGAAGCGCCAGCAGGTAACAACGAGATATGCACCCCAGAAAGTGGCGATGGAAAAATAAAGCTTAATTGAAGCTTAATTGCATGCATATTTGGGGCCTACAAATACTGACGCCTGCCTCCTATGTGAGGTTTGTCGACTCACCGCTTCCAACGCGGCCCACGAAATTATACTTGCAACGATGCTCAGACAAATCGCTCTCTTCGCCCTCGCGGCGCTCCCAGGCTCGTTGGCTCAGGTGACGGAGGGCTTCGAAAATGGATGGGACCAAACTGCATGGCCCACATACGCTCTCGACTGCAGCCAGGGTGGTACAGTCGCGCTCGACACCTCGACCGCGCACAGCGGGAAGGCATCTATCAAAGTCACCGGTGCGGGTGGTTACTGCGGACATATCTTCGTTGGTACGACCAAGGTCCCCAGCAGCGGCGATATCTACGTCAGGACCTGGCTGTAAGTCTTCACCAACTGTTCACGACCCTACCACGAGTACTAATATCTCTCCTCTACAGTAAGGCCTCAAAAGCCCTGACTGACTCCCACGTCTCCTTCATCACCATGCCCGACTCCGCACAAGGCGCCAAGAAGCACCTCCGCATCGGCGGCCAGTCCAAGATCCTCATGTACAACCGCGAGTCTGACGATGCGACTCTTCCCGACTTGTCGCCTAACGGCATTGCAGCCTCTAAGGCTCTTCCTACTGGCAGTTGGCAATGCTTTGAATACAAACTGGGCGCGGATGGGTCCATTGACACGTGGCTGAACGGCGAGGCCATCGCTGGTCTGACCACGAACAGCAGCAACACCAATGCGGCGCAATGGACGAGGAGCTCGCTCAAACCTAAAATTACCGGCGTTTACTTCGGATGGGAATCGTACGGTGGGGATACCAACACGTTCAATTACGACGATATCGCTATTGCATCGACTCGCGTTGGCTGCACGTAGTTTTCATGAGTGAAACACGGAGTGCAGAGCCGGAGCGATCTGTGTAAAGGGCATATATGATCACTGTAAATATTGTTAGCAATTATCGATCATTTGCGGTCTCCAGGATTTTGTTTTCCAGCACCGACAAGCCTGTTGACACACAATGCAGTGAATTGTTGATCACAATTAACCCCACACTGAGACTATCGAGTACATCCGCGGAGCCAGCGCAGTCTCCGTCTCAAAAGGCTCAATTCCCCCAAGCGGAATGTTACCCTCCAATTAACCACCATGTGACCTACATCACCCCATCAAGTCGCGTCCTGGCGCGTGACCCCGCGTCTCAGTGATCATCCGCGACCCACAATCTCTCGGCTAAGTCCCTTGCTCTGTACCTTGCATCCAGCCAGATCGGGCCGGAATGCGACTACCTTAAGCTACTACTGCGTGCAATCAACACCATCACAACGGCTATCACGGAAGCGACTAGTACCGGACTATTTCCCCATGCAATTATTCCGCTGCAGCAGCGCGCTCGATATTGCGTTGAGACCCACAGCCCGGTCTTATCACCTCCAGCTGGTGGGCTGGCGAATGAGGGGTAACCTCCAAGATCTTGACAACTGCTTGGGAAGGTACATCGTGATGCTGGCGGTACGATAGTGGGACGTCTAGCGGTGGAGTAGGCGAAAAGGTACGAGAGCGGGCCGCTCCCGTGACGAGATGTGCGCTGCTGTCGGTGCGACAATGCACCGAGAGTGCTTGTGGTTTGCGCGTCGTAGATGTGCCAGGGTATTATCGATATAGGGGTGAGGGACTATAGTAGACGCTCTTATAAGATCGCGATAGTACGTACCGGTACCTCTTCCACGGATCTGAACGTTCATTCTGGGCAGTCCATCCACGGCCGGTTCTTCTGTCAACGCTTACCATGGGCTCTCGCAGGTCGGCAAGTGCTTCCGGGCTTCTGTATACTGGACTGTTTTTCCTCGCAATACTCGGACACGCAGTCGCTCAATCTCCCCGCGAGCGCTCGAGTCTAAATGCTGGATGGCGATTTTCGCGGTTCACTAGCAACCCTGACGGTCTTTCTTATGACACGCTCAAGCCATGGATCCTTCCTTCTTCCAATGACTTCATAACCCGGGCGAAGTACCAGCGACCATTCGGCACTCCACCAGGTAGCAACGTCCAGTATGTCCAGGGTTCTTTCGACGACAGCAAATGGGATCCGATAGATCTTCCACATGACTGGGCCATCAAAGGACCATTCGGCGCACCTGGCATATCTGGATCTGAGGGAAAGTTGCCCTACGATGGTGTTGGCTGGTACCGCAAGACGATCAAACTCGATGGTGGGGACGTGAAGAAGGGAAAGAACTTGTATCTGGAAGTTGATGGAGCTATGTCGTACGCGAGTGTCTTCCTCAATGGCGTGCTGGTGGGTGGTTGGCCCTATGGCTATAACTCGTTTCGTCTGGACCTTACGCCGTATGCAAAAGCTGGAGAAAATACTTTTGCTATCAGACTGGAGAACAAACCAAACTCTTCGCGCTGGTATCCAGGTCAGTCGTGTCCAATTATCGTCCCGGGCGATAATTCTAATAGTGTTGTGTCACAGGTGCTGGTCTATACCGAAATGTCTGGCTGGTTAAGGTGAACTCGGTCCATGTTGCGCAGTATGGAACCAAGGTCACAACGCCTTCCGTCAGTGCCGGCTCAGCAACTGTAGACCTGAGCGTCACAATCGAGAACAGTTCCAACAGCACCAAGCGAGTCGACCTGATTACTGAAATTTACGAAGTGGACGCGTCGACCGGTAAAGCCACAGGCGATGCCAAATCTAGCTTTGACCGTGTTTCCGTTAGCATTGCGGGTGGAACGAAGAAGGTCCTGAACAGCACCACAGAACTCTCCAGTCCTAAGCTTTGGGGACCGGTCCCGGAGCAGTCCCCCAACCAGTACGTCGCCGTCACAAAGCTATCGGCCGGCGGAAACGGTACCGTCGATTCGGTCGACACCAAATTTGGCGTGCGAACTATCGTCTATGATGGAAACAAGGGTCTAATAATCAACGGTGCCCCAGTCTACGTGAAGGGCGTCTGCAACCACCACGATCTCGGATCGCTCGGAGCTGCCTTTAATGTACGCGCTGCGGAGCGTCAATTCGAGATGCTATTAGAGATGGGTACTAACGCATTACGGACATCGCACAACATGCCCGCCCCAGAGCTCCTAGATCTAGCCGATCGCATGGGTATAATGGTTATGGGTGAGACGTTCGATACCTGGAAGACGGAAAAGGTAGACAACGATTACCACTTGCTTTGGGACGAGTGGCATGAGGCAGACATGCGCTCATATGTCCGCCGTGAGCGCAATCATCCTTCTATCGTAGCGTGGAGCATCGGCAACGAGATGCCCGACCAGTCGTCGGCGTTGGGTGGTCAGATAGGCACGGAACTGCAGAATATCGCTCACCAGGAAGACGGAACGCGAAAATCTACTGCCGGTCTGAACAACGCGCAACCGGGATCCGCCTTAGTTAACGTCCTTGAGATCCCTGGTCTCAACTACCAAGGTGAAGGCAAAGGTTTAGCATTGAACTCGACGTATCCCATCTTCCACAGCATGTATCCGGACAAGATGATTTGGGGCACCGAGACTGCATCCACAGTCAGCACGCGAGGAACATACATCTTTCCAGTCACGAGTGGGATAGAGGCGATCGTTGGGCCTAGCGCAGGTGAGAATGTTACAGCACAGTATGTCAGTTCGTACGAACTGTACCACCCGTCTTGGGCTGCGTCACCCGACAAGGTATTCATACAGCAGGACAGATACCCATACGTTGCTGGTGAATTCGTCTGGACAGGCTGGGACTACATCGGCGAACCAACACCTTTCGATAACTCAAGTCGAAGCTCGTATTTCGGTATCATCGATCTCGCTGGCTTCAAGAAAGATCGCTTCTGGCTGTATCAGGCACGTTGGCGCCCTGAGGTACCTCAGGCGCACATTCTGCCGCACTGGACGTGGCCTAGTCGCGTCGGACAAGTCACTCCCGTACATGTCTTCACATCTGGAGACGAAGCTGAACTCTTCGTCAACGGCAATTCGCAAGGCCGGAAGAAGACTAAGCCATCTGAATACCGCCTTCGATGGGATAACGTCACGTACACGCCTGGAGAAATCGAAGTGGTAGCCTACAAGAACGGAGAGAAATGGGCCGAGGACTCGAAGAAGACCGTTGGTAGTGCCACCAAGTTGAATGTGACTGCAGACCGGACTTCAATTGACAGCGATGGGTACGACCTCTCGTTCGTCACTGTAGCCGTGGTTGACGAGAATGACGACACCGTGCCTCAGGCGAGCAACACCATTGCTTTCTCAGTCGACGGGCCCGGTGAGATCATTTCCACGGACAACGGTGACCCGACAGACATGATAGCTTTCCCGTCTCTTACGAGGAAAGCGTTCAGTGGCTTTGCGCTTGCCATCGTGCGCTCTAAGCCTGGGTCTTCGGGTAGCTTTACTGTCTCGGCAGCTTCGAACGGGCTAGCGGGAGGGGAGGTGGTTGTGCATGCCGGTTATTGATGTACAAGTAATGTCTAGATCTTGTATATCGAAAGGCCATCGTCGAAGATTAGCGCAACGTGCAAGCATACATGCAAGTGATGGGTGAAGGGGAATGCAGTGTGTGATGATCAAACTAAGCCTTCTCGGGCACAAATGTGGGGAAACCCCGCATCCCCAGAATTCAGGAGGCCGGAGGAATACATTCGGCCTTCGGGGCAAGAGTCACAGAGCCAGACCATAACTTCAATGCATCCCACGTGTGAGTCTTGAGCCAACACTCCGGATTCCGGGTGTGGAGATGTCGACTCTCGATTCAGACGGCAGCCCTAGCGTCGTCGGTTCTAGCCACTCTGTAGAGAAGGGAGGACAGCTTCCAGCCAAGTCCGGTCCCGATATTGCATGCAATAGTTGCCGCAAAGCAAAACTACGGTGCTCTCGAGACAAGCCGTCGTGTGCGCACTGCAGAAAGACGGGTATGATCTGAATATTGGGATGGTTCAAGGCGAACCTGCCCTAATCCGTCTTGATAGGACTCGAATGTCTGTACGAATCGAAAAGAACGAAACCAGGGTTGAAAACAGGAGCAATAGAGAACGTACACAAGAGGCTTGGTACGCCTTCCCAGGTCCAATCTTAGACCACAAGTTTTGACGTTCGGCAGATGTCCTCGAAAGCCAAGCCAGAGAACAAGCTGAACTGTGCAGATCCTCGCACACAGGTGCGAGCGTTAACCCCCAAAACAATGCAGCACACGAGATATTGCGATTGCTTGCGAGAGAGCTTCCAAAACTCGTCAACGGATCTAACGATACTTCGAAACCTCAAGTTTTGCCTTCTGGGGAAGCAAGGCAGAGCTTAAAGCGAAGACGCGTACATGATGACGAGACTGCTAGGTGGACGTTCGATTTTGAAGACTCATTCCCATCTATAGATGCAGCGCTCTTAGAGGACATCATTGCCGCTTATTTCTTCCATGTTCATCCTTGGATTCCCATGATACATGAAGGACGCTTTCGACGGCGTCTGGAATATGAAGATGAGCGAGCGAGGCTTGCAGTTGTTATTCAGGCCATGGTTGTTGCAGCATCCAAATTTGTACCGAATGCATGCATACCAGCTAGTATCACGGCACAAGCGAGAAGCAGGGTAATTGTATCGGCCATGGACAATCTTTGTCTAGAAAGCCTTCAGGCTCTCATCGTGATAGCATATACTGACGTAAGTGACCCTGGGGTATATGAGATGGCGATCTGACCGGCGCATGTAGATTGGAGACGGAAACGCAGCAAAAGCTTGGTCCATCATTGGCTCACTCACTCGCACAGTCGAGTATAGCCAACTAGCCCAAGAACGCGAAGACACTGAGTACCAGCCGCTTTGCCAGCCGTTCGAGGTTCTCGAACACACATCAAACTGGACTGAGCTTGAAGAGCGGCGGCGCATCTTCTGGAACGTGTTCAACCTCGATCGGTTCTGTTCTGTAGCTATGAGTTGGAGTACGAGTCTGACATCCGCTGATGTTCATCGTCGATTACCATGTGACGGCCACCTCTGGCGCAAAGAGCAGGGTGTCACAACACCTTACTTCGGCATATGGGACAAATCAGCGGGACGAATGGGGTACCCGATTGGGTTCCTTGTTGAAGACGACGGCCCTCCATCACGACCCAACGTGAACCCCATACCGGATGCGGCATCGTTACAGAACCCGAAGCTTGCGGACATGTCCAACGTTGGTGCATTCGCATATCGCATCGAAGCCACTGAGTCGATGTCGCGCGTTGTATCCTATTTCCTCCAACCAAAAGTCGGCATGCGCAGCCAGCAAGAAATCTCGGCTTGGCTTACTAGGTTCAAAGAACTGGATTTGCGATTGGTACACTGGAAGATGCTACTTCCCCAGAAATGGAAGAGCAATCCTAACATGACTCGCCCAGTCCCGTTAATGGATCCAAATCTCACCCTGGCACATGTTACACACAACACGAGCATGATTCTGTTGCATCAGCTGATAGCCTACCCGCCTTTCCACTGGCCCTTTCGTAGTCGACTGCCAAGTAGTTGTTCCATTGAGGCGTGCTATTCGGCAGGCATTGAGATTGCCACAATTACTCAAAGATATCTGGCAAATTCTCCGCAAGGTTGCCCGGTCGCAAGCCAGTTCGCCTTCTGCATCTTCATTGCGGGACGGATGCTACTCGTGCATTGGCGATCTCATACCGACAATGAGCTACCGAATGATTTTTGGAGCTTGGTGCAGTGTCTGGAAGAAATGTCAAAGCGATGGACAGGGCTTTCAAGCGTACCCTCTGACGAGCAGAATCTATCAGGACAATATGCCGCACGGCTGAAAGAGTTGTACATCTCCTGTGTCAGAGACGAAGAGTTCCAAATTCGAGTCGCCGATTACACGAACGAGATCACGTATACAGTCAAGAATGCGTACGATTCAGTTCAGCAGAGTCAGCCGGAACCTCTCAGAGAAGCATATGCGCATCTGAATATACAAAATCCCAGTGCCAACACCGTGGAATGGTCCGTCCGACAAACCAAACTGCCTGCCGGTGCAGAGGCCTTCAGACCGATGAGTATGGACATGTCGCATATCGACAATCTTGAGGGCGTGGACTTGGATACATTGCCGCAAATGATGCAGGACCAGCAATATGTTAATATGGACCGAATAATTGCATTTGACGACGGAAGTATGTTTGCCGGAACGGTCGATACCGGCATGTTCTAATGCAACACCCTTTGGCTACACTAGCCCCATCCTCATCAAGCGATTACCGAATTGTACAAGATAATAATCTCCATATACTAGACCATGGTTTGCGTATCTCTTACGCGCTTGCTCGTTATTGTTCGCTGTACCGTATTTCAGTAGGCCTTCGAATGTAGCGCCCGGCGTTGAATCTTCGGCGCTAATATAACCGTCCGATGCGCGAACCAAGCTTGCCTTCTCAAGCGACAAAGCAAACGACAGTGTATCATGCACTATTACTAGAGCAGCCTGGCGGAACCGAGAAGCAAGCATGCCTTGATTGAACCCTGCCAAGGCCTGTGAGACTATGAGCATTCCGTTGGCTGCAATGACACCAGCAGAAGAATCCCGGATGATGTTGCTTTCGTCATCGATAGGCGCATCGAAATCCCAGAGCGGCACATACCGACCCTTAATTATGCAAGCTGGAGCTGTCTCCAACCTGTACAGAAAGTATTCGGCGAGACCACATGACGCTTCGAGGAAGCGGTGATCTTTTGTAGATAGATAGGTCTGCGCATATCCTAAAATACCCCATGCTTGTCCGCGCGCCCAATTCGATTCGTGAGCGTAGCCTTGCGCGGTTAGGCGTCGCTTGAGAGTGCCGCTTTTCGGGTCAATATTTGCTACATGGCAAGTGGAATACCATTGGCCGGTATAGCGGAATTCGGAATTGTGCGATGAGTCCATATTTTCAGGACGTAGATGTGACTTCAACAAAGTCTCCGCGTGCGCAGTTGCCATTTCGGCCAGAGCCGGTTCTTGCATATGGTATGAGGCGTAGTACATAAGGTCCAGATTGCACATGCTATCGATTATCACAATCATGTTGTCTTGCTGGTCGAGGATCTCGATATCTTTCTTCTTGAGTAGATCCCAACTCCGGATTGCCCTTGCGGAAGGTACGTATCGAGTGGCAAGGCTTCGTGCTGCTTGAGCGATCGAGTCTAGGCTTCTTCGGTTGCCGAACAATTCCCAATCCATCTGCAGCGCAGGCATGATGATGAATCCTATGTCATGTGTGTCGGTACGCTTGTCCATTCCATACAATGGTTCCGCCCATATACGACACAATGTTAAAAGCTGTTCGCGAAATTGGAGAGCGTTGATTTCTGGCGGGAGCTGTAGGCTTTGTGGGAATCGTATGGCTCGTTCGAGGATGGTATACAGCGTACCGGGAAAAAAGCCGCAAGTCCAGAAGTCGGCCTCGCGTAGAGCATACGTTCCATCATGATCGACATCTTGAGGGACGTACTCTGGGAAAAAGTCCGGGAGGGCTTTGATAGCAGTCTGAGCTGTTCGAAGAGCCTTGGCGGTTATGTTTTCTGCAAAAAGTTCTGAAAGTAGATGAGCTGGCACATATGATGCCTTTCCCTCAGAGTTATCCGCTTCTGTACATGTTGTGCTCGTTAGAGGGATCGACTCCACGCCGAAATAGTCTTCATCGCTCGAACTAGTAAGATTGTGAGGTAAGATCATTGTCGGCGGAGCGGCATGCGAACAGGAAAGGTTGCCCTCAAGCGGGCTTTATGAAGTAGCGGCTGACAGCGGCGAGACGGCTCCTTCGCCTTGATCCCAATAAATCCCATGATCTCTCGTCGAGTAAGCGATGCTACACATCGTCCGTAGTCAAGTGTCCGTTGCAATGTATATTGAGAGTTGCCGTAGGTGTATGAGAGAAGTTGCTCCCACCGCCGTTGCCAATGCTCCGAGGGTGCTGTCCTTGCCAAACTGGGTTTGGCGCAGAGGAAGCGACGACGCGGGGAAGCACGCGTTCGGGCTAGCCTTGCACCGATCAAGGCTCATGTCTGCTCACCACACCGCAAACCGGTAGCTGCACACGCATGGCTGTCTATCTTGGTGGCTACGTACAATTGCATACTTAAGATGCTGCTCCGCAATCTACATTTTACAATCCGGGGTCGGCTCTCTCCGCCTTGATATCACGTTGGACCACTGGGGGTTCTTTCCACCATGCAGACATCAGACGAAGCTGAAGGTGTGTCGACTGCTCAGAGACCACTTGAGGTCGAAGAGAAGGATGAGCAGAAAGAGATTGTCGTGAGCTCTTCAACCGAGAAACCCCAGAGGTCTTTCCTCCTGGCATGGATGTACATCTTCGACTGGTACCCCAGCCACTATAGCAAAGAAGAGAAAAGGCTCTTGCGCAAGCTTGACTGCATCCTACTAACAATGTGCTGTTTATGCTTCTACATTAAATGGCTCGACCAGAATGCGCTCAACAGTGCGTATGTTTCCGGCATGAGGGAGGAATTGAAGATCAAGGGCAACCAGTACGTTTCAAAGCTCATTTTGACGTTCTTTCTGACGCTTTCCAGGTACTCACTCTTCGGTACATTCTATAACATTGGTTATCTGATCTTTGAAATCCCAAGCATGATGATAATCTCGCGCCCGAAGCTTGCTCGTTACTACCTACCGCTGATGGAGACACTCTGGTCTATCCTGACCTTCTGCCAAAGCAAGCTCCAGAACGACAAGCAGATATTTGGTCTTCGCTTTCTACTAGGTGTTTTGGAGACACCCGCATCCACTGGCAGCATTTACCTTTTGACTTCCTGGTATCGTGCCGATGAGGTCTTCAAGCGTGCTGGTGTATGGTACGTCTCGAGCAATGCCGGCGCTATGTTCAGCGGCTACTTGCAAGCGGCTGCGCACAAGAACCTGAATGGAGTCATGGGGCGCTCTGGTAAGTTCGCAAATCGGTTATTTTCCCGCTTTCTCTCACTAATTGTCCCTTTCAGGATGGCGATGGCTCTTCATCATCGATGGAAGCATCAGCCTTCCAATCGCACTACTCGGCTTCGTCATGTTCCCAGGCCTTCCCAGCAGCCCAAAAGTCTGGTGGCTCACGGAAAAGGAACAGAAGCTGGCCATCGCACGCATGCGCAGCGATGGCGTTAAGCAGTCCGCTAAAATTGGAAAGCGCATGCTCAAGCGTGTCTTCACGCACTGGCACTTCTATCTCGCAGTCCTGACGTACGTGTGCTTTCAGGGCACTTCGTATGTTGGTGGACAGATGGCTATCTGGCTGAAATACGAAGCTGACAAGCACGGCACATACACAATCGAGGAAATCAATCTCATTCCGACCGGCGTTCAAGGTGTTGCTATCGTCACTGGCATTTTAGCGACGAGTTTGGTCATGATTTACCCTATGTGGATCGTGTTCACGGTCGTTTCGCTGATTCTGCTATTTGCCAACGTGTGCTTGTTGGTCTGGGAAATCCCGCTCGGTCTGCACTGTAAGTTTCTCCAACATGTAGACTTTTCCTACTCTGCTGACATTGCTATAGTCCTCTGCTACTATCTCTTGGGCATGACCTCGTGCATCACGCCAATCCTCTTCCCATGGGTGAATATGATGATGAAAGACGACAACGAAGCACGCAGTTTCACCACCGGCGCTATGATGACCGTTGGATGGGCTTTCTTCAGCTTCTATCCCATCACCACATTCCCGATTCTCGAAGGGCCGAAGTGGAGGAAGGGCTTTACGGTCAACACGGTGCTTGTGTGCGCTTATTTGACTATTTTCCTGATTGGACAATACCTCTGGAGGAGGGAAGTAGCGGCCGAAAGGTTCGATGCGATCTCTTCGAACAACGAGTACTGGACAAAGAGCCCGACTCTGTGCACGTGGAGATCGCTGATAAGGAGGCGAGGGTCTAGAATTGCATGGAGACGGCTCTGAGATAAGGTGGGGCACCCATGAGTATCAGCATCAAGCTCTCTACAGCTGCGCAACGAATGCGAATAGTATATGATTGCTCGCCCATATCCTGATACCCTAAGTATTTTGAAGAGGCGTCACGGGATCGCTGCATAATTATTCCGAACCCGAGATGCGAAGTGCATAAGTCCCGCGTTCCCCTCGTCTAAGTCCTCTTACGCGATCGTTTCTCACTCCTCATAACCCACACACGTAGCTCTAACAACCATCATGCCATACCTCTCCGGGTTCTCAGAAAACCCTCTCCGCTCCCGTGCCGACCTGATCCGTGCAGTAATCGCCTTGATCAAGCCACTCCACCCGTACAAATCTTCCACCGGAGCACGCATCAAGATAGCGACATCGACAGGCGCCGGCTTCAGCGAGACCGCCGCCCAACTCGAAGGCTACTCTCGCCCCCTATGGGTAGTCGCTCCGCTCCTCCATTTCAAAATCAGCGCTTCGGACCCAGCGCTTCGATCCCTGCTTTCCGATGAAGGGCTGGGACTGGAGGATTGGATAAGAGGGTTGAAGGAGGGTACAGATCCCAAGTCGCCAGAGTACTGGGGTGATGTAGAGGCGAGTGACCAGAGAATGGTGGAGATGGAAACCATTGCCTTCGCCCTTCTCGTCTCGCCCTTTACATTTTCTTTCATGTCCGACCCAGCAGCTCGCGCCAATCTCATCAATTGGTTGAAGCAAATCAACCACCACGCCATGCCGCAGAACAACTGGCTGTTTTTCCGGGTCCTTGTCAATCTCGCTTTGGTCCTAAGCCTCGGGGTACCGCTAGAAGAAGTCAAGAGCCACATTGACGAAGCGCTGGACGTCCTCGACAGGTTCTACATCAGCGATGGCTGGAGCTCCGACGGGCCGTGGGGGGACGTGAGAAAACAAGCAGATTACTACTCCGGCAGCTTCGCCATGCAATTCGCAGCGCTCCTTTTCGTAAAACACGCTTCCTCACTCCCAGTATACGCCTCGCGAATCGAGAAGTACAAAGAACAAGCGAAGATGTTCGCAGCGGAGTACTGGCGGTACTTCGACATTAATGGAGCGGCGATACCATTCGGCCGCTCGCTAACATACCGCTTCGCTATGGGCGCATTCTGGGCCGCTGTGTCGTATGCTGATATCGAGCTCCCTCCTCCACTTGATATAGGCACAGTGAAAGGGTTGTTATTAAGGCATTTGAGATGGTGGACGCACCGCCCTCACACCTTCAACTCCGACGGCACGCAGAACATTGGCTATGCGTATCCCAACATGTACATGGCTGAAGACTACAACTCGCCTCAATCTCCGTATTGGAGTTTGAAATCCTTCCTTCCTCTTCTTCTCGAGGAGGACCACACTTTCTGGACTGCGCAAGAACGTCCGCACCCTTTGACCCAAGACTCACCATCCATGGTTAGTTTGGGAAGAGTAAAACTCCTGTGGCCCCCAAGACATATCCTCATCAGCAATGAGGAGCATCATTTCATGCTTTCCAGCGGACAGAGCACAACGCGCCGCTTCAAAGCGCGCGAAGCTAAATACGGCAAATTTGCTTATTCTTCTGCGTTCGGATTGTCCGTTCCCTGTGGGGCATTTCTTGAACAGATCGCGCCGGACTCGACGCTAGCGGTGAAATTTGACGATGGAGAGGAGAATTGGAAAGTCCGCTATGAGCCGTACGATGTCGAGAGCGGGACCGTGACGGTGGAGGGTGGGGATGACACACTGTTTCTGAGGAGCAAGTGGAGGCCTTGGAAGGAGGATGTTGTGATCCAGACGACACTCATCGCTTCGACGCCGCATTGGCCAGGCTGGCATCTGAGAGTTCACCGGGTGTCGGTGCCTAAGGGGACGGACCCGCTGCGACTTGTAGATGGGGGCTTCGCCATCTCAGCGCAAACGACGCGGGATGAATCTATTTTCGAGCAGCGTGTACGCACAGAACTCGACGCCGCTGGCTCAAATAAGGTGGAAGAAGGCTGGTACAACGACGGAAAAGGATGTCTCGTCATTTCTTCAGCGGGTGCGAGTGGTGTTATGGATCTGACAGATGACTTTGTCAATAGTCAGGGAAATGGGAAAAGTATCATCATACGAGCGGATCCCAATACGTAAGTGAGATCTTATCCTCGTCAGACTGAATTGCTAACAGGACGTTAAGAAACATCATCGCACCCCGGACGCTTATACCTGCGATACAACGGTCGTTTGCTGCGGACAATGCCGGTCGCTCCCTAAGTGAAGACGATGCAGATGTATATTGGACGGTCACGGGTGTGTTTACCTTGCAGGCTTCGGCGGAAAGTCATATGGATCGCGTGTGGGAGTTTTGGGGTGCGAGGCCTGCCGGTCAGATAGTTGGGGAGCGCGTGAAGTTATTCGCTGATAGTTGAGGGTAGTTAGATACTCCAAAGGTTTACTGGTGAACACTTAACTTGGCTAGTTCTGCGGACAAAGATGCCTTCACAGGTATCCCGTGTAGTATGAATTGAATAGCATGCTAAAGTGATGAGGATGTGTTTCGGTGTTAATTTTGAGCAGTGTTCAAGCTTCAACCAAACTAGCACACCATCAACTACCTAAGCGCTCGTTCATGTTCAGCCATATTTGTCTCGTGGACCGCTCATGTACCACCCCTCATTCGATTGGAGCTTTCCCACCTACTCCGTCGATTCCGAACCTAGCCGAAGTGATTGGCCTGCAAGGATGTTAGTCACACCAGACCACGATCAACATCGGAGGTGTTCACGCGAACTTACCGAATGCAACGAGACTTCCTAAGGAGCCACGAGGTCACACCTGAAAGACTGAATCCTTAAAGCCCATGCACCCAGATCAGCCGCATCCCAAGCAGCGGTTGTCGAGTCGTGGCGAAGAACAGGCACAGCATTCGAAATAAAGCAGCCTTTCGACTGGTAGTAGCGACACACAGCGCCTTGCTCCTGCTTGAGTGAGTTGATAGTTCCCCAACCGAACGTCCGGCTGCACTTGGCGAATGCATTGACGTAGGTCTTGTCGCCCGCAAAGTTTGGCTTGCTGAACACAGTGACAGCACCAGGAGTTTGGATGAGATCGGCGGTGAGAGTCTCGCCGTGTGGCCAGCCCTCTTCAACTGAAGGGATCGAGGCAGTATTCGCCCCATCCACGTACGCCTTGCAGTACGCGCTCTTCATCTTGTCGTCGAACGGGCCCATGTCCTGGAACCATTTGATCGCCACGCCATTGATGGTTTCACCGTGGAAGTCGCCGCGCATTTTAGAATGAATGAACTGGCAGTCGTCGTCGGAGTAGTAGTCGCAGGCGTAGCCGGTCCACTGCATCATCGAGGACACTTTGCCGTTCAACTGCTCGGGGAGGTTCACACATTTCTGGTCGGCGTAGATACGGTCGCAGAAGCCGTGGAAGTTGGGATCGGAGCATGCCCAGGCGGGCCAGCTCTCGGCTGTGGATAGATTGGTAGCGGGCAAGGCGACCGCGAGGCCGATGAGGGCAAGTATGAGAGTGAGGAGGAGCATACTTGTGATATTAGTGACCTTTGAGATGCACAGGTGTCGGTTGATGTCGGGCTTCTCAGTTGGGCGAAGTGAGGTGCTAGAGAGAGATTGAGGCTGAGGATTTATATAGCAAAGGGCGAAGCGGTGAGAGATTAGTGCACCGCAATGAGGAAGGGGCCACTGAAGAACAGACCAGCGCCACATATAAGTTGAGCGTTTGCCGATGACGTCGAGTCCTACATTTTCGACCTATAAGTGATAGTCGTGAGTCACGTCATTCAGGTCCGAGCAGAGGCCATGTTTGGGTTTTGAATTGACCGTGACTATCTCTTCGTTATACATGAATATCTTACTAGGGATCCAGGTCCCGGTTGAAATTGAATTGGCGGTAGCCAAAGCCGTCCATCGTCCTATACGAGCCCAAAGCTTCCAATTGAGCCCATACGGCGGGATACCGCGCCTTGATCCATTCCTCGACCTTCTCTTGCCTATCAATGTTTGCTGTGCACTGGAACCAGTTGCCCAATCTAATGTTTCGTTAGCAGTGTTTCCCCGCTGTGTGTCATGGTTTACTCACATGTAGAAATCCGGTGTGAAGCCGTACTCCTCTTCGGCGGCCTCGATTAAGGCAAGAGCGTCATCATGGTGATGGTTTCGTGCAATGGCAGACACGTACGCGGTAAAGATCTGCTTGTCGATATCGACATCCATCTCCTTCAACCGCTGCCAAATGGACTTCGCGTGTCTTTCTCCGTAGTGCGTACCCTCGCATGCACGGAACGCAATGGCAATACTATTGTACGACGGCCCCTCTTTCGAGGATCCGATCTCTGCCCACATGGCCATGGCACGCTTGTCGCTACCGGTTGCAGCATAAGCGAGCATCAAAGCGTTCCTAAGCTGCGTGTCCATCTCCACGTTTAGGTCAATCTTGAGCTGGTTGCTAGCTAACTCTAGACTTTCGGCGTCACCGTTGCGCGCAAAGCCTGTGAAGGCCACGACATAGACTTCTTTATCAGCTGCAATATTTTCCTCGATAGAATTACGCATGTGGAAGAAGACGTGGCACGCCATGTCCGAGCGCTTTCGAGCGAAGAATTCCTTCATCAGGGGGATGCGGTCGGAGCGAGGGGTTTCCGGAAATGCGTTGCGTAGCATCTGGTATGCATCCCAGGCATCTGTTGTGCTGGTCTGACCATCTTGAATGAACGAGGCAAGACCCTTCCGGATGACAACACGCTGAGCGGGTGAAAAGTGATGAGCGTGCATGTTTAGCAAGTCACCAGCATCATGGGGCTCTCCACGTCTAAGATGGAGGACGCACAACGTAGCCACCGTCTCTGGTGTAAGCTGTGCGTTCTTTTCGTGCAGATCGTCCACGATGGCCATGATGTCGTCGAAATGATGTTGTTGCAACTGGCATAAAGCTTGGATGAGCCTGTTGATGGCTTCAATGCACTCGCTGTCTTCTGAAATTTGGCCCTGCAATCCGTAGTACGCAGCACGAGCGCCATCAACATCGTTGATGGAAAGTCGATACCGCATCTGCATGGTGTAAGTTTTCTCGTCCGGGTATATGCCGCGTTTCTCTCCGAGAACTACAAAGCGCTCGGCCGAATACGAGTCCTGCTTGGACATGGCGAATTCTACCAGCAAGTTGATCGTGCTAATATCCGGTTGCACGACAGGAAGTTCGGGCTTTTGCTGTCGCTCCTCCGCATTCCGCCGGACCATAACATTCATCATGCGGTCGATCTCGTCAGCACCCTTGCCAATTGCAGCTGACCAGAGAAAAATAGCATCCCACGTCTCCTTATCAGGCATCTTTTGCAGGAGAGATGCCACGACCTTTTGGCCGAACACGGTGTCTCCACTGAGCGCACATGTGGTGAGCAAAGGCCCAAGGGCATCTCGCAAGCCTCTACCATCGTCCGTTTCTGGAATCGTCTTAGAATACCAGTACTTGGCCTGCTCCAGATCATTCCTTTCCGCGAAGTATTTGACGAGAACCCCTTTAACCTCGGATGTGAATGTGGCTGAAGCATCTTGCATCATCTGAGTCGTTTTGAGCAGCTCTGGCGTGTTCCCTTCCTTGGCGAAACCTGCCGCAACGGTTTTCCACACGTTGCGCACGATCAAGACCTCCCGTTCTGTACGCTCATCCGAAGGCGTTCCAAAAGTTTTGTAGATTAGATCCCTTGCTTCTTGGCTTGCACCGTAAGTGCAAAGGACGCGCACAAGCTTAGGCAACTGTAGTCCCTCATATACCGTCAGTGTTTTAAAATCCTTCTTCGCATTATCCAGCTCCTTCTCGATAACCTTCCCTATTTCTGCATCCAACAGCTTCGCCAAAATCTTGTGTGGCTTTCCGCCCGTCTCCGGTTGGTATCTGTCCAACTTGACCATCATCTTGTTCAAGCTCTTGAACGGTATCCAGGGCTGTCCATCCTCCTTCGGGTTCTCCAGCAAGTACCGAAGTGCATTCAAGACATTCTTCACGTGGAAATCCTCAAGATCTGCCTTGTTCTGCAGGAAGAAGGCGCTCACTGCTTCGGCAACCTTGGAAGGAGGCGGTAGTCGCAGACCATCACGTTGCGCTTCGATGAGGCCACCAAGAACTTCAAAGCCCGCAGGTACTTCGGCTGGTTTTATTTTGCGCGGAGATTTGAACATGCCGAAAAACGTACGCCGCTGGGGCGCAATTGCGTGGGTGCCATGCTGAAAGGACGTTCGAAGTCGTGGTGTGCGCTGAGCACATCCGCGCCAGACCAGAGGGGTGTCGGCGATGATACTGCGGAAGACGACGCGTGTGAGGTGTGACGGCATGGCGGAGGAGCTTGCGGGAGGAGCTTTCAGGCGGCGGGTGGCGTCGAGGTGCAATTGCAGCACGAAAACTATCTGTACAGGTTCGGTAGAGCTTCCATGGGAAGAAAAGTGATGGAACTATAATACAACGATTTACAATAGCTGATCTCCAGGGGTATGTCTGGATGAGATGTGGGAGGAGTGGCCGCCGCGGTAGTGAAATCATATATGTGCCAAGCCGCTAGTCCTGGGAACTTTCTGAACCTCGACGCGCGACCATCGCGAGCCCACAGCAATACCGCCTGTAACCTCGTATCACAATGTCGCTGATGCGGTTACCCTTTCGCCCTGCGGCCGCGATGTCGCGGACATGCACAAGAGGCATTGCGACAACAGGTCCCCGCCAAAATGGTAGGTGCCCCGGTTGCTCGTCGGAACGCTTGACTAACGCTTCAACAGCTGCAGACCTACTGGATATCCTGGGACAAAGCTCTCCGACCCGTCCTGCCGCAGGGCAATCGCTCTCCTCCACGGCCGATTCTGCCAAAGATCCTAAGCTTGCGACACGAATGGGTGCAATGGCCCTCGAGGGCGCCGCCGACCGCCAAAGAGCCCTAATGCAAGCCAGCCAGGAACGGCAGAATTTCCAAAAGCACATCTACCGCAAGTGGAACACTGGTGACGTCTACGCACCGCACGACCTGTCCGGCGTGGAGCAGAAGAAGTGGAAGCTCGCCCGCAAGACCCCTTCAAGCGATGCCTTTGACACGCTCGGCATCAACCCCATCAATGAATACAAGGTAGCTACGCACCTTGGAGGAAAGAGGGTCACGACTAACGCTGTGCAGAATTTCACCATGATGTCCGAGTACATGACTGAGATGGGCCGGATAAAGCACTCGCGAGAGACCGGCCTGCGACCGAAGAACCAGAGGAAGATCGCGAAGGCGATACGACGGGCAATCGGGCTGGGCCTGATGCCCAGTGTACACAGGCACCCGTTGGTGCTCAAGAAAAGCTCTCCGTCGAGATTTATGTAGAAGAGGCGGCTGTACGATGCGGATAGATATAGAGGGTGTATGTATTTTAGCGCAATGTATTAACACGGCACAGCCTGTATCACAGCAAACACCCGTCGTTTATTACAGACCTTTCGCCAGTCTCATGATACTGCTTCGCTCAGCAATGCCCGCCTCTCCTCATCATCGACTCCGCCCTTCGGCACACTCAAGAACCCCACGAAAGCCCACAAGTAGAAGGCGCCCGTAAACGCCATCGTCCAATCTAACACCCCGCTGACTTGCCAGACCTCCAATTGCGAAAGTGTATAGAACGCCATACCCAACGCAGCATCCAGAAACACAACGATCGCACTCGCAACACAACTACTTCCCATTAGCCTCTCTCACGCACCCTACCTGATCCTCGACGATCAACTTACTAGCCTCTCAGTCGCCTAAATACACTAGGCTTCGACACTGAGTCCCAATACACCCCAGTCATTAGCACCATGCCTGACACCAGTCCCAGGAAGCACACCAGCAGGAGCACCGCATGTTCCTCGTGAAAGCGGAAAGTATTTTTCCTTGCACTGACACTTAAACATCGTGCATTCGTGCATCGGCTATTCACGATATCCTCGTTGGCAACAAAAAGCTTATAGCAGCGCGTCCGCCTGCTCGTCGTTGAGTCTTCAGGTGGCATCTCGAAAGGGGTGTGCATCGTTGGCCAGTGTCGATTGGGTGCGACAACAACGTTGGCCGGAAAAGATTGTATCCAAGACATTTCTCGGATTATAGATTGTCTGCATCTTGTTCTGTCAAGTGCACCGGCTCTTATGCTCACAAGTGCAACAGGCCGCCTCGCATAAAACGCCTCTAATGTCTTCAGCCGCACATGACACGAATGGTGCCACCCTGTTCCCCCATATAACCTCAGAGTGGATTATGTGTTTCAAACACGATGTGGTGACGAAGAGATTATGTCTCTGCTGTGATGAGCAGGGGCTGGACGAACGCAACAGACTAGATGAGTTATCGACGTCTGCGCTCTCAGTGTGCTATGATGGCTTGAGAGTTTTGATCTAGTGGTATTGGCGTGATTGTGGAGATTGCAGCTCGAAGATGCCCAGGAAGTGCCGAGAGAATTGATATAAGAGAGCGCGAAGAAATGAACGCTTGAGAGGTCGTGCACACCATCTGGTTCATCTTCCAGCGAGAAGTCCATTGAAACACCTCTTCAGTCCTTCAAAGACCCATCACCGCCATGAAGATCTCCATCGTCCTACTCTCCGTTCTATTTGGTCTTACCATCGCGCTCCCCACACCCGATGACCTAGACTGGCTTTCCCACGACACTGAAGCCCCCGGCGGCAGCCCCAGCTCTCGAAAGCGCCAATACTCCACCGGCACCCTCCACCCAAGCTTCACCCACGTCTGGACCGTAACCCCAGGAGTAGGCTACTTCGAAGCCTCCCCAACCGGCTACGTGCGCTTTCTCACCACCGAAACCGACCAAACCTTCCAACCCGACGCTTCGCTCCGCGGCCACAACGCTACAGTGGGCTTTGACGTCCCGCAGGGCAAGCTCACCGATGGAATGGAGTTCCAAGTCTTCACTGCGCTCTCAACGCTGGTTTTGGAGAAAAATAAGGACAAAGCTAATACGAACGATTCGAGGGGTGATTATGTCGCTAGGTTCGTTGTGAAAGGAGGAGTTGCGCAATTAGCGGATGGGGAGAAGGGGAGGTTGATGGTGCCTGATAGGGAGCAATTTACGCTTCAGATTGTGGGGTCCTTCAGAGTGGAATTTCAGTTCGATGCTTCTACTGGGCAGGGCTTGACTGTGACTAGAGCGGACTGAAACGCCCGTGATGAGGACGGAAGGGAGGTTGAAGGGGCTTCTAATGATGGTATTAGTGATACAGTCAGCGGGTAAGTAGCAGAAGCTTCCCAGGCTAATAGTGACATGGGGTTCTTAAGCCTAACGTCTGCAGGCCGCGGTGGTGTTTTGGATGGGACCTGTGGAGGCGATCTGGCGCAAATACTTGATGCACATGTTCTGATGTAGATGACGTGAAGGGCCCTGGAGCCTATTGGTTTGGACTTTTGTCGCTCCCAATACTTAATTTTTGGTTCTGATTGCATAGGTACTTGAACGTACTATTGAACCGCATCTTTACAGCAGTAAGGCCTACTATCGGCCCTTGACATCTAACCCTCTGCTGCCCAAGCAAAGCATTTTTTCAAAGGAGAACCCCGCAGCGTATCGACTAGGTTCACAGATGTCTCTCCAAACCTCGATCTCACAGTTCATCTTTTCTCCATTCATGATCATCCAATTCTTCCGATGTCACAGTCCTCCCATCCTGTCCCCCATTCCCCAGCTCCACACCCAGCACACTCTCCGTCCTCGCCCCAGAAAACCATTCCCTCATCTCCCCCAGCCATACCTTAGGCCCCGCCACAAGCTCCTCCTTAAGCCTTTTCTGCGTCCCCAAAAACTTCTGCCGCACCTCATCCACATCGCTCGCCAAAAGCCTTCCATCTCTCTTCACAAACTGACCATCCACAAGCACATCCTCGATATCCCCCGGCCTACCATACAGCAAAAGCGCACTCACAGCATCCCCCGTACTCCACCCCAACATCGCAGGATTGCGACTAACGTCCCAGACAAGAATATCTGCTTTCGCCCCCGCGGCTATAACGCCTACATTCGGCCTCCTGAGCGCCAGACCGCCCTGCCTTGTGGCTATCAAAAAAGCCTGATGCGTGCTCATGGCTGAAGAAAGGGGGACTTTCCAGCGCCGTAGCACGCTTTCGTAGCCTAGATTGCGCACATATTGGAGGAGAATGCGCGCTTGGGTGAGCAGGTCTCCGGCTGCGACCATTAATCCGTCTATGCTGAGGGAGGCGACGTCGAGCCAGAGGTGGGCTGTGGGATTGGTTTGGCCGAATGCCATTTCGCTTTCTATCGCGATGGAGGCGTATTGGTTCGTTTCTTTGAGGAGGCGGTAGCCGGGGTGGTCGAGGAAGCTGGCGTGGGAGATGACGACCGGGGTGGAGATGTTGAGGATGGCGAGGCGGTGGAGGAGTTGCGGGGTGTTGTCGACTAGGAGGAGCATTAGACGGGGTAAGTTAAGTTAATTTCTAAGTGGTTCGACGTGATATTGAGGATGGACGGCGTACCTCCGTATGGGCCCGCAAGCATGTGCGTTGTTAATACAGGGAGAGTCTGCTGTCTATCGCCATGGCATTTAATGTTAGCGCCTCCTTTCATGGTCTCTGTTTGAGTATCGCATCTGGTCTGCTCTTACCGTATCAACGCTAGAACGGGCTCAAGCTCTTCCTCGGTCTTGCGGCTGAACGCATCACAGGAGACGCCCAAGCTAACGATAGACTTATTGAGGGCATCTCCGTAAATTTCAGAGAGCTTCTTGAACTCCGCTACCTGGTCGGCTATCGGCGTATCAAAGCCGTTGGTCCCCACGGTAAACGCGTGGAAGATCCTAGCGCCGCTGTCCATGGAAGCCCTCAGCGCGGCTTCGGCACGAGCCAGACCCGGAGGATGGTGAGCATGATCCAATTGCGTCGTCACCCCAGTTTCCAGTCCTTCGTATATACTCACAAGCTGAGTGTTGTAGATGTCCTCCGGCTGTATGGTCTGTAGCACCTGCGTGTTCATTGTGTTGATGAAATAGTCCGCCATGACGTTGGGAACAGGCAGATGTCGAAACATGGTTTGCCAGTTCTGGCGATGCGTGTCGACAAAGCCTGGGGTGATGATCTTGCCGGTAGCGTCGATGACTTCAACATCATTCGCGAGAGCTGGGGGCTTTTCATCCTGTGAGAAAATGCCAGTGATACGGTCGTCCACGATGAGGAGAGATCCGTTCCGTGTAACCTCCAAACTCTGTAGTTCTTCATTCCATCCAACAATAGTAGGTCCAGTGTAAAGTATGGAAGATGCAGACAGGAGTTGAGCGAATAGTAAAGTTTTGATAATCGTTATCTTCAGGGGAGACATTGTTAGACAAGGCTCAAAACAGTCGACGAGTCGACAGATAAATAGCGCGACGTACAAAGCGAGGCGCCCTTCATCGTTCCATGCCTTCCGGACTACTCAGCTGTTCGCGTCGGCCCTGTCCTCACAGCGATTCGGCATTACGCGCATTACATAGTAGTTACAGCAGCAATTCAACATTATGAGCACCTGTGGACCTCAGGCTTAATCATACTAAGAGCTAGACCGCTAGCGACTCGGAACTTCGCGCTTCGATTATAACGTTATGTTCGGCACTTCGCGCTCTACTTGAAGCGACTTGGCACCTCGAAAAACCCATATTTACGAAATTTTATACTCGGACTACGTAAATTCCCATCTGTCTTATTCTCCACTTAGATCAACTGCTTCACCCTATATCGTCGACGACGGTATCGCCAAGAAGAAAAGATGATACACGTAATTCTTGAAAAAGAAGATAACACATGTAATTCCTCAAAGAGATTTATTCTGTTACTTTCGTAGTATTCGTAGGGCTAAAATAAGTTCTTATCCGAATGCATTTACGCTCGTTTCAGCGTGCTGCTGATTAATCGGACACTCCAGGGTTCACACGTGGGCTTTGGGAGAGCTAGCTAGGGGTACTATTAGGTGGTGTGTGACCAGTTCGGAGCAGATCGAACTGCCGTGATACTCATATATCGGGCATTAAACCTCGAGCAATTGTCCGATTGCTACGCGTTTCATAATCGGATCCCTAAATGAACCTACGATTGATGAACAATCCAGGCCTTGAAGCTGGTCCGATACGAGAGAGACCGGGCAGAACTTCAGAAATACAGTTGAAACGGAGCAGAGAACTAATTGGGTAATATGAGAGAGCTCAATCGGAGCATAATTGCAGCGTTTCATCACTTGCAAATACGACGCAAAGTCCAATGACACCTTGTAAGCAAAACAGGTTCTATTCTATACCAGATTCTCTTCGTATACTCGTACACTCTTTCAACCAAAGTGGCTGCTGAGTCGAACTAAGGCACGGTGGGCAGCCCAAGTTCCGTTCCAGGAGCAGGAAAAGTCGATCCTGTCAATTCTTGGTGTCCGAACAGAAAGTCTCTATCCGTAGTCAAATTTGCAGCGAATCGTCGATCTGTCAAAGGTGCATATTCACTTGGTGTGGAGGGAACGTATTCGACCATGCAAGCGCGGCCATCGACGACATGCATATAATCGGCATTGATTCCAGGACTGATCCAGAATAGCATGTCGGGGTCATACTTTCGCTTCAATTCCGACAAGCGCGGATAGTTGGATCCCCAAAAGGAAGACGACCAATTAGGTTCGGTGACACTGGCCTCGTTGATGTATGTGCCCATGTCGGGAGCTAGTTGTCTTAAGCCAGCAGCGCTTGTAGTGGGCGTCTTGTTTGCGATGACTAGCGCTGCTGCTTTTCTCCATCCTGGGTTTGCCGATACCGCACTACCATTGCCGAAACGGTTCCCAGGCGACATTATCTGCACACCGATGCTTCCACCTGTCTCAGCCAATGCCTGCGTTATGCTCGGGTGACCAAGTTGTTCCGCGCTGAGAAGTCGACTGTCATAAGGAATCACCCCACGATCGTAACGATGATCTGCTGTCGTCGGTTGAGGAACGAGTGTCCCGTATGTGCCCTCGAAAAATTCCTTGTAGCTAGAAAATTCGAATGCCCGTGTTTGGAATGGCGTAATTCCGGGGAGATTGGAGACGTTCGACAATATCGGACCCCAAATCTGATTCGCGTTGGCGATACCCGCTTGCGGTCCTGGGTGGATGGCAAAGCATCTGATGTATGTAGGAAAGGTGTAGAAAGTCGCACTGATCCCCTTCTGTTGAAGGTCTTTCGCGTGGCCCAAAAGATATCGAAGCGCTTCACTGGTGGGATACGTCCCTTGTTCCAAGCCTGAAGCATTCAGGGTGGAGTTAATATACCAGTTGAACCCTGTGATCGGTACCGTAACATGCGCTTTCCAGGTGGCCTGTACAATAACGCCAAACGTGCTGCCACCGCCTCCTCGAATGGCCCAAAATAGATCCGAATTTATCGCGTTGTTGGCAACTTTAAGTTCGCCATCAGGGGTGACGATCAGTGCTTCGAGCCACTGGTCAACTCCAAGACCGTACTGTGAGGTCATGGGACCGTATCCGCCGTTCTGGCCCCAGCCTCCACCAACGGCAACGGTTGCTGGGTACGTCAGCCGTGAAAACAGAAAATACTGATTTTACCTACCAGCTCCGCCGCTCACTGTGAAAAGTCCCGATTTCGATACGGCGTAGTTCAAAGGCAGACCAGCCAGGGCTGGACCAAACGAGACAGCAGCTTGTTGTCCTTCAACAATCTCGATGGATTCTGCCTCCGTGTCGAGACCCACAAATGGAAGACCTTCCGTGGTAGTGATATAAGACGGCATGACGCAGGCACCTTGGAACAAGGATAAATCGATAAGAAGTCCAGATCCCGCGTCGCTGCGCTGCAGTTGGTCGTGTCCCGTAGTCAACACACTCAAACGAATGCTGTGATCTTTTGCAAAGCGCACGGCGTTCTGGACGTCTTCGATAGATCTAGCCTGCAGCCGGTAGTCGGGCAATGGACCGTGTTGGTCGCTGCCATTGGTAGCCACAACACCTGGGAGAGCTGCCTCCCATTGCGCATGTGTGGGCCATCCCGCGTCTGTCTTCAATTTGCGGCAGCCAGCTGGTGCTGTCGTGGCCTGGATCACCAAGATAGAGGAAAAGAATACTGCAGCCTGCAGAATGTTGGAAGCTAGCATAGCGGAAGCAGGTTTTAGGGAAGTGGCGAGCACATTAGCATTGGGTGGCTGATGTTTGTGATTTAAGAGTAAACATACTACATGAATATGCGCCTCTTGTTTCTTAAATAGGGCGCAGTATCATTGTAAGCATCCGATGAGTTCCGCTATACATAATGTTATGTGCTGAGCAAATGATGATCGTCCATTCCGGATCTTTTCGTGCGAGGATGGGCGTATCCGCGTATTCGCTCTATTCAAGGGGGTATAATGAACGGACCGATACAAGGGTAGCGTCAAAGGGACGACGCTGGTTGGCTAATGGTCCCTTACAAGACTAGAAATCTCAACGCTAACAGTTCGTTCATGATGCACCCTAGTAGAGAACGGTACGCTATACCGAAACCAAAACCGAAACCGAGACCTTGGAGAACATTATAACCAAATTTTGGAATGTATGTCGACATGAGGCGGAGAGACACTCTGAGTAGCATTACTATATGGCCATTAAGAAGAAGGAAGCTGCCGTGCACATAGCTTCCTCGCTCTACAGATAATCCAGTCAGGTGCCATGCGAGTACGAGTGCGAGTGCGAGTGCCATACCCCAGTCCAAAAGCAAACCCAATATCGGCCCGAACGACGATCGCCAATGATCGTTCAAGTTCGTACACGCCTACCACAGTATTCGACTACCTGCTCAAAAAAATCCATCCCATATCATCTTCGCGGTCATTGTTTTCGTAACCGTGCGTACATAAATAGGCGCCCTCCGTCATCGTCATCACAATTCGACGTCTGACTGGCGTATTCGAAACTGACAGAATTCACATACTTTTGTCCGGAAAGAACCAAGGTAGATGGCAGGCGAGATTCGAAGTGAGTTTCACCGCTCTCGTCAACTTCCTCGCGCTGTATATGGCCAATCTGCTTCTGTACACCGTCGAATATAAAGATGTCGAAGCGATGCCTCGCTCCAGTCCTGTAAGGGGCAACGCTATGTATAAGCACTTATTGGGCAATTGGATTATCGTGACGTTAAACTGGGCGTTGAGGTTACAGTACAATTATGCACAAGAACTCGATTGTGATACAGACGCTAGCCGTTCGCACTAAAGTCGCGTGGTCAATGTTGAAAGCCACAGGGCGTAGTTCAATATCACGCTATTGGTAAAAACGGCCTTACACGACCGGGCGATCTGATGCTCTTGACATCTTATCCTAAATAGGCCCCACAATGCTCCGTGGTTACAGTACCTGGAATCAACCGAATGCGCTGCTTATTCCACAATCGTCGCTAGCGTGACGAATACTTCTTTCTGGATTGTCCAGGATACGAGTTAGTCTCCCGCATCGCCCACCAAGACCAAAACATGGTGAAACAGGTCTTCCGATGCATTTGCTTAGACAAATTGCTTTCGTAACTTGAATCATAATCCTTGCGCCAGAAGGTAGGCTACGTTCGGCATACATAAATCGTCCATCGGTCTGCCAGAATCTGCCTGAAGAACTGGTACCAATGGATGGAAAATTCAGAGGCGGCGTCATTCGCGATCTTCGTACTCGAGAGAATTGGGTATTTGGCTAGTATATCAACAAAGTCTTGACCGCATATTACTCACAGCTCATAGTTGTACGGCGACCCTCTGAGCGGATGCCTGACGCAGATTTCGTCAATTCGGAATGAAAGTCCGGGTGTAGCTCATACTTCGCCGAAAACAATTGGATAATGGCAGTAACTTGTGGAGATTGCAGGTTCGGCGATATGGAAAAGCTCAACGCTACGTACTATGATGTATCAGTTCAAATAAAAACCGATATATACGGCAATCGACGTGCTTGGTTCGCTGCGAATCAACCTTTTGGCGTAGTCGACGTTTCGCAGATTTCAGAAGCGGTAAAACGTGAATCTATACCACTTTCCATGAATACAGTAAAATTTCAACAGCTCTCTCTCTCCGCTTGAGGCTTCTTGATGTGCTCTTACAAACATGCCGAAAGATGGAGCACACGGCATGGTGGGTCGCCGAACTAGAGTGTGGATCCGCCGAAAATAGTGATCAGTAATCATCATTCTGAGTCACTTCTATGGTACGCCCCAAGTAGATATTCTGATAAATATCTTGAGGACTCCTGAGGACTCATGCGATGCAATGCACGATTCATCATGTCTTCCACGGTATACACAACAACGCTCATACCCAAGACCCTCAGTCCACCCAACATCACCGCATTAGCACGAAAATATCGCATCTTCAAGCTCCACGCCTTACAATCCGATCCAAAGGCTTTTTCTCAAGAATACTCAACCGAGAGCGGCCTATCCCTTGCAATATGGGAGTCGCGCATCACGAATCCTAGCTCTCAGATTGTGGTCTGCATGGCTTCACCTGAGACTACTCAATCAACCCTAGCGACGGAACATAGCGAAGCGAAACTCTCAGTATTGCTCCAGAGCGAATGGGCTGGAACATTTACCATGATTGGCCCCGTGTCTCGGGACGCCTGGTGTTTTCCAGATTCAGGACAGCCAAATCCCGCGAATGACGAGGAGGAATTGCGTTGGCAATTGACGGGACTGTTCGTCTTGCCGGAGCATCGTGGGAAAGGGCTAGCGAAACAGATCACACTTGCTGCCATCCAAGCAGGCCGACATATTTCCCCTGTGACCACGCCACTCTCGACTCCGGCTACAAAATCGGAGCCACGAAACGTCAAAGCTCTCCAAGAGGATTCGGCGAGGACGCGGGGTTCAGAGGGGCAAAGGAAGGCGCGCATTCGCCTGATCGTGCACCCGAATAACAAAGAAGTGGTCAGTATGTACCTCAAGCTAGGCTTTGTAGACTGCGCGAGGTACACGGTGAGGGAGGCGTGCATCGCGAATGGCGATAAGGATTTCATACCAGACAACGCGGACAAGCAAAAGTGGGATACGAGATTTGGGATCGGAATGGAATATCTTGCCTGACAGCAACGTGTTCAAGGCATACGGAAAGTCAATGTACCATAGGTATGGTGTCACTAGGGTGAATTCGGTAGCTTGCAATGAAGCGCTCACCCAGAAGAGTACTACCAAAGTTTTCTTTGAAAGCGTAGACGTATAGAGCACTGAACGGCATACTTGCTTCTTAGGAGACCGCTCAAAATGTAGGAGGCACGCCTTGTCCATCCCGAGAGGCGTCAAACATTGCTAGGTGCTCAAGGTTTCCAGATGCGACGTCTTTCTGTGCTGATCGTGACCCAGCGTTGGAGATGTCGACCGTTTTGCTTGCTGGAAGATGCCCAGGTGGCGCTAAGACCTACCTAGGTAGATACCAAGGTAGATTAGTAATCACACCGAGCAGAGCCGCAATTGTATCTGTCTCGAGGAGTAACTAAGTCGTCATATCGTATTTGATGCCTCGAATTGCGAGACCAGTCCATGAACTTACTCGGATTTCTAACGATGAAGCATGAAGCGTGCCAGTTATTCAGATGCAGTAGAGGTACAGGGCCCGTCATGCTAGTATCCCACCCTTAGTAGTAATCTTCAATCTGGTATAATGTAATTATAGAGTTACAAGAGTGTAAGAGCCAGTGTTGTGCCCGGCAAAATTCAAAAACTAGCTTATCCGTGAAATTAGCTCGTTTGTAAGGTACATTATACGCTTCATATTATCTCTCTTCGAATAAGTAAGACTTAGGCCGACTATTGTAAGACAGAAGATTCTCCTTAATTTCTTCTGCTAATTGGCTCGATAACAATGGTGCGGTACTAGCTTCCCAACTGTGTCACACTCAAGCATCACCGCCCCCGGGGCCATTTCATGGCAGTTTCCGATGACGTTATGGCGTCCGACATTCGTGATTACTCGTCTGCATTAATATCTCTTGCATGCAGTCTCGGGAAGCCTAAACATGACAAGCTTTCCGATCTTACTATTGGCTTTCAAGCCCTTGTTCAGGCCCTCCTTGGCGGGGTATCCAACTTGTTTCTTTTGGCGGGGGCCGAAACTGGGGCTACAAGAACCACGAGTGGCAGGCTTTTGAGCTCCCGCTTCATCTCTAAGCCTCACTTTCATAATGGCCCGTAATTCTGTACAGTGGTCCCGAGTCATTGCCGACCGTCTTAATAATTCTAGCGCATTTGCGCAAGAACACCGAGCATGGCTACAGAACTCCACATTCCAAGATGCCGAAAAGAAGTTCCACGAAGTGGAGTCGCAGATGCAGTCGAAGAAGAGCAGCAAGGCGATACAGAAACTGAGGCCGCTCCTGGACACTTTCAACAGGTTTGCGGGCGTCGCGGCAACTCTGGCTTCCTTGGAGCCGCATGGAATTGCTTCGTTAGTGGTTGGAAGCTTAAAGGTCCCCCTCGAGGTAAGAAAGTGCTTGAAATGAAAACTAACCGTTAATTTATCACATCGCAGCTCGCTTCTGCTGGAATCAAGGATTTTGAGGAGATAAGCTCTTTCTTCGATGAAGTTCACAATTCATTCGGAATCCTCATGATCAACGAGGAACGGCTGAACAATCGTCCTTGGAATGCGGACCGTCTCAACAACGCCATTTACGAAGTCTTCAATGCCTACTGGGCCTTCTTCGAAGATGTGTACTCACTCTTATAATCTACCGAGCGGCGCAAAGTACGGGGGTTTTGGTCGCATGCCAAAGACTACTTGACCTTTAAGATCGAGAAGGTGAAGTCCCATCTTGGAATCATCCGCGACTACTGCGAGGCAGCGAAAGAAGAGGCAGATTTGGCCTGGAAACTCAATCAGGATGACGTCAACTCCTTGTTGCAGCAATCCATTGGCAACATTGAAAAGCAGATGACAGAACAGCAGCTAGTGCTTTATCGGCAAGATCGTCTCCGTTTCAAATCCTGGCTTACCCCGGTAGAAGTAGATGACAGGATGAAATTCATTTTGCGGGTTCGGACACCGGACACCGGTAACTGGATCTTCAACGACCCGCACTTCCGAGCTTGGGCCTTTGGTGATAGGCGAGGCAAGACTAACAACAAGCCACTGTTATGGTTGTCTGCAGGCCCAGGTTTTGGCAAATCAGTGCTCACAGCCTTTGTCACAAGTGACCTTCGCCGCTCAAACCCTACAGGAATTGCATACTTTCCGTGTAGCAGCAACGAAGCAGATCGACGCAGCATACCCGCGATGCTACGCACGCTGATTCACCAACTCTTCCGAGACGACGCCATCACTGGCAAACCCCATTACACAGTCACACCTGCCAACATCAACCTCCAACAAGGGCTTCCTCAACCGAACATGACGTCTTTGGTAGATATGTTCAAGTACAAATCATGGGAAGAGCCAAACAAAACGACTGTGCTTATCATCGACGCACTTGACGAATGCCCCAAGACAGAAGAGAGTGAAGTCCAGATAGAACAGCTGTTTACATTATTCGCCGAGCTGCCACCCAGTTGGAAGATCATGTTCACATCTAGGCGCGCTCCGTGGTTTGAAGAGCTGCTTGAGGGACTCCCACAAGGGAAACTAGAGCGCCTTGTCATGACCAAGAGGGACAACGAGCAAGATATCTACGCTTACACCCTTCACCAGCTTGACGAGATGGCGAAAGCTAGTAATTACAAATGGCAAGACGGCTTCCGGCACGAGATGGAGGAGTCGATCGCACGCAAGTCGGAAGGAATGTTTAAATGGACATACCTGGCACTGAAGACACTAGGTGGCTCGCGCATCTATCAAAGCGATATGGAAGAGGCACGGAAAGCCCTTGACAAAGTCCCGCCTGACCTTAAGGGTATTTACGAGAAAGCACTCCGTGGTTTGTCAGAAGTCGAGGATGAAACTACGAGAGAGGATCTTACCAGCGCACTACGGTGGATCATCCGTGCCTATCGTCCTCTCAAAGTCAAGGAGCTAGGCATCGGTCTCGCTCAAGCCTTTGACGAGACCGAACAGATCGACGACCTTCGCGAGAAACTTGAGCGTCATCTTGGTGACCTTATATATATCGATGCAAAATCAGACACAGTTGGTCTGACGCATACTTCCGCGAGAGATTTCCTCGTCACCAGTCAGGATATCAAGGGCCCCGATGGTAAATCAATGATCCCGAATCAATTAGGCGAAATTGACCGCGACATCTTGCAGGCCTGTCTGACCTACTTGAACGATCGCCAATTCCTCGACGCCCAGCCAGGGGACTCTAAGACTCAAAAGGCTTTCAATGACAATCTGATAGCAGATGGGTTCTGGGAGTATTCATGTATTGGAATACTACAGCATCTTGACGAAGTTTGCCGGACGCAGCAACTGGATGAAAAAATCAAGGTTCTACTCGACGTGTTCTTCCGGTCAGATAAGAATCAAGTCTTCTTGCGATGGCTCCAGATGTTCTGCTACCTTCGCTTCACCAACCGCAACGGCGCAGCTGAGGCATACTCCACGCTGCTCGATGCCCTGCTCGACATGGATTCTGGCGCAACCAAACCGCTTGCTAGCTTCTTGAAGCACAAGTTTCAAGATGTTGTCGACCACATTGGTTACTCGGCTGGCGGTCGCTTCCTCCGCTGGCAACGCTTCTTCACACATGCCATTTCTCCCTGCTTTAGTCCAACGCTACTAGCATCGTTCTTTAACTTTCGCCCGGCGCTCGAGTTACTTGCGAAGGGAAACGAAACGTTGCACTACAAAAACAACGGAGCAAGATGTGATGCTGTATACTGGTCCACATGTGGCGACGCGCCGGAAGCACTAGCACTTATGCTCAGTGACGAATACAACCATCGCTTCCCACATTTTAAGGTTCCAACAAATAACAGACATGGGCTTGGGCAACCCTCGACGATGATTGAAGCAGTCTGGCTTCCGATGGAAATCAAGGCCCGTCCTGGCTCATATCCTGCAGCCATCATGCTTCTGGATCATGGCGCCCGCATTTCTTGGGGGTTCGAGACAATAGTGTTCGAGCAGCTTCCCGACACTGAGGGCGCTGGGGAGCTTGCAAAGAAGATGTTACGGATAAACCGAGCCTTTACTTTCTCCGACGACGCGGTAGGACGAGCCCTTCACTTTGCTGCTTTCACCGGCCAATCCCATATGCTGTCGGCGTTTTGGGAGAGCAAGGACTTGCTCCGCAATTTGGTAAAAGAAACTTTCCGGAAGGAAGATGTGGACGATATTTTGAAGAAAGATTCCTCTATTCAAAAGCAGTTGGCGTTCGCCCGGTGGCGTGGCATGAGTCCAATGCATCACGCGGCTGCCAATGACGATGCACAATCAGTCCGGATTCTTTGCCACAACGTGGCCAGATTAGATGACATGAAGTGCAACTTTAACGCATGGACTGTTATGCATGTACGTCGTCCTTACAACTTATTAGAGATGAAGTACTGACAGACAACAGCTAGCGGCGATTAGGGGACTCCAGCGCCTCAGGCATAGTAGGGATCGTCATAATGACTGGACGGTAACAAGGCAGCCAATTGAGCCATCAGCACACGTTATCGAAGTACTCGATAAGATGCCCACGGGATCTGACTGGACTGTCCTCGACACCGCTGGTAACCTTCCTATTCATCTGGCCGCATACTGCGGGTGGGAGGTGACGGTTAGAAAGCTATCCAGTGGACAAACCAAAGCTGGACAATACAATTGGGACAAGCCTAACCACGCAGGTAAAACTCCTTTAGCCATCGCCCTAGAGCTCAAATACCTACCTGTTGCAGAGACACTCCTCCACAACGGCGCGTCTCTCGACAAAGTGCTAGAGCACATCCGTCATCGCTTTATCTTTCGCAACAAGGATACCCCTAAAGAGATTGCAGTCGAGCAGAAAAGGCCTTTCTGGCTTGAATTGACATGTATCATCCGTGCAAGGGCAAAGCAGCTGGTCCCTCTGCCCATCGTAGCCCGCATCCTTGACTTCAGCGACAGTTACGAGACCCTCACCGTCGAGCGGCGCGACCACTACATCCACACCGAGCTCATCCGCGACCTCATCTACCTACACAGCCCGCCAATCCTGGCGAGCAGTAACTCCGCACCCATGCGGCGTATTGCTCTAACAGCGCGCTCCTACCGCCAGGACTACACCGATCACGATTTCGCTAAAACATGGTCCTGGTTGCGCACCGACAAACTTACCCCTAATAGTATCCGCCCCAGCCCTTGGCACGAGAAGCCTATCTGGCGTTGGAACTACCGCAAACGCACTAAGGAAACAGTCGTCTACTCCTCTAATAAGCCCAAAGACGCACCCTTCCTTCGCTCCCTTGCCCCAGGCGACCGCATCACCATCGCTCCTGTGCTGACGTATGCTGCGTGGGAGGCGAATATCGAGTGGGCGCACATCTCTATCGATATGGCGCTTATCAGGAACGCGTTCAGCAATTAGGATCGGCAGAGAATTTGGAGGTCGAGGAAGGCGGTAGGCTTGGTGAAGGCGAGGCAGGTGTTTAACGGATTGGTGAATAGGAAGGTGAGGTTGGGGAATGTGGGGCACAGGGATGCAGATGATGGGTTGGCGGAAGGGCAGAAGCTTCCGAGGAGGAGGAGGAGGTGAGGGTAGGAATAAGGGGTTGTATTTGGGAAGTTAGATAATCCTAGATCGCATAAGTGATAATATCACTCTCTATATCTTAACAGTTATCAGGAAATATAATATGGATCCAATGATGACATACCTTAGCCTACTAAGAGTATAGAATGGCCCTTTTAAGGATGTCTAAACTGGAGCCTTTTTGCCATCTCGGACATAAAGGTAACTATCACCGAAGCAGATCTTCGACCTGTTAGAATATCCTCCTATCCACACCTCTAATACATCCTTCTTCTACTTCTCCACTTCCTTTTTGTCCTTCTAGTTAATTCCCTCAGATATCTGTCTTTCTAATATGTTCGTTTTAATTAGAGGTTTAGGAAACTTCTCTATAAAAGCTTCCTGTGATATCCTAAGATCCTCCCAGACTGCTATTTCATCTCCAAATTTCTTAGTGGAGTACTTCACTTGGTACCCTTCTACTAGATTCTTCGTTGGCCAATTGTTAATCCAGTTTTCATCTTTGTTCTACGGCCTTAGGTAATCAGTGTTAATCTCGTCACACAGCATTGCAGCCGGCCCGCCAAATTCGCGTGTGAGGTCAGCAATAATGGGGAAGATGGGTCCGGCAGGAGCGAAGCTAATAATAAAAGTGTTTCTGTCTATCTTAAAGAAGTCCTCGTACTCGGCAGTAGCCGTAATATTAAGACTTTTCTTAAGACTTTTAATATAATTGCCATAATATGCAGGGTCTTAAGCAAATATAGTGACTAGTGGTGCAGAGGCGTTATCGTCTTAACGTAGCTTATTTAAGGCCGCCGCGACTATGGCAGCTGCCTTATGTTAAATAAAGCTCCTCGCCTTTCTAACGTTCAGCGACCCTAGTGTGAAACAGATGACCTTGTCAACGTGCTTTAAGGTGGATCCATGCTCCTTAATAAGGCTGTTAAGTCTGTCTAAAAGTTTTTTCTAAAGCTAGGCCAATTCCTTCTTCTTCTTTTCTTCGTTGTCCGATAACTGCTTTTTTTCTTCCCCGTTTAACGACTGCTTAATGATGTCTTTGTATTCAAACTGGATACTGTTTTCGGTCGCCTTATAACCCCAAAACTTTCCATTTAGATGCCAGGCACCTGTGTGCTAAGAATTTCCCTACAGCTCCCACGGTGGGCATTTGTGCATGCATTGACTATATTTCTTGTGATTAGACACACCCACAGCCTTGAGGTTGTAGAGATGAGTATAAGGTGTATTATTGTTAAGTTTACCGTCCGCTTTAAAAGACTTAGAAATCTCCATAATGCCATTTATACATAGAGCGAGACGAGGTTTAGTAGAATTAGGAATCTTATAAGGATTATCGAATTTGCGAACCTTAGTAGGATCATCGTAGTTAGGAATCTTTAGGGTCTTAAATTTGCCGGATATTATGCGCACTTCGTAAGTGAAGCCTAGAGTGAAGGTGCTAAAGTTAGCACATAGATTAGCTATGCGACTTTAGAAAGCGGTATTATTATCCCGCAACTATTAGAGTTCGTCAAATTCTAATCTTTTACCAGCTGTCTGGGTGGCTTTCTTATTAAATTCTAGTACTTTATAGATTATCTTAGCGGCTTTATTGTTGTAATCCAGTACTTTATGGTTTAACTAGGCGGCTCCTTTAATAACTTCCTTGCTCCACAGTATACCTTTAGGATTTCCATACTTATGTAGGTATTCGTAAGTCGCTTTGAGATTGTTAATCGTGGTACTTATAGTGTATGGAAACGGGAGGATTATATTAGTCTATGGAGATATGATAGTTTAGGGTATAAAGATGTTTGATATTAACTAATACTATATTGATGCTTGTTTATAATAATAGTTTATGAACAAAGAAGACTTCTTACGTTTATAGTAGAAAGTATACAGCCCATCTTATAGTCTCTAATAAGTTGATTAAACAGTCTGTCATAACAATAAGTATGCGTGTGCGGAGGGTGTGCAACTGTAGAAGACGAGCACCTAACTTGAGTGTAATATTGTAGCGTTGGCCGCAAGTAAGAAGTGGGAAGCGTAAGTGTTCCTAACACTCATTTAAAACATATTAAATAGGTGGTGAGCCAGTAAATTATGAAACTTAGATTGAATAAACCTACAAAATAGTAGTGCATCCGGATTCTCGGCTCCTTCAAGTGAGCCTATAAGTCTTGAAAGAGAAGTCACCACTCAATCTTATAAGGTTACTCAAACTCTCAGAAAATGACAGTACGCCTCCATATTCCACTTTCCCACATGGTCACAGGGCTTCCGGAGTGCGAGCGTTTATAGCCTACGCGCGCGAGCCGCGTTATTGGCACGGCGAAGGCGAAGTGTCTAGTGCGCCAGGACCAGCTTCGCGTATACCATAAGTCGTACCGTAGTCAGGCTGAGCAGTGTAATTTGGAGGAAGAAGGGCGGGAGGAGCCCGACGCTGCGCTTGCGAGGGAGCGGGAGCAGCTGTTAGCAACCACCGGTCCAGAAACTTGATTTGCTGTTCAGAAGAAGCTTGAGCTTGAGCCAGGTCAATCTGAGAAATGCGGACGTAGCCCCAGCTTCCGTGAATGCGGGTGTAACGTCTCCAACAATGCGTCTTCCAATCAACACCGTTCAGGCGCCAAAGCATAGAGCGCCTCGCAATCCGAACCTTTATATGACACGAGCTAGTGCAACGTGATGATCAAAGCTACTTGCTTGTTGCTGATTCAAAGAGGTGATTCGGAAGTGCTTCATTGTGCTATCACTCCACATGCCTCTCGTCACCGGGTCAGTGTGCAGTATTTTAGCCTGGTTCTACTCTATCACGAACACGAAGTCGAAGCTCATTACAGAAGCAATAGTGGATAATTTGCTGTAATACAACAGCGGCTTGTGACCTGCATTATAAGGGTTTCTTGTGGGCTTCCTTCCATGGCTGGGCAGAGCTCACGGGAACAAATTCCGGGACCACAGGACGATGTCTGTGGGCTAGGAAAGGGAAATGTGTAGTATATTGAGTGTTCATATAAGCACAATGCATACTCTTACTCACTTAGACAATCCTTATGACCTGTGATAGCAACCCTGAGTTTAGAAGTCGGCCTCATCGCGATCCTTTCCGGCCGTGCGTCTACTGCGCCCAACAGTGACACCAACATCAACTTCGAAGAACGCTAGCCGTACGTCGAAATCTCACCCCTCGCCTCTTCCTCAATGTACATCTATCGCCCCTGCTTTGACCCACTTTATCTCTACTCAAAAATCTGGGTTTGCATCTTCTGGGCCAATCGCCAATGCGTCTGTGAGGCGATCTCTACTATTCACATTTTCTCATCAATGGTAGACTGGCTAAGGAGCAAGGTCACGATCCGCTATTACTACGGCGGGGGCGCGGGACCGAGCAGGCTCCGAGTATCGTTCTGCGTCGCTAGGGTGAACTAGATGTCGAAAGAGACGGCGATGAGGAGATGTAACTACGGTTGCTACCTGGTGATGGCATTTCTCTTGACCGTGAGAGTCACTTGGGCTTGGATCTTGCGAGGCATTCATTCGGGATGTCATGATCTCAATCAATGGCGCATGTGTTGGCTTTTGGGTGTTGGACTACGAAACAGAAGAATGAATGGAATATAGACAGTTAATCGTTTATAGATAAACTTATGTTGACTCACTCTTAACGACTTGGGGATCGATCAGATAACATGTAGATGAGCAAATTAGACGGTGCATTACTATGATTACGAAGGTGGCCAATTTCCCTCCGTTCGAACATTTCGTCACAAAGTGTCAATAGCCCGATCTTACTTCCCAGTTCCCATCTCAAATGTATTTGGTTGTTGCGCGGGTCTTGCATGCGACGCCGTAATAGCATCGACTTCATATGTTCCTTCCCTGGCTGCTGGGTACTGAGCTGATCCTTCCGCAGGCAGGGGCGGTGCATTTGGTGCTGCATAGTACGGGTGCATGTACGGTGGCGCCGGCGTAGGAGGATTCGATAGCACAGGAGATTGCGGCCCCTGGTTGTGAACCTGATTCAGGGGTTGATAATTGGTCTTCTGGTCCTGTGGGGTGAAGTAGCCGGTGCCTTGGGGTGGTGGAGACTGCATCGGCATTGGAGGAGATTGAACAACCGGCTTGTATTCGGATTGATGAGGTTGAGCTTGCTGCGCGGCGATGATGGTCTGATTGTTGGCAAGCTGCTTGGCCTTGCGGCGCTTGACACAGAAGAAGATGATGGCGGCGCCAATGAGAAAGAGAACGACAAGTCCTCCAACTACGGCACCAGCGATCACGCCGACGGGTGTGGACTTCTTCGTTGTCTTGGGCTTGGGCGTGTTGTCGTTGCTGCCATTGCTACCAGGTACCGGGGTGGTCGCTTCAGGATCGGATGGATCAATACTCGTGCTGGAGAAGTCGGTCGTCACATCGCTGTCGACTGATGAAGTCTCGCTGTCCCAGCCTGTAACAGCGAGACCAGAGAGCGTTGGTAGCGTGATAGAGTAGATCGACTCTGTGTCGCTCGCAAACTGCTCTACGGTGAGGACCCCAAGGGGGCTTGTCGCGCACCCATAATCCGCCACCTGGTCTGATGTATACGTCCAAGTAACGCAGTAGGGTGTCTCGCTATCTGTGCATACACCCAAAAAGCTGTTGCTCACGCATTCCGCATCACACGATCCCTTTGTATACGCTTCGTAGTTCATGCAGGAGTTTACCCAGCCGCAGTTTTGCGTGTCACCTTGGGAGCAACATCCAGCCATGTTCACGCTGGTAGCGGTGTAGAGGGCGCATGTCAGTCCGCTGTTGCAGGTAAGGGGTTGTGTTGAGACTGGCAATGTAAGTATTATGAAACAGGCGCTGCGAGAAGTCCTCACCTAGCGCTCCTCCTAATTCAACCCACCCACATAGTCCCGGGTTGCGGCTGACAGTCTCCCAATCTGTTTGTCTCTTGCCAAGCTTGACGGCTGGGCCTTCAGTCGGTCGTGGTGTCCATCCATCGACAGCTTTATTATCTTTTGCGACAAACGTGGGAGATGGTCCAGGAAACGCTACGCCGCGAACCGAAGGCAGCACAGCAATGATAGTGAAAATAAACTGGTACATGATGTACACTCCTTGACCACGCAGATAGTCGAGCCAAAGAATGGCACGGTATAAGAAGTTCGAATGGTGAGGGGTATAGCGAACGTAGACGCTCTCGACAAGATCTCAGGCCCACCGGCGCGACTGCGATCTTAATATCTCCTCGCGCGGCTGAGCATCCGGTCCATAACTCCACAGTACCACAGCTCCCAGGCCCTACAAGCTCCGAAGGCGCCACACGATATGCGCCCACGCTGCACAGACCCAATGGTTTGTCTCTGGCGGCGGCCCGAATGAATTCAGTCTGCAGAACAAATCACAAAATCTCGTGTTCTTGCCGAGGCTGAGCACCACGCTTTTCGCTGGCCAATCATTTTCCAGTGAAGGAGAAAGCGCTAGCTGCTTTAGGTTTCAGCTTCGATGCATATGGAAATACTTAGCGGGAGATTTGCCTAGTCCTCTGGGGGTCCAAAATAGTATACGAAGAATTGTGGGCAGTTCTTCACCGGTTTATCGAGAAGAGTTAGTGTGTAAAATTGTACGAGTTGGCTGCCGGTATCATCAGAAGGAACCTATTGCGGAGAGGCTTTATATCTTCAATATCCATTGTGGTAGTGTGGGCGTGCGCTGTCAAGGGAGCGGAGGCACTTTCTGCTGTAAACCAAATAAGTGTACAAGTATGAGCTCCTTCTCTCGCCTTTGCCCAGCAGCTCTGAGAGTCCATCGGAGATCATTTCCCCGGTTCCCGAGCATCATGTGACCACCCCTCACCTGTGGAACTCCCCACGTACTCCACCACGAAATAAGAGCTTCGCCCGTAGAACGACTGGGACTCCGATTACTTTTGGTCGTCGTCCTGATACGGAGTCAAACCCATGGATTTGATTCGGCCACCCATGGTTGGCCTAGTGTGCCAAGCCCAACACCTCAACCTGACTCCTCTTCCTACCTTTTATCACAACATCCGTTATTCTACCCACCCTACAAATATGTTCTATTAAATCGGCATGGTTGTAAGAGCTGCTCAATGGCCTTCCCGCCTACTGGGGATGCTCAATCGATTTCTACGCTCTTCATCAAACCTAGGCGCGTTCGCTCTTCCTCCGGAAATCATCCTAATAATTACCGCATACCTTGAAACTTCTAGCGTCATATCAATAGCTTTAACCTGCCGGACTTTATACACTATCTGCTTCCCCCTAGAGCTGCGTCTCAGCTCCGAGGAAAAGGAAGAGGTATTGCTGTTGCTCGAGCGCGACATAGCCCATCTGTACTTCTGCCATCATTGCATTAAGCTCCATCGATGGAGTGCACGCTGGGGCAAATCGAGCGTTTCGAGATACCGCGAGGTGTTGCCATGCAAGCAACAGCTTGAGGAAGGTCTCTTTAGCGTTCCACTTACCTGCAACATTTCATACCACCACGCGCGCTTGATCATGAATCGACATCTGTACGGACCCGCGCATGGCCTGCCAGTTCAAAGACTCGAGAGAAAGGCCCCGAGGCGCATTTCTTTGTACAGCGTGACGGTTTCGGAGACCCAGAATGTACGCATCGTTGACGACAGGCTCCTGGTACTTGCCACGACGACCATGTATCATTCCGGAGATGACATGAGGTCGCTCAGGAATGGTGTTGATAGCCTAGGCCATGATATATGCAAACACCTCACTATGGCGAAAGGACTCTCGGACTGGACTTCAACGCAGCTCCCCGAGCTTACTCTAGGGAGAAATACATCTTGCCACTTCGTCCCTTGCCATCTATCGTTCGGATCCTGCTCTAGATGCCTCTCGGACTATGACATCGAAATTCAATCAGCCGATGGAAGGAGAGGATTAGTCATAAAAGTACTGGCGTATCGCCAGCTTGGAAATTGCAGATCGCCATTTGACTGGAGCTGGCGCGCTATGACTGAACTGCGAGCGGAAGGTATGCCGCGGATAGCTCGTTCGCAAGAGTATGGATTAGGGGTCGTCAGAGATAGGTGGAAGAAAGCTGACGGTAGGGTTGGCCGGAGACAAGGGGCATGGGTTGAGATCCCTACACTGGTGCGATGCCTTGACTAACGATCCATTCTTCAGCTGTGAGCACGCAAGTTCCCTGACCGTCTAAGCAACTGACCGAATGCGATGTGACAAGTATCAAGCATAAATTCCGAAGGTCTCGTGGCCTGCGGCACAAACGTCTCCAAACATACATCAAGTATATACAGGGCCAGACCCCGCTGTAAAAGACATTTATCCACAGATTCTGTTCCCAACTCATCGATTGAGAAGAGCGTTAGCCACTGTCCAAGATGGGCAAACGTGCCAAGTTGAGAAGGAGGGTTGAGACCTTGACCAATGAGAACATAATATTGTCAAATCAACTCGAAGCGTCTGAAGACCTCTTCAATACTCTCCATCAAGATCATGAAGTCTTGCTTGATCGTCTCGCATCTAAAACCAACGGGCTGTACACCAAGATACAGAACAACCTGACTCCTAACTCGCCTGATCAGACCTCTGGGATCAGGGCATCGAGTGCCCCCAGGGTGCCTGTTAAGATAAGCAAGCGCAACAAATTGAAGAGGAGGGCAGAGTCCTTGACTGAGAAAAAGGTCACGTTGTCCAAACAATTGGAGGATTCTCAAGACCGCTACGACCCTCTCCAGGCAAACCATATAGCATCGCTTGGCTTTGAGCACTTAATCGACAAGGCTGTTGCTTTTGGTATTCCCAAGAATATGGCATACGCCTATCTCCGCCGCACAGACAACGATGTCGACGCCGCCGTAAACCTGTATCATGATCCGTACGATTATCTCGACACTGGAAATGTACCCATGGAATGGAAACCACGCCTCCTCCAGCACACGTCAGACGATCGACATAAAGCGTTGGACTTGTGGTTGGACATTAGAGAACACATCGTACATCTGAATGCGATGAACCGCGGTGATGATGAAGTATGGAGCATGTTGCTGGAAGCCGATTTCGACTTCGATAGAGTACTAAAGACGTTGGGCGATGAGATGCAGACTAGCGAGCATAGACGGCAGCCGAGTGAGGAGACAGACGAGAGTGAGTTTATGATGGACAGTGACGACGACGGATATTTGCCCGAAATCGACTAGTCGTCATTGTGTTTGCGGATATGAAGCAAACCATGGACATCGCGTATGATAGAATCCTTAATTCTGGGACCGTAGGATCAATCGAACCTTTTAGGGATTTATCTCTTCAAGTTGCTGGTACTTGAATGTCGCACCCAGGGGTAACACAGGGTATCTGAATCTTGCGGCAACGCACAGTTTCCATAAGAGCACTGTGAAATTCCAATTATATGTCTAGGTATATAAGGTGTCTCGGTCGTAAATTGCTTCGAGTGTATATAGAGAAGCAACATACCTGTGTCCGAGAGTCTAGATTTGTAGAGATACAGAGGTTCAACAGAGCGTATTCGTTGTGACGTGTAAGCAGTTATTGCTGAACTCGAAGTGAAATGCATGGGAATCATGCCTGCCTGCAAACCACGCAGCGATGCCATCCGTTTTAACAACATCACGAATTGCTAAAGCTGTCATTTCTATAAACACAATGGTCCTCCCTTCCCCGTACTAGCTCCAGCGCTCTTCGAGAAAATGGTGAAGATGAAGTCAAGGCCCCCAGTGGATCATAGCCATTACACGGGGCGATGTCCTCTGCAGGATGGATATCTTAGTCCGTCAAGCTATAATACGCACACTATTTATCTGCATGTTGACATCTTCATTATACGCTCTGTTCAAAGAGCGCTCAAACACGCCTGGTCGATCTGCGTTCACGAGGTCGATGATCGCGCGACCATTGGAAATGTGGAGCTCACTGCGCGTTATCTTTTTAAGGACGCGTCGGTTCACACACAAGTCTAGGTAGCCAGGCGATGAGAAGGTGCCGTTCTTCGACATGTACCAGTCACCTGGTGCGGCTGTTCATCGCGGCATGTGCGTCCGAGGCCAGGGATATACTATGCAGACCCCGTATCCTTACATGTTGGGAATAATTCGCGACATCCATGGTGTTGTGCGTGAGTGATCGATTCGCGCATGTGACGTTCTCCGTACCTAAGTAGGGCTGGACGTGGAAAGGCGTCAGGCTAGCGTGTGGGGAAAGAACGGCCCCTGAGTGCAACCTACCACACGTCTGCTCTTTCACGTCGCGTCTTCAACCTGGAGCGATGTCAAAATCCTCTATGAAGCATAACAGTTACAGTGAGTAATGACTTTAACGTGGTGCTCGCTCGATCACCAGTAGTACCTTAGCTGATGCGCGGGTAATGCAGCAGCTAAACGCCCCGCTTATCGTACGTCATAGGGACGCACAAACTCTTTTTACTGCTCAACAACGCGATGCGATACGAACGAAGGAGAAGGTTGAGCTTTCCTATGATTTTAGAGGAGCATTATGTGATAGCATGAGCTATATACTACAGAGTGTTGGAATTTTTCATTCGTATGTCATTACGAGCCGTTATTCTACGGCCTGCTGGCGCAATGGTAGCGCGTGGCCCTCCTAAGGCCAAGGTTGTGTGTTCGAGTCGCACGTAGGTCGTTTGTGTTAAACGATTTGAATTGCAGGTTTGATTCCTGCACCAATTCTTTTTGCAAATTTTGGCAATGTTAGTTAGATATCAATGCACTGCTTCATCTATTGTTCGATAGCATGTTTTTGGCTCGTGCACATCGTTCGCGTGAAGGAAGAGTTGCAGTTCCTTGTGTATTCCATATTCGCCTTTTCATTCATGCCGATACCTATCATACAAGTGAAGCTAGCCGGATCGAAAATACGCGCTACATAGGAAATGAGAAAATTGTTCAACCAAATTGCCAATATCCGATAAAAAGTCCAAAGAAATGGTCAACGCCTGAACCACCAACACATGGTGCGATTCGTCAATCATCAACCCATTAGATCCTGCGTTACAACAGCTTATGCGCCCTGTCTGGCCTTCTCTGCGCAGATCAGAGCGATGATGCGCGACAATTCGGCGCTCTGCGCGAATTGCTCTTGCTTGGTCTGCTCGTCCACGTCCTCGCTGGCGGCAATGTCGTTGCTGACCGTTAGCATCCTGTTCTGGAGCTTCAAGAGTTTGGAGAGCGTGTTGTCGAGGAAAGGCGCGGAGAAGGTGATGTTAGTGGGCGACTGGCCGTTGTTGGGCACGCGGATGTCGAGCTTGCGCGGGGGCTTCTTCTGCTTCGGTGACTGGACAGCGGGAGGAGGTGATTGTGTGTTGGGCCTTGTCGCATGTTAATGTGGGAACATTCTGTTGTCATAGGTCAATCATACTTCTCGCGCTCGATAAACGTCATGTTCTCGGCCATCTCAGCGACACGGTTCGCAATGCGCGATGCCATGATAGTGTATGGTGAAGCGTGCTGCTGAGCGCCATTTACGGCGCCGTTGGTCGCATTCTGCGACTTCTTTCCGACCGTGCTTGCGGGCTTTCGCGCGGCGGTGGCCTTGTTCGGAGTGCGTCTCACGGGCGCTGAGGCAACAGAGGCAGGCATGGTAGCGGATTGTTGTGAATATAAAACTTTGATCTGCGTCACATTATTAGAATTGTGTTCATGGTTAATTTCGATCGATTAGTGCAGAGCACGCGAGGTTGTGGACGTTGGTTGTGGACGTTGCGCGCGCCTCGTAGGATGTGATGAATGCGGTCTGAGATGTACTTACGATAGCCTTCTTCGTATGGTAAGTCGGAACCAGAGTTTGGACGTTGACTAGAATTCAGGGTGCAGTGGTAATGCGTCGGGATGATATAGAAGGGGCTTGAGGAAGGAGGCTTGAAAGGAGGAGGAGTTCTTCCTACTGGTGCTACTTGAAAGTTGGTCGGCCGCGCCACAACGACGTCATCCGAACCGCCTGCCCGCTTGCAAGCGGCGTAATGATCGGCATGCCCCAGCCGCCCTTCGACGTCAACGGCCTGGCAGCTAGACGTATCCTCTATCCGTCGACTTCGCGGAGCAAGGACACTAACAAGCGATGCTCCGGCCTTCCAAAGCGGACAATAACAATTTATGATGAATTCCCCAGCGATGCGAAAGAAGAAGGATGACTTCGGCGCAGGACTCAAGGTGTCCAAACAGAACATTGCACCGGAGGATCATCCTGCGGGCCCTCCCAAGTATGGCGAGTTGAACCAAGCTGAGCGTGCCTTTACGCTGGCTTCGACATTCCTCTCGGGCGTACTTGCGTAAGTGATGTCGGTTTACAGAGAAGCACAGCGTTAATGTGTCTACAGCATCAGCGCGTCGCAAGTGCTGGGAGCGCCACTGAAGCTCATCGACCCCGTCTTTTACGAGGGTTACATGGCGTACACGAAAGAATGCTTCGCCATCCTCATTACTTGCCTAACGCAGTGGTGGGCACCGACGGTCGTCCGAGTCAGCGGCGATTCAAGCATGCTTGGTCAATTGATCAAGACCAAAGACGGAAGTCTCAAGTGCAACTTTTCGGAGCGTCTGGTGTTGATGGCGAATCACCAGCTCTATACAGATTGGCTGTACCTTTGGTGGATTGCCTACACCAACGGTCTGCATGGCTTCGTCTACATCATCCTAAAGGAGTCGTTGAAGAACATCCCGATCATAGGATGGTCTGCGCAAATGTACAACTTCATCTTCCTTGCGCGAAACTGGGAAGAGGATCAACGGCGCTTCAAGAAGGCATTATCACGACTCAACAACCCTAAAGACCCCATGTGGCTGATCATTTTCCCGGAAGGAACGAATCTTTCAGCGTCAACACGCGAAAAGAGCAAGAAATGGGCAGCAAAGAATGGACTTGAAGACATGAAGCATCAACTCCTCCCGCGAAGCACAGGCTTGAAATTCTGTCTGAACGAGCTCAAAGACACCACCGAATGGTTGTACGACTGCACGATTGCATACGAGGGCGTTCCTCCCGGCCAGTTTGGACAAGACATCTTCACGCTACGATCTTCTTTCTTCGAAGGGCGGCCTCCCAAGTCAGTCAACATGCACTGGCGCCGCTTCCATATTTCCACAATACCGATCCAAAATACCAAAGCGTTCGAAGTTTGGCTGCGTAACCGTTGGCGGGAGAAGGATTACATGCTAGAGTACTTCAGCCGTCATACCCGTTTCCCAGCTGAGGAGTTTTGGAAAGATCATCTCGATATGGGCGATCGCAGCTCGCAGGGCGATAACAAGAGCATCCGCACCATTCCTCGCCCTGCGGTCCAGATAGAAACTCAAGTCAAGTCAGCCCATTGGAACGATTTCGTCAAAATCTTTGCGCCCATTACAGGTGTTATGACGGCAATGTCTGTAGCATATGGGGCAACACCAGGCGATCTCATACCGGGCGGAAACCAGTACTTTGAGCAGATGATGAAGGCGATTCTTAGTGGGGGCGAACTGAAGGGCCTCCCAAGCCCTGACGAGCTGGAGAAAATGATAGAAGGAGCTGCGAAGCTGGGTGCGAACCAAGCCGCTGGTCCCGGGAACAAGGGCCGTGTGCAGCATCTCACCCAGGAAAACCTCGCCAAGCTGGTCAAAGAGACAGCGATCAAGGAAGGAGTGGTACTGCCGGGTGGGAGAAGGGCCAGCACAGCTTTACCTCAGGCTCCGACAAGGACTTTAGCCACATCCACAGTGCAAAAAGCGAAGAGTGCAGTGGGACCTAGTGCTGCTCGAAAATCTGCTGCTGCGACGTCTAGAGGGCCAGCAGCAGCACGACAACCAGCGGTCGCGGCAAAATCGAAACAGCCCGCGAAGCCACAAGAAATGCGGGAAGTCACGCTTGCCTCTGGAGTTACGATCAAGATTCCCAAGCCCGAAGTAGAGAAGGCTAAAGACACCGGAACTCTCACAACTGCGAATGGGCTCAAGATCAAATTCGGCAAGAAGGAAATCGAAGCAGCGCAACAAAAGAAGGGCGCCACATTCATGACTTCTTCTGGTGTTCCTATCAAGATCACGTCAAGTGGTGCTCTTAATGTAGGACAGAAGCCACAAACGAACAGCGCCACATCGTCTGGCCCTGCCAAACCAAAGTATGTGTTCAAACCAAGCACCGATCAGCCGGCCAATACACCTAAACCGAAAGCTGGCGGGGCTGCGGCTGCACCCAAGAAGCCTGCAGCCACAAATGGTGCTGTTAAGAAACCTACTGCTTCCCCAGCAAAGAAGCCAGCAGCTAAGCCAACAACTACGCCGGCGAAACCGATCAAGAAGACGACTACGTGAGCCAATATCGCGTGGCACTATCATCTCTTACCTTTCGTCACGAAATCAAGAGACGCGTGGCATGTCGTGGTGCGGGCTAGCCCAAGACTCCGTGGCGCGTTAAAAACCCTTAATTGATCAACTGCAAATGGGGGACTGGTCTCTTTATCTTTCATAATCGGCTTTCATGACGTTAAATACCCACATGTAACATAACCTCCTCGCTGTTATAGATACCATTCAAGGTTTCTGGTCTTCACGATGCGAAACCACATCTACGCAGTTGCGACGCTCTCCACGGTTGTCCAGGCTATCATACTAGAGCCAACATGGATCATGAGTGACATGGGAAACACCACCACAGCACCAAGACTTAGCCATCCCATGGCACACAAACCTCTCACGAATGACTACGTCCACGTCACACCCAGTAACAGGAGCCAGGCATTTATTGCAGAGGTCCCCGAAGCTGTCTGGCCTTACCTCCCGTACCCTGGTTTCTGGACATGTCCTCGCAATACCGCGCTCCCGCCCAACACAGAAGACTGTTTGCAAGTCATCCAGGATACTTTTCGAAACTTCGGCAACATGACGGTCGACATGCCTGCAGACCGCTGCATACAAGCCTCCTACCGCTCATGTCTCATGTACACCTGTTCCTCGTCTTGTGAGGGAATTCAGTGGAACATGGCAGAGTGGTATCAGCTGGCTATGCATGTGCAAAAAAGTTGCGTATGGGGAAGGGGTGGAGGCGGGTATGTGCAGAGCCAGCCGGGTGGGAAGGATGGGAAATTTGCATACAGGACGGGATTGACTCATGTTGATCAGGTCGATGGGTTGATGACGCCTGCTATTGTGTGTTGATGGAATCTTTGCTACGACCAAACCTAGTCTCGTTATATACACATATCTCGTCTCTTTGCGAACAATGCGCCTGTATCAATGTGCTGGGATCGAACATATGCAAATGCCATCCCAGAATCCCATGTTCTCCTAGACGGAAAATCAAAATGCCGCCCCCACAGAAAGTGACGCCACACGCTCATCGATCGCCCTAGACCCGCACCCCAGTTCACGCTACTTCGATGCGTGCCACAAGCGACGTCATACCCCATCTCCGCTTCCAGCCCAGCGCCACTCATCCCTCGCAGAAAGCAAGATCGCAATGGAGCGCTAGCACAACGTCACTCCAGCCGAATTGCGTCTGAGCTTCTCCATCAGTTCTGGAAGCATTGAAACTCCCCACCATATTGCAATTCACGTTTACTTTACGACTGTGCAGGAGATTGAAACGGAACCAGCACAATGACGTCCTTCATCCAGAACATGCTGTGGAACAGCGTGTCGGGCTTCATAGAGGAAGGGAAGCGCACCGTAGGCGGCTACGCAGGCGATGCGCTGATAAAAGCGGGTGATATGGTCGAAGGCGGTGGACGCAGCGTGGGAACTGGTATGCTTCTATTCCCCTTGTTCCTCCTACTTCTCCTCCTATGTGGGAAGAATTGGTGACTGACCTTGTGAAACTGTACAGGCATCGAGAAGAAAGCCACCGGCCTCGGCACCTCCATCGGCGGGCAGACTAAAGGGCCGTCCGCCAAAGCACTACCATCTTCTGCGCGCCGTCCCGCAGCGCACCGCTCGAACTCTCTGCCTGCGAGCACGAAGCCAGGAGGATCTGGAGTCCCGCTGGGCGCGAAGAAGACCCCTAACACCGGCGCAGCGAAGAAGCAGGTCAGCAACAGCACCAAGAACGCCGTCAGCGGCATCACGAAGACCGGAAGCGGTGTAACAGGCGGCGTACAGCGGGGCGTTAACGGCCTCTCCAAGCCCGTCGGCGGCGTCGTAGGCAACGTCTCAGGCGGAGTCAAGAACGCAGTCGGCCCCTACGGCAAGACCGCCTCCAATACAGCAAACTCCTCCGTCAAGCGCAACAAACCCCTTCCCAAACCGTATGGGCAGAGTGGACCCGATCTGCCTAAGCCGTACGGCAACAATAATGCTTTCATGAACTCAACTTCGGAGAAGAAAACGGCTGTGAGGCCGGGACAGAGCAAGCCGTTTACGGCACCGAAGGAGGATAACGCGAAGAAGCCGTATCCGGGGACGAATACGCTGCCTGGGCAGGGGAATAAGACGCCGGTTAGGAAGTATAAGCCTGCGCAGCGGTACGAGCCGCCTACTAAGGCGGGGGAGGCTACGCACTTGTCTTTTTGAGGAGAGTGCGGACTGCGACTTACGACGATGACGGTGTAGGCTGATTATATGTTTTGGTTACTGCTGTGTCTGATGCTAGTCAGGGCCTTGCGGCGTGACATTGCATATTTCTCGCGGTCTCAACATATGTGGTCTGGACGAATTATGGCGTTTAGGGTGTTGGAATAATGTGGACTGGATGTACGATATTAGCTGGGCTCACTGTGGTTGGTTGGCAACGACAGCTACTGTGGAGCTTCTTGGGCATGGCACTTCCCTTATTCACGTGAAAACTCGCTCACGAAACGAAGGGCAGTCAAAATATACGAAATTTGATTCTTGTTGTAGAAGGAAACGAAGAACGATGCTACACGTGCTTCGTAAATGCTTGATTTGCGTTGGGTCTCATGGCTCTATCCTTGCACAACTATGCACATATACTAGTAAGCACAAACAACTGCACGAGCGATGCTCTAATTACAATTCACTCACACTGAAAGCAGATACTAACGACGGCGTTCGCCCCCCGCCGCGCAAGAGTGTCAACAAATCTATCGTCCACTAACATTCATCACGCACTCATAACAACTCAAGTGCTATTCCTCCCACGCGTACACGCCTACCCTACTCAACAACACTCTTCTTCCCCACCGTCCTACTCATTCGGGCATGTTCCGGACATCCCAACACCTATCCCCATGAGCTCACCAACCGCCGTGATCAACGTGCATGAAAGGTTACGTTACCCCGCATATCGTCCCGCCCACTTACCGAAGGGAGCAACCCGCCACGCCGATCACCCCAACCCATCACCACTCGGCTCGCGTTTAAGACGCCGATTTCAGGTCCGAGGCGTGGTTCAAGCTTTTGGGCGCACGCGCGGAGCAAGCGGATCGAGCTTAAGAATGCTTAAATCCTGAATGGTGCCCGTGTGCGTGCTTAGCATCCTGTATTGACTGTTTCCCCGCGTGGTCCTTTTCGCGATGCGGCTGTTCCCGAACTCGAAGAAAGACGCTGCTGCTGAGGCGCCCGTGCAAGACTCCATCGCCCCAGCTCCACTTGGAGAAAAACCCACCGGAATAGACAGGCTGGAAAGAGATGCAGAAGCCGGGGCGCCTCCGCAGACGCAGATGGCAATTGATCCCGAGGTGGAGAAGAGAGTGAGAAGGAAGTTGGACTGGCACCTCCTTCCTCTCGTCTCGGGACTGTATCTGCTTGCGTTTCTGGATCGGAGCAACATCGGGTGAGTGTTTTAGCACCACGGACAGTCTGGGTGAATAACGAGGGCATGCAGAGGTCACTAACGCATGGCAGAAACGCACGCATCGCAGGCATGGCCGATGACCTTGACCTCGACGGCGGAAAATACGACTGGCTCCTCACCATCTTCTACATTTCGTACATCGTCTTCGAGTTCCAGGCCATCATGTGGAAGGTCGTCCCGCCGCATCAGTGGGCGGCGTTCGTGGTGTTCGCCTGGGGCTTAGTCTCGAGCGTGCAGGCAGCGATTCACACGTGGGAAGCGGAAATGGCCTTGCGATTCCTAATGGGATGGGCAGAAGCGGGATACGGTCCTGGAATTCCCTATCTACTGAGTTTCTTTTACCTCAGGCATGAGCTGGGACTGCGGGCGGGGTTGTTCCTCAGTGCGGCGCCGCTGGCGAATACGTTTGCGGGGGCGCTGGCGTATGGGATTACGAGTGGGAGTCCGGGGATTGCAAAGTGGAGGGTGCTTTTTTTGGTGGAGGGGCTGCCGACGATTGTGATGGCTGGGGTGGCGTGGTTCTTTTTGCCTGATAGTCCGGAGAAGGCCAAGTTTCTGAACGAGGAGGAAAAGATGGTGGTGAAGGCACGGGGGGTGAGGCAAGCGGGTGCGGCGACTAGGGTTGGGGGCGTGAATTGGAAAGAGTTCTGGGCTGGGCTTGCGGATCCGAAAGGGTGGATTCTAGGGGTGAGTTATCGTCTTTTGCGTGCGTAGGGATGAGTTGTCATCCTCCGTGTAGGGATGAGTCTAAGTGACTGACGCTCCGCCAGTTGATGTACTTCTCCTGCAACGTCTCGTTCTCGTCGCTTCCCGTGTTCCTACCGACAATCCTGAAGGAGATGGGCTTTTCGGCGATCAACGCGCAGGGACTTACGGCACCGCCTTTCTTCCTCTCGTTTCTCATCACTATCATCACGCCGTACATCGCAGACCGCACGCAGCAACGCGGCATCATGCTCGTCATCCTCACCATCATTGGCGGAACGGGGTATGTCATCCTGGCCGCCGCCAAAAGTGTAGGGGCGCGATACTTTGGCGTCTTCATGGCTGCAGCGGGCATCTTCCCCGCGATTGCCAATATCTTGCCGTGGGTGTTGAACAACCAGGGCTCCGACACACGCCGCGGCGCTGGAATCGTACTGCTCAACGTCATCGGACAGTGCGGGCCGTTGCTCGGGACGAGGATGTATCCCACCAACGAAGGGCCGTTCTACGTCAAAGGGCAGTCCGTCTGCGCTGCGTTCATGTTCTTCACGACGTTCCTCGTGGTCATCTTGAGAACGCTGCTCGTGTGGGAGAACAAGAAGCTGGATAAGCAGTATGGGACTCTGGCACAGCAGAAGCAGGCGGCGCAGGAGGCGGCGCAGGCTGCGGGCGGGGAGACGAAGAACGAGGTTGCTGTTGAGAATTACGGGCCGTTGTTTAGATATGTCCTGTAGATTATAGGGCCATGATGCAGCGGCCGGGCTAGTTCATGCTAGATAAGGCAGTCGAGCACGCGACTATCGAGTCCGTTCCACAACGCGCACTTCCATTATCAATGCTACTAAAAAGACTTCGAATAAAAGGCAATTAAGCTCTCAATTAAAAGTATGTCTGTCGCTCGCACATAAAATTATCAATTGTCATCCGTCCGAAAGAGGAACGGCAACCGAGGACGGGGACAAGGGCGGGCTGAGGGCGCACTGACCGCGAACTCTAACGTCATCGTCTGCAAGTCGGCTATCGCCTCCACTCAATCCTCTGCTATCCACTATTCTTCCAGGTTATTCATTCGTTCTCCAGCACCGCTGCGCTGCGTCGTTCGTCCGCCATTGAGCAGCCTCACTTTATCATGGCTTCCAATGCCGCAAATCAAGGGCAGACGTCCCAAGGCTCTGCTCCGCGCCCCGAATTGGCACCCTCCAACGGCAACGCGCAACAGAACGAGCCTGGTGCAGCTGCGGCTCCCGCAAAGAAACGCAAGCATCGCGGAGGCAAGAAGCGGCGCAATCGCCGCCAATCGTTCGCTAACACGCTCGAATCGGGCGACATGACCGACGATGCGCGCCCGAGCCTCGCAGACGTCGCCGGGCATTCGTCGCGCGGTAGTTCCAGCTTCTACCGCCTCCGTCCGAACCAGAATCGCAGCAATGACAGCCTGGAGAGCGATGTCTTGCTCGACCACCGCGAGCAGCCAGCTTCGATTTCGACGCGCCGCCCGAGCGTGCAGATGTCGCAGCTGCTCTCGCCGCCCCAGCGCCGCTCCACCCAGCCGAATCCCAATCGCTCCGGCCTCGCGCACCAGCAGTATGCCTCGGATAGCGACCCCGACGACAACGACGCTGATGACCGCACGCCTCTTATGAGCCAATCTGCGCGGGATCTGAGGTCAAGCGGATATGGAGGAGCCGGGACCGCTCTTCGACACCGGAGAGAGAGCAGGTCCTCAGGACACTCGAACAGCAGAATTGGTGCGCAATTTGCGCTGCAGCATCACTCGCAGACGAATCTTGCAGACTATGATGTGAACAATCCGCCATCCGTGCCTGCGAGCCCGGTCCTGGGACCCGAACTCAACAGCTATGGCGATGTGATGCTGCCAACAGATATGACGCGCAGTCAGGAGAGGTCAGGGAGCAGGGGAAGCAGGGGCAGGTCTCGGGACGTCTTGATTGACATCGATGAAGAATCTACACCACAACAAAATTGGGAATCCGAGCCACCGTCCCCCCCTGAGCCCAAGGAATTGAGCCGTCGCATGACGCTCTCGGCCGCTGAGGATGTCTGCTTCCCGCTGGAGGACATGTCCGAGATTGGCCAGGAGGACTACATGCGCCACCGAGAAGAAGGAGGTGACACGCGTCAACGCCGCCGACGCCGTCGATGGCCAGACTTGAGCGTCCTCGAAGATTGGTCGCACGAGGAGAAGGAACAGCGTACTATTGAGGGTATGCGTGCCCGCAAGGTCGCCGAACCCTTGATGGTAGATGGACGCCTGCGCCCGCAGAAACGTACATGGCATAAAGACACAGAAGATGCGCCATACCGCTTCACTTACTTCAACGAGGAATTCGAGAACACGATTCACAGTCAGAGTATTGGCGAGCTCTGTCAACCAGGACAGACTTTTCGACAGCTATTCATCCCGGATCCACCTATTCTGGAAGATAGCACCGACGACGAGACCGATGACGATGAGGGCATGACGACTATGACACGAGAAAGCACCGTGGACAGACAGGCTAGCATGAACGGGATCAATCGTGCTGCTGCGCGGACTCCAACTACATTGGCCCCAAAGCAGACATCTTCGGGAGAGCAGACACGGTCTAGTACACCTGGGCGTTCTACCACCCCGAAGCCGCCTCGAGAGGAGAAGCCGCCGCGGTACGGTCCGCGTCCTGCTTTCTGGCTCGATGTACTCTCACCCACCGATGCGGAAATGAAGGTCATTTCCAAAGCCTTCGGCATCCACCCTTTGACTGCCGAAGATATCTTGATGCAGGAACAGCGCGAAAAGGTCGAGCTGTTCAAGCATTATTACTTCATCAACTACCGCACTTTTGAGCAGGATGAGAATAGCGAAGACTACCTAGAACCCGTCAACCTATATGTTGTCGTCTTTAAAGAGGGCGTTATCAGCTTCCATTTCTCGATGACCCCTCATCCAGCTAATGTCCGACGCCGCATCCGCCAGCTTAAGGACTACCTCATCCTCAGCCCAGATTGGATCTCATATGCTCTCATCGACGATGTCACCGACGCTTACGCTCCGCTTATTGAGCGGATCGAAGAAGAGGTCGACGATATCGACGAAGCCATTCTCCGCTCCTACTCGCAAGAAGACGCGAAGACCGCCAACAGCAAGAAAGACCCTTTCAACATCCTCAACGACAAGGACTCCGACGATGGCGAAGAAAACGGCGGCGGCGGCCGAGACATGCTCCGCCGCGTCGGCACCGCACGAAAACGCGTCATGACGCTGTATCGCCTGTTAAGTACCAAGGCAGATGTCATCAAGGGCTTCGCGAAAAGATGCACGGAGCAGTGGGACGTTGCGCCAAGGGGCGAGGTCGGGCTCTACCTGGGTGATATCCAAGACCATATTGTCACCATGACGGCTAACCTGACGCATTACGAGAAGTAAGTCCCGTCCTTCTCCTTCCCCTTGCCCACCATACTTTCATCAAAGAAGTAGCATATATGCTAACGTAACGCAACTACAGCCTCCTCTCCCGCTCCCACAGCAACTACCTCGCGCACATCAACATCCGCATGAACGAGCGCCAGGAACAGACCTCGGACATCCTCGGCAAACTCACCGTCTTGGGTACTATTGTCCTGCCCATGAATGTTGTTACGGGTATTTGGGGTATGAATTGTCTGGTTCCGGGGCAGGATGTGGAAAATTTGAATTGGTTCTTTGCGATTACGGGGGGACTGATAGCCTTCGGGTTGATTTGCTACTGGGTGGCGAAGAAGGTTTTTGGGATTGTGTAAGACAGGGTTGGGGGGAGATGGGGTTGGTTCCGAGCATTAGAATGCAAAGTGGGATTTCTAGAGTTGGTGGCGTGGAAGAAAATAGTGGGGGATATGATGTGGCTTGCGATGAATGGTTGTAGGATTGATGGGGATGTATTTGGTATATATACATGTAGTGCATCGCTATTGGGAATATATGACGCTTCGACGTAATCATTGTTCATTCTGCCTGTCGTATCGTTTCTCTGAGGTGTGAGGTGATGGTATCTGGGGAAGTAGAAATCTTATAGTTTTGAAGAGAGAAGGATTACTGTCTGGGTGAGTTGTTGGATGGGTGGTTTGATGAGGGGACGGTGCGGTATGGGGTCATTGTGAAGATTGGATGATGTTGGTTAGCAAAGGTTACAGGTGAATAGCGAGAGGAGCGAGCTCGTTGGTCGAGACTATGGGTAGCGAGTAATTATATGACGTTTAACTGGTATTTGAGCCTGTGGCTAGTGAGACACCTTGTAATTTATGACATCTTCGGTCAAGTCACAGTGCTCAGGGTACACCGTTTTTCGAAGCTTCGGATCTCCCGAGGTCGATTATCTAGCACGTGACGAATCCTGAGTTAAGCGCCATTGTTCAGCGGCGGGCCGTGCGTATGCTTGCTTTGCCCCGCAATCCGCCTTCAGCTCCCCTAACTGCAGCTTCAGCCTTGCCATATGTTCTTGTCCAGGCAGCACAGCACAGGATGGTGGCACTTGCGACGATCGACCTCTGCACACGAGATAAGACTGAGCTTTGCCGCATGTGCGCTGGTCTTCCTCACACTCACTTGCAACAAAAGATCGTATATTGTTACTAAGATAGAGATGCCTCCCCACTCTTAGCGATGTGACTCCGGCCATATCTTCAGAAAACCGAGCCTAACCCATCTTCTCTTCGTCTTTTAGTCAACTAAGCAGCTTCATGGCATCACGCTCCCCCAGCCATCATGTTACAATCAACTAGGTCGCCTATCTTGCTGAACTTCCCTCAAATCGCATCGCATCACCGAGCGTTCTTGGGATTCTCTATCCGGTCATATAACAAGGGTATTCGATACTCATCAATAGTGATCTTCAGCTCTCGCTCCTCTTTGACCTTACGGAGTATTGATCGCGCCCGTCAGCTAAGCCACTTCATAGCGGCTATGTCGATGTACTCGCCACACCCACTAAGAGCCTCGTCAGACGACATTCGGCTTGTCACACTCCTGCCGGGCGTCATGGCTGATCCTATCCAATGTCAATTGAAAGTGGCCACTCTCCAAACTAAGTATGAAGCCCTATCATATGTCTGGGGATCTGAATCCGATGCTCGGCCAATATCAGTCAACGATCATGAGCTGCATGTCACTTTCAATCTGGAATCGGCACTGCGCCGTCTACGAATGAAGAAGCAACAGCGGGTTCTGTGGGTAGATGCGTTATGCATAAATCAAGAAGATATCCCGGAGAAGGAGTCGCAGATACCTCGCATGCGGAAAATATACGAATGTGCAGAAACGGTCATCGTCTGGTTAGGTCCTTCGACGCCCGAAATGAGGGCGGCTTATGAATCGATGAAGAGCAGGCCAGACTTGCTCAAGCCTGAGAATATCATGAAAAAGGAAAGCCGGGAGATCATGAAAGAATTTGGCAAGGGCTTCTTTGAACCTGTCTGGTGGACGAGGCTTTGGGTGATCCAAGAGGTATTGGTGGCACGAAAGCTGGTTGTCATTCGCGGACAGATATCGTTTTCCTGGAACTTCCTTGAAATGACGTTGGGTAAGAACGTTACTGGGAAGGTGAATCCGTTTGCGGCTTCCATGAAACCACAAATCATTCATCACCCAATGCATTACTTCTGCTTCTACCGAGCGAGGCTGGCCCGCGGTGAGACCATACATCTCCTAGGTCTGATCAAAGTTTTTTATAGGCATGAGTCGAAGCTTCCCAAGGACCGTGTCTATGGACTCTTGAACATCGCTGCAGATGGTGATGATATCGACCTCTATCCGGATTATTCAAGCTCCGACAGCGATGTTTTCAAGCGTGTCGCCAAACACAGTATACTCAAGTACAAGAATCTGGATTTCATCTTTCTGGGTCGAGGCCCCGGACGATTGGCTGACCTTCCTACATGGACTCCGGATCTCACCATACCTTGGGAAAGAACCCCTTATTCGCTCCTACCGTCGAAGGAACCTGTGATCTTCGCCGCCGCAGCAAAAACAGTCGCTTCACCCGTGTTTTCCGAAGATCTGGCTAGAATGACTGTCACTGGAGTTTGCGAAGATGTGATATCGAAGGTCAGTGTACGCCCATAGCAAAATTAAACCTGACGCAGTCAGCATCCTAACTGTACGCTTTCACTAGGTGTGCATCACAAATGAAGAGAAAGAAGCAGTCGATATGGCACTGGGAGGCGAAAAGCACCCACTTGCAAAGGTGCCATACCCTAGAAGCCAAGATTATGTTCCGGCCCACGAATCACATAGGCTACATATCATAACGTATTCGTTCAGGCAAGGAGCCGAGTTACTGCTACCGGGTAAAATCGAAACCGGCGGCCGAGAAACCTACTCCTCAGCGTGTAACCGGACTCTGATCAGCGATACTGGGCATAGCGGTTTCCGTCTGCAGCAAGGAGAGGGCCATTTCTATCAAGGAGAAGGGGAGACTGAAGGACCACCAAGGAAATACCAATACAACAGATCTCAAGATGACAAGAAATTCATGGTCTCGAGAAAAGGCTACATTGGCATGGTGCCAGCCGAGGCGCAGCCAGGAGATATGATATGTGTTCTGCACGGGTGTTCTCTACCTGTGATACTGCGGGAAGTAGGCGATCATTGTAATTTCATTGGAGAATGGTAAAATTACCTCGGATCTCCTGCTGGTTTTAGGAATTGTAAGGCTCACTAAGAATAGTTACATCCATGGCATTATGGATGGACAAGTCATTGAGGACGTAGAGAATGGTAAAACGGATATACGTAAGTTTGACATCATTTAGTCAGTGGCCTTAGGTACGAAATAGATGCGAAGACTGCCGGGAGCTTGAGAGCTGGGATGCTCCGCTACATATGCTACAGTATCACTGGATGTCTCTATTACTGAAAGCATCTTTTTGGAATAGTCACAGGACTCAACGCCTTACATATGATGGTGATTGCTTAGTTTAAGTAGTTAAGAGGATGAATTGATGTGCTGCTCGCTTTGCAGGCTTCAAAATGTCGTGGAACCTCGTTCGGCGCTTCTGCGGGGGCCAGGCAGAATTTTGAGCTAAGCTGCGTTCAGCCTTGTGATGCGCCTGTACGTGGCAGTGTCGACCGGTGAAGCTGCGGCAACTGCTATTGGGTGCCTGCGATCAAGCCAAGGATGCAAGTGTCGCAACTCCAGAGCTGTGGCCTCTTAGTAGTCGACTGCTAATTCACGATAGCATAACTACTTCGTTAAAGAGATACTCCAGATGACTCTCTCACCCCCTCTCTAGCGACTTCCAAGTACAATTGCTTCACGTGTGACTAGCTAGCCTAGTCGCCACTTGAAGCCTTCCCCAATGGAGGCTTTGGCCGCGGTCGGCCTCGCTTCAAACGTCCTTCAATTCGTCCAGTTTGGCTGTGAATTGTTCTCTTTGAGTGTTGAGATCAAAAAGAGCGCCGACGGGTATTCCAATAGCCACGGAGACCTCGATATCATAGCGACCGCTCTCCAAGAGCATAGCAAAGCTCTATCGTCAAATTGCACATCACCGAACATACAACAGCTTTCCATGCAAGCGCAAGCGGTTGCTGAAGACCTGCTAATAACGGTAAACAAAGTTCGCGCGAAAGGCAGAAAAAGCGGATCGAGGAAGCATGCTAAATGGAATTCATTTAGACAAGCTCTTGAAGTGCGAATCAGCAGAGATGATGTTGATGATCTCAGAGTTCGCATGGAAGCCTTGCGAAGTCAGATGCAGTTTGGGATCGTTATGGACATGAGGTGAGCTCGCAGTCTCGCTATCTTCATCATTCGCGATGCGCAAATCCACAATACTGATGTAAATAAGGGATGCTTCGAATTCTATCATACGCACGCTGGCGGATCTGTCCACCGATACTGATGTCATGAAGAAGAACCTATCTCAACAATTGAAGGAAAGCTCGAAGACATTGGGAACATTTTGTGACCGTGTCGAAAAGGCTGAATCATCGATAATGTTAGGTATACACTCCAAGAGCTTGACGGATTTTCCCAGAATAGCAGAGAGAGTTAAGCCAGCCTCGATCTTAGAAAGCCTGGCATTCCCGACCATGGCGACCCGACACAGTGCAATAAAAGAAGCTCATGCACGAACGTACGAGTGGATATTCAGGACTGAGTCTTTACCAGCAGAAGACCCCCGTTCGCATATCAAATACTCTTCCTGGTTGTCGCACGGAACCGGTGTGTACTGGGTTACTGGAAAGCCAGGTAGGTTCTGATGATAAGCCTTGTGAAGTGGATATTAAATGACCCTTTAGGGTCCGGAAAGTCGACGCTTATGAAGTTCCTAGAGGATCACAGTACTACGTCACATCTGCTCGACAGCTGGGCAAAACCTCATAGTCTCGTGAAAGCAAGCTTCTACTTTTGGGCCGCGGGTGCTCTCATGCAGAAGTCATTACAAGGCCTCCTACAGTCCCTTCTTCACACAGTCCTGGAAGGCTGTCCGAAGCTTTTCAAAATTATTTGCCCGAAGAGGTGGGGCTCTACCTTAGGCTTACCTGACGCTGAATGGACGCTGTCAGAGCTGAAGGAGACCTTTGAGAGACTGAAAACACACAATACGCTCTCGACGAGGTTCTATTTCCACCTCGATGGTCTTGACGAATATGAAGGCGATCACTACGAGGTGGTAGAGATTATTAAAGGCCTTGCTCTATCACCTGCTTTCAAGATATGCGTTTCAAGCAGACCGTGGAACGTATTTCGAGAGACCCTGACGAGCAATTGGTCTCTTAACCTACATACACTCACCCGTGGCGATATTGAGCTATTCGCGCGTGAATCCATCTTGGTCCATCAAGACAGATTTTCGGGTGAATTTCAGAAACAGTCCTACAATGACATCATTGAGGAGATCGGAGCTCGAGCCGAAGGTGTGTTTCTTTGGGTTCGTCTTGTAGTACAGTCATTAAGAGTCGGAATCTATAATGCAGACTCCACTGATCTTCTGAAAAAGCGACTAGAAGAAATACCGACGGATCTTGAGGACTTTTTTGAGCATATTCTGCGGTCTGTACATCGGGTGTACAGCGAGCGAATGGCGTGAACGTTTCTAACGGCAATCGCCTCTCCCGAGCCTCTTAAGCTCATCCACTACTCTTTGCTGGACGAAGAGGACCCTTATCTGGGCTGGTCATATACGTTGAAGTCACTGGACCGAAGCGAGATTGCTAACAGAATTTCTGCAACACGGTGGCGACTGAACGGTCGTTATAAAGGTCTACTAGAACCATCAGCGGAGCAAGACTCTGCTACAGTTGATTTTCTTCACCGCACACTGAGAGACTATCTATCAACGCCGAAGATGCAAGAATTCCTAAAGTCGCGAGCAAGTCCAGATTTCGACCCTTTCGACGCTGCGGTAGGTGCTTCGATGGGCGAAATCAAACTATCGAACCCGCATCCTGCTCTGCACTCCTTCAAGGAAACGACGAGGATCCTTAGATTGATCAAACCGGAAGCGATCGAATTGATCTTGGAGTTCAAATTCCTAGATCACATGGAGCTCATCTTCCAACATCTCGATCCAGCAGATTCAATGTTCATACTGAAGGCCGCTGTTCAGTCGCAGGAAAGAGATTACGTGCATCATCGAATCCACTCTTCGCAGCTCCCTCTGAATCTTGACTGGACACTGCTCCATCAGTCCTGTCGCCCAAAGCTCCCACAACCCTTCTGGAACATCTTCCGGTTCCAAGTGGAGATAAACTGCACAGATGTGGCACTTTGCGAGACGAAAAGTGCGTCCGGGATCAACTTGGCGTTTGTCGGAGCCTTGCTGGCGAGGGGAGCCAATCCGAACGCTGCAGTGGACAACTCCGGAATCTTCTCACAGTATCTGGGAATTCTAGACGATGCTACCAGGTCTTGCGAGTCATTCTCCGAGGGATGGAACATTATCAAACTCATGGTGCGATATGGTGCGGCGATAAACGAGTTTCTCCCAGAATGGTCGTATCTAGCATCTGCAAAGTATCTGAGTTTCGAATCGCAAGAGCAACTGCTGCAAGGCTTTCTCTTCCTTATGGAACATGGTCTTGATGCAAAGTCCGATATCTGGGTCCATCTATTGTACGGATTGCGCGACATAAAACTACATTCAGGCCTACAGGCAAAGTTACGGGACCTGATATCGTCTTTTTTTCGCCATGGCGCCGTATTCTCAGGAACGTCGTCGGCAAGCCCAGTCCAACTGCTCGTCAAAGAGGTCGCAAAGTGGGCTCGAGAAGTCGTCAGGGACATAACGTGGGATAGCCCTCGTGTTTATGGTCTCGAAATCGATGACTTATTCGCACTCTTCCTCCAACATGGGTTTGATCCAAACCACAAATTCGACAAATCGACCGTTTGGGAAGAATTACTTTTAGCAATAAGTCTCAGCCCCAACAGCCAGCACCATGTGAAGCTGATGTTGCTATTCGTGCGCTATCGCGCCAATCCGTACAGCAAGGACTTACATCGAATTCTTGGATGGGACCCGCGCTACGAACGTCGTATAGTCGGACCTCTAGCTACAGAGCTGGAATCCGCTGTGCATCGAGAAATCGATGATCTCGCACATCGCGATCAATTGTCTCCCCATGAAACCCTAGGTCTCCCGCGACATAATCAGCAATTTAGACGCTACCGCACGCGAGCTGCGCTCAACAGCCGATCGAAACGATCTGCTGAAGAAATGCCGAACGATCCGGACAGAGAGGCTGAGAGGGATTTGAAGAAAAGAAGATAACTTATCAAGAGGACATAGATGCTGGCCGACACCTAGAAAGCATGCTTCCAGTTGTGTAAGTTACTGATACGCGACGCTCATTCGCTAAGACGATAGATCTTAGTTACTTAACTATTATTATGCTAAGATTTATGCTGTTCACATTCGTCTTGAGTCTATTTGGTATAAACACTACATGTCCACTTAGAAAATAGACATATCTAGGTTTATTTTATAGTTATAATTCCTTAATAAAGTTAGTTATACTTATTGCAGGACTACTAGTTACTCGAGCGAGAAGAGTACTATAGTGCTTTACATAACGTCGAATAAGGCCTACAATAAGGCGAAGCACTAATCTATATGCTAAAGGAGATACTTTTCGAGCAGCCTACCCTGCTACATATGACAGGAGAGTGGTTCCTCATACGGTACTATGTACAGCACTCCTTGTTACATGAAGAGGTGGAATTTACTGCTGAATGTAGTAGCATCCCGATAGTGGACAATTTCGAGTAGTTGCAGCATAGTTGTGAGATTTTATCGCTGCTCTAATGTGCTGATATGCTATGCGTGAGCTATACACGGAACCCCCTAACGCCAATTACGTTCAAGGCCCGAAATGAACAAAGGGTGCCCACTTCATGATCTCACTGGTACCTGTATTCATGTTTCGCTTCTCGTCTTGGAGCCAAACCGCCGCATCGTGAAGTGAGCGAGCTACGGAACGACTATCCATCAAGCCTTTGGTCGGCAAGTTTCTATAGAAAGCTCTCGCAAGTTGCGCGGCCGCACGGTCATCAACAGGCCATAGCGATCCGATGACATTAGGAAAGCCGGTAAGCTGAAACATGCTAGCAAGATGAAAGTTCTCGTCACCCCGTGAGCCAACTCTTATCTCCGCCGTGGAACAAGCAGAAAGGTAAGCTATACGAGCTTGATATGTTCAAGTAGCGAAGCCCTTGACTACGAGCCTTTCTTCAAGATCGGGTAGTATAGGTTCCAGCTGGATCAAGACTTTCACAGGCCTTGCCTCAAAAGCAAGAGACAATAGAACTCAGGCTCGACATCCGTTATTTCCTTCAACCGCACATATTCCCCAATCTTCAATTTTTCGCCGCCAATACTCGCTTCGCCTGACTCGGAACACACAGGTATAAAGTCTACGGTCGATCCTTTCTTTACGGGTATGCTTGAGCGCTCTTTGAAATGGAGAGCCGTAATGCGGGTTTCGTTCGCCGGAGTCTGTATCATTCGCACTAAATTAGCCTGAGAACTAGATCTTGAAAGATAAAAGGGCAATACTTCATACTCCATCGTTGAATAGGACAAGTACTTTGCTGAATTTATCCACCAGAGCTTCTGCCTCTTCACAGAAAGAGTAGTTCTCGTTTGGTAGTGGTTTGAACTGGGCGTTTGTGAGCCACTTCGCGCCGTTGACCAGCTCTTCCAACGCTTCCGAGGGCAACTCTTTTCGCTCGAGCTGGCCGCTCATTGCGTATCGGTTCGGAGAGGCGACAGATTGTTGGCGGTGATCTCCAGCTGATGCCTTGCCAGATGGTGGGAAACGAGCGACAATGTATCCGTAGGCGAGTTGGATACGCGAACACAATGATGGTCTGTGCACAACACTAGTCTTCTTCATGGCTGGCATGCGCAACCTCGAGAAGATCAAACCAGCACATATTCAGTCTTGAATTCTCCTGATGTATTTAGGGCTCCTACTAATAATACTGTACGAACTGTGACGCGAAATCTACTCCGCTCATGGACAAACTAGCTTCCAGTGCGTTTACTACATCCCATGGCCTGCCTTACCTAGGTACCTTATCGGTATAGGACGCAGATCCAAACAGCATGACTCCGAGTGGCCGCAAGAATAATATATCCTATGGGATGAGTTCCCGCTGACCTTCTTCAGGCCAGCATCTGATAAAGTTTCGCAAGGCTGAACTTCCGAGCCTGACACGTTGTGTGCCACACCACGTGGCTGGTCAAATGACCAACCTCAGAGTGAGGCCATGGCAAAGCTGTCGGTTTCTGGACGACTATCATGACCACGAAAAGGAACGGTACCCACCGTTCAATTACCGAACGAAAACAAGCCTACAGAATCTGGATTTGGGTTATTACCAAGCGAGTCTGCCTATTCGAAGTATTGCGGCCCAACACTCGAGGCGGATTGCATGCACCCTGGGCTGTTCGCTGGCAGACTTGAGCAGCATGACCACGTCAGCACCAGATCCAGGGTTGAGCGAAACTTCATGTCGTGCTTCGATGCAGGCGTTCACCGTTCATATCAAGCCGTTTGCCTTCTTGCTTCATATGTATTCTTGGGTTTCTCATCTTACTGATGGTCAGCCTTGTCTTATCCGCATATGGTTTTCGTGATTCATGCATCTGTCACCAGCAGATTGGCCCAGGTCTCCGCCTCATGGAGTCCCTTCATTCGTCCCTTCCCTCTCTCAAACCTTCGACGACTCCAACTTGACAGCCCCCAAGATTCCAAATTAGGGTTTGCTAACTCCGGCACAGGTGTGTACTGTCCTTTCCGCTGACATTGAAGTTTTATCTTTAATCTCCGGTGCCCAATACGGATTACGGATGTCTGGTGTCGAGATATTGGGCTGCTTTGCAGGAGGCTCACAGCTTGTGGGCTACGTGTTAAAAGTCGGAGACGCGATTCTAGAGCTGAGAGACCATATCAAGCACTATCCGGCGCGAAGAAAATCCTACACTGATCAACTCGACTCGTTTTCCATCACGATTCAGGATATCAGGCGGAACGACGCTCTCCATACCCCAGCTATACTAGGACTACTTCAAGGGATATCGCAAAAGGTAGAGGTTCTGAACCACGTCTTGCAAACCTCTTTCTCCCGTCCTGCGCATAGGTCCTTAAAAAGGTATCTAAGAATTCCTCAGGAAAAGAGGACAGAAAGGCGCATCAGGGAGTCTCTCGCTTCTCTGCAAAGCGACAAGCTAGACTTGATACTCTGCATCCAAATGGCATCTAAGAAGGACGGCGCTGGTAACACTGTCACAATGGCGAACGTTACGACAACGGATACTCTAAGTCAAGCTCCTCTTGATTCTCAAGGTAAGCATACATTGAGCACTATATGCCATGTCGATCTTAATGAGGTGCAGCACAATTCGGTGTTCCCCCATTCACCGCCGATTCCGTAAGTCGTCCCAATGATGTGAGATCATGCCAGGAAAATGACGATTTGTTTTCCAAAACTAATAGATCACGCACAAGGATGAAACTGTTGCGCTCCAGCAAGTTCCACTGCTCCCTGAGCCTCCTCCAGAAATATCCGTTCCCCAGAATGATAAGGTCCATACTGAGGAACAGTCTTCCAACAAAGATCAAGCTGAAACCCCTGCCACTGGCCCACCAGGATACGGCAGGTTCGTTGACGTTGAATCAAGCGACGTTGTCATCGGAACTATCGGCACTAACGTGGCAGGAGGTCTTTGGCAAAAGGTCAAGTCGAATAGATGCCATGTATCAGCAATCGGGCCTACCGATTTTGCCGGCATCGCGTTGCTCCTGGATAAACTATCCCATGCCTCATAAGCCTACACGGTCATAAGGCTTGTAACCGACTGTCACTTGCAGACTGACAGCAGCATAGAAAGGCTAGTATAAATGAGCAACAGTCTGTGGGTGCCTCATGAGGTTGGTGAACAAGCGGTTGGTTTGTTGCTGCGGAAGATGGTGCTTTTCTGGGGGAGGCAGAATCCTGTATTAAATGCGCTGGTGTAAAAGAGATTGTTGGCAGGTTTGCTGGAATACATGGAGCTTGATTCGGTGGTGATACTGTTTGTGCGCCGTATGCTACTGGAAATGGTGTTGATTGTGGCTGTGGCTGTGGCCGTGGTTGGACTTCCGGACCTTGTTGTGATCGGACTTGCGGATGCTCTTGTGGCTGGGCTTGCGGATGTTGTGGTGGTACAAGGAATACTCGGGGTGGCATCGATGGTGATGGCCGCGTTATGTTGATTGGAAAAGCGGCTGTATAGTTTAAATAATCATATCGTACGTCGATAAGGATCTGTGGGAGATCAACGCCTGCCGATATATCCCAAATTTGTTGGTATCGAATCTCTTGGTAGATAACTGGGAGGAAGACTGTTCGCGAAACGTCCCAAACGCCTTGGTAACGACGCTCGGTGGGAACGTATTGTGCCCCCGAGCGAGCATCTTGATAATGTTGATGGTCTTCAGTTCCCAATGGAGGTAAAATAGGCTGCGATGACCGTGGTGATTGTAGCGAAGGCATATTATCCATGGGCCGGTCTTGCCTCGAACTTGGTGGATCATCCCTCCCGCCGTAGTGCATTGGCATAGAAGGCTCTGCTCTTGGCTCAGGGCGGTGAGAGTAGTAATTATTGGTGGTTGTGGGACCATAATAGAACGCCTGATTTTCGTCGCCTGCGATGCCTTGGATGATAATGTTAGTTATGGAGATTTAACTTTAGTGATGCCAGGAGCACAGTATAAGATAATTCCATGTTGACCTACTTTTCTTATCGACACTTTGCCCAGTAACGGCTACTTGGTTTCTATTCTGCTGAATGCCTGAGAATGTAGAAACACTATCTCCCTGAGAGTTGGGCGGTTGAGATGGGCTTCGGTTCGAAAAGGCTCGATCTTCTCTTCTTTGGCGTTCATGCGGCTCATCCTTCTGCCACAGAAAGAAGGAGCATGTTGATGAGGAGCATTCGAGAGCTAGACAAAGGCATCAGTTCGAGATCCTACTTTGCAATACTGGGCGACAATATACATATCTCTTCAATCTGCCCATTTCTCGTTTTGGTCTTTACCACTTGTTCCCTACACTGGCAATACCAAAGTTCTCCAATAAGTTTGCCATTGATAACATTCCTTCTTGTGCCTGTCTCCGTATTCATTGCGTCCACCCAAGATTGTGGAAAGCCCAGCCGAAGATGCACCTATGATTGGAATCCGCCGATCCGGAACAGAAAATGTGAGAGAAGTGGACTTCCAGATGCTTTATTAGAGGCCAAATGAATTGGTAGAGGGGAAATAAGGCTGTTTCACCGCAAGGATATTCTCGCATACCCGACTGCTCTTCTCAGGACCAACACTGATGGTCAATGATCAGAGGAATTAGCTTCGCGAGAAGGCAACACAACATATCCGAAACAGCGCTTGATGGGAATGTCCTAATATCGATAGATGGAGAAAGCTGTAGGAGGATTGTCTCGAGAACGATATCGGACGGTTGCTGTAATCTTGGCCTTTTCAGCCTCGTGAGCTGACAGCAGCAGCTTTTGTCCCATGCATCAGCAACACCGCCCGTACACGGGCCACCTATTGATAGATGGCCAATCAGAAGGTTGATGCCAAATCACCTAGACCTGCGTCATGATGTTAGCAAATATCAATTACCAGCCGAAACACGCCTTTTCGGAGATTTCCAGTATATGAAAGCATGTCGAAATGTGCAATATCTATCAGCAATGATCCTGAATTCGTGAAATCCACAACGTACGTTCGAAAAGATGGTGTTTCACCTCACTTACCGCGCGCACACCGACGGCCGCCTGGCAATCGCTCGAAGTCCACGATCCACCTTTCGCACGCGCTCAGTTACCTCAGCATGTAGACATCGACTCTACTATTGCCCTATACGACGTTGAGTTGCTTGATCCAAATCGCATACCATACAAATCAGCACGCTGAAAAGCTTCAAGCTGAAGCACCGTCAACGCCAGACCGCCGTAGATGGAAACCGACGTCGCCTAGCGATCCGTATACCTACTTCGGAATCGCTGTATATACGGTGCTCCACAAAGAGCCGTCGCTCGAGGAGTACTGGCGGAACCTTTATGGACAAGTCGCAGAAGCGCTGGGAGCAGCTGGATCGATATTTATACCGGACAGAGGTCAATTAGAGCTTCATATCGCCCTTTTGTCGAGTATGGGGTCTCCCAGAGTTGTTGCTCGAGCGTAGCGTCGAGCACTGGACTCCCGGAAAGCACGTCTGCGTCGAAAAGGCATTTGCGAGGTTCATCGGCCGCGCGAGCGAGGTCGCCATAATCAAGACAAAGCCTAGTTACACCGGAGGGATTCAGAACATGGTGTTTGGCGAACGATAGAGTCGTCCTAAACTAGGTATTTCATGCCAGATGCGCTGGGCAAGGTCCCGACAATTTACTGGGTCAGCCGCTGACGTGCCAGCTTTTACTCCTACAGGGTCATTCCCTGTTATTCTCGTCCTCCCCGTAGACTCTCACGCGGTCGATCGTTCCCACCTCACTGCCAAATTATCTGGTAGGGACGACTATCTCTTCGACACCATGCCCACACTCGAATACCCCAGGTCCAAAGGCGTAGGGCGCGCGGGCACCGTCGGAACGACAGAGACGGCGACTGAGGAGATATTTGAAGCAAAGGCGGAGACAGCGTCGCAGTCAGAGGTGTCAAGCCTTGCGATGCTCGGGCTCAAGAGGCTGACAAAGGAGAGCTTTTCCAGCGACCTTGTACAGCTCAATGTCAATCATACCCGACAGATAGAGTAGGGAGACTTGTCCTGGCTCTGTGAGTCACAAAGTGATTCAGGCTGCCTGGAGAGACGAGCAGGTCGTCCTTTTTATCAGTACTGTCACTGAGCGTTTTTTCACCTCTCCACTCGCCAAGTTTCTGTTGACGATGTTCGCCGCTAGCTTCCCGTGTCATCGTGAAGTGGCGCCGACGCTCTAAGTTGGCTCGAAAGTAACCATTTAAGTACCCAGTCCCAAGGTTTCATCCCAACCGAGCACGATGAGATGACCAACATGGAAGCCTCGCTTGTAGAGCGTGATATAGTACCCTCTAACAAAGATATCCTGTGGTAGAAAACAGCTAACAAGTATGGTGTTGCGCGCTTAAATAGCATCATTGACTACTGAGGGAAAATGCGCTCGCCGTTACAAGTGAGGTAGGATATCCAGCATTACGTCTTACTCCACCCCAACCGGTAACCAGAATATGAAGAGTAAATGTTCCTAAGTTCGCTATAACATCTACACTATCTATACGAAGTCCCCAGCACCAGCGGCCCCACAAGTCTTCTCGAAATCCCACAATGGCTGAAATTCTATTTCGAACAGTCAACGTGGCAGGTGTAAAGATGCTCCAAAGCGGGCTCAGCCTAGCGCTCATCAACACGTTACAACTTATACCCTCCAAATGTTTAGGCACGTACCACACTATGAGCGCAAGTAATAGTAGCAATGGGCTTTTCCACCAAACCATAGATTTGAAAGTCCCGAGAACATGGTATCAACTGCCGATACCCTCTGTGGGTCCTTGAACATTGCCGCCCAAAACAGCTGAATGTACGCCATGCCGACAGCGGTGTTGAGAGAGATCTTCACGAGAACAGCATAAAATATTCCCGATGGCAAAATCGGCCTGTTGTGTCGAGAGATGTATGCTCGACGAATTCATGTAGTTGGTGTCGGGCACGAACATACCTGATGGCCGTGCGAAGAAAAGATGATGTTCTAAGGCAAAGATGACCCCGAAACACAGCGGTAGGAGCATGAGCATGGATGGCCAGAGAATGTCTGATTTCAAAGGACCGGTGAGAGCAATCCAACATTCTCTGGCCCTGGTGGCGATCGTAGTTGTCGAAGGCTTGCTCAGCCTCAGCCTTCCTCCCTTCATATACCATTCCGTCCTATAATCCCAGAGCTCATAGCAAACTTTCTCGCGGTCGAATTTGTAAATATGGCTCAGTCTCTATGGGTACCTCGTCGCTCTAATTTCAGAATGCGCAAGCGCGCTACCAAGGCTATATTTGGAGTAGGCGACATACGCAGCCTAGCTTCCACCAGCGGCAATAGGGAAAGAGTTGCTGGACGGAGGCAAATAGGAGTGAGGATTTACAATCGAAGCTATACGGTCTTTAGAATTGGAATCATAGGTACACATGTTATCCTAGACCCAACAACTAGAAGCGAAACACGACACTTAAGTTTCGACCCGCTTATCAGATCAAAGCACGTAGAGCAGTTGCTCGTATAACGATGCAACCTTATTCGATTGCAGATAATGCCACATCTGTGGGGCATGAACGCCACCGCGTGTCGGTGAGGGATTACTACCAACAGATCCGACACAAGTCTGTACAAGGCGACTAAATGCACAAGATATCTTTATTCCATCCAGGCTTCTCGCATTAGTGTGCTAAGACATCTCTTCCGCAATCGACTCACTTTTCGACGTAGCACGTCGTCTCGCTATTGGCTTCTTTCGTCTCTCCTGTATCCACTCCAGTGCTTTCCTCGTCAAAGCGACCGGTGGTCTTGCGATAAGCACAACCAACCCCGTTATGGGAATAGCGACCGTGAAATAAACCCAAAAGTCGCCACTGCCAGGCGAATATTCAGTATTCATACTGAACAGACTTGAAACGAACGTCAATGGTACAAAAATCAGTGCGAGAATAGTCAGGCGACTAATATCTGCTGTTTCAGCGAAAGAGCGTCGTGCGTCGGTGATCTGCACAAAGCTCATAACAACAGGGAGCATGCTCTCTAGACGTCGACCAACAGCGTCTATGCTCTCATGAATGTGCGTGAAATCTTCGCTAAGATATTCTAGATCGCGTTGAGGCTTTTCCATGCCACAATGTTTCGGTGATAGGAAGCGCAGGACCGATTTGATCTTGGCCTGGGATACCAACGTCCGGCGTCTCCAGCTCTGCAGCTCCCGAAGATCTCCATCAAACTTATCGAGTGAAAGTGCAGGCAGTTGACCATGGTTGTACTCGTACTGTTTCAGACATTGTTGCATCACCGCGATATATTTCAACCATTCTGCTGCTGCGATGCGTAGTGTGTAGTATGCGAGTGATTGAATGCAGAGATCCTCTGGGTTAAAACTTGATGGGCGCGCGCAAGTCCAGTACCGCTGAAGATCATCGAACATGCCTTGCTCGGATGGAGGCACTTCACTGCCAACGTTGCCTTCTTTGGAGAATCGGGGAGGCTCCATGAAATCTTCGTAAGTACCTAAGAAATGTCGAAACTGCAGCATGACTATCTCCTTGTTTGCTTCGTTTGTTATGTTTACATTGCTGATGGAGGGTCTACCAGAATCAAGGCTACAACCATTATTAGGGATCAGCCTCGAGGAATAGGAGGAGCCTACCTAGCCAATGCCCTCTCCGGTTCTTGATGCGTATGACCGATGCACAATGCTGTGCTAGAGCAATGTCCGTAGAACGAAGGAATACCAGCTTGCGATTTATAGTGGTGTTTCGCAGGTATTTACCCTTGACAGGTGCTCCCGCTTCGGAAATCACTAATCGGTGATACACGATGTTGGCATAGTTTTGTGCTAATAACCGCGATGGCAGAGTGGCTTCGTCAGGGGTTGGGTGGTGCGAGCTTGTCCTTTGCGTTGTGTGCAAGTGTAAGGCAAAGAACAACGGATCGATGCTTAATAGAGTTCCCAAAAGCTCCACTATCTCCTTCGAGAGATCTTCAATAATCAAAATGCGCCCCTGAACTTCTTCGTCCTTGTTGCTGCTTATCCCGCGAGAACCTTTCCTGTCACCAGGTGCCAAGCAGACTTCATCTTCTCGAACTTCTTCACCGAGTTGATGTATGTCAAGGCCTTCCCGTATAGCGGGCTCACCCGTTCCAGAGCGGAAGTCCATTGCGCAGATTCGATAGGCCGACCGAGTTTTTGACTCGGTGAGGAATTGATAAAGATTCATGAGAGACGGCGTGCAAGAACATAGTGTCTTCACGTAAGACCGGTATGAATGTGGCGAGCTGAAAGCTGTCTGTAACCCGTTAACTAATGTAGGAGACCGTTCCCCAAAGCCACGATACTTTTCCATATGCTATCGTATCTGCGCTAGTAGATGGTATGTCGTGGAGGTTAGAGCCTCTGTATTCGGTAGTGTTCACGCTCGTTTTCGATCAAGCGCACGGACAATGACACCGGTAAGCGAGGGATCCAGCCTCGTCGATTCATATGCGACAGCCTCCTGTCATTGGAAACACTATATGCGCCTCGAGGCAGACCCTGCACAAGGATCGGCGGAGAGTCAACCTCGAGGTCAACTAGTCACAATCTTAGCGTCCAATGTGTTACGCTACCTGCAATATTCTTACGTACTCCACTTTTTGCTACGTAGGTTATAACCCACAATGTTTGCTGGAAACGCATACAATTCTGCACCTTGTGGTGGATGATCGGCCTCCATGATTCTCGCACTCATTCTTCGTGTGCTGCTATCGTTCATGAGAGGATATTGGTCATTGAATGAGGTCGATTTAGAGTGTAGTTCTCTGTAGGTACCAAAGTCAACCATGAATCTTTCGGTGTTCTGTTACGATTAGATTCGATGTCATGTCGCAAGTCTGGGAAGTGGTCTCACGCCGTAAGTACTGGACTTGTCTTCGTATGACATGAACTTGCGATGCCTGCACTTCCAGAACGTTCGGCCTCGCAGCTCCAGTAGATCACGTACGTCCTTGCTCGCGTAACGGATTGGGTAAGCATCCAGCTCTCTAACTCCCTTTTTCTCGGCAGTTGGCAATAGGACATCAACATGCCGCTCAACTCGATAGAAGGAACCATCATATGCATAAGTCCAGTATTTCACATTCCAGACTTCATGTTGCTTTGTGTTCTTCGAAGAACTCTGGGCCGACCGATTAGCAACGGTCTTCTGCATGCTGCGGTCATGCAAGTGTGATACCAGACCCCAAGCACTATCGTCGTCGTCTTTTACAGACTGGAACTCACTGACAGTCTGTTGTTCCGTGCGTTTATGTGAGGCGCAATGTGTTACCACACCAGCGACCCAAGTCTGCTCCTTTTTAATGACAACTGTCTCCTCTGGTTTGAACAGGAAAGGAATGGGGTCATTACTGACGGTTTCTTCCGACAATTCTTTCTCGACGCGATCATAAAGATCACAGTAGCTGTTTTCGATCCAAGTTGTCAGTGCGAACAGATATGTTTGATGCTCTGGGCCCAGGTTTCTGAATGCTTTGGTCCGCCTGTCCCAGAACCAGAAAAGATATGGGAACACTATTGGTCTGTGGGAGTCGAAGTCTGGAAATTGCTGCGTGAAGCCGCACGTCTCTTTCATGTAAGCTGTCATGGCTTCCAACATTCTGGTGGATTTCAGTAATATTGTTTCTCTGATCGGCACAGGCGATGGAAGTGCTGTGTTGTTACGTTCGGATTGCTCAATTTCGCGGGCCTGTTGATGAGCTTTGTAGTACTTGTTGACCACGAAAGCAATTCCGGTCATTCGTTGTATGTAGCCTTCCAGATCGGCAAGAGGCGCTTCTGCTCTCAAGAAAACCTGGCCGCCGCCAATCGACCACTGACGGGCATCTAGGTATGGCGTTGAATCGTCATCGGACTCGGAACCGTTGTCCATGATATGATATATCAACAAGATGTTCGTCTGTGCCTCGGGGTTCTTGAGTCTTGTGTTCTCTTTCTCAAGAAATCGTATTCTATCCATTAGTTTCTTTTGCTGGGTATCTGTACTTGGTGTGACAGTTGTGAGACTGCCACCCTGACCCTCAACGTTTCCAGTTCGAGTGGCTGCTTGTTCCAGCTGAATGTTCGACTCTGGGCCCCTGTGAGATCGAGTTGATTTCATGTGTGGCAATTCCTTGGGCTCCGAATTCGTATTATCCTGCACGCTCAATAGATCTTCATGTCCCATAGGCGGAAGTGTTTTTCCTTCAGCACGATCATTGTGCTTTCTGGTCAGGAAGTCTTTGCGCGAACCATCTCCATTTGCTCTGGAGACACCAGAGAGGTTCTGCTGTACATTTCTTAAAGTAGGCAACTGCTCCGTGTTCAATCGATTTTGAAACTGCCCACTAGATATAGTAGGCGCCCATTGCCTCGGCTGCACTTGCGATAGTCGATTCCCGATACTCTCTCGTTCGTCCCGATTCTCAAAAAGGGGATAATTCTTATGTGGTTCGGACGGATCCCCAAGTGCGCGCAGGCGGGACTTCGAATCATCGTTTGCAGCAGTCTGATCTCGTGATAGCGTATAGTAACTTTGAACATGTTCCGATCCATCGTCCGTCGTTACATTGGTGACCTTCTGTCGCTTGTTGGGAGACACAATGTCGTCATCGTCGTTTTTCAATTCGTCTCCAAAACCATAGCCAGTGTCGTCATTCCCAATGCCAGACGCACCAACCTGTGCATATAGATTGGTTGGAAGCTTCTGTGAAGTACCACCAGATGCTTGGTTAAGTGGCATTTGCAAGGCAGGTGCTTTTGAGCCTTGTAACATGATTCCATTGGGCGCCCTCGCAGTCTTATTGGCAGTTTTCTCGCTTATTCTATGCAAGAATGTTCGAAGGTGCTACCCTGTTGGACCTTATCGTTAACGAAACGACCTGGACTGCGCCAATCAATGTCAATAGTGGCGCGTCTATGGCAATGACCGCTCAGGTTGCGGTATAAGGGGAAGTTTCGCAATGCGGGTAAATGTATAAGGAGCAGTGTTGATGTAGTTTCCGACAAACGTATGATTCTTGCGTGGGTGAGCGTCGGGAAGAACATGAATTGAACACGGACATCCTTGCGATACAAATTTTCTCATCGTAGCACAAGGCTCAGCCCCAGCAAAAAGCATAGCCACATCGAAAGCGAGCCAGCCGACGCCACGTGGAAGGGGCGCACACCACCTGGCAAGGCTGAAAGTCGCGGCAGCCTACTTGCACACTCCAATTCAAATGTTCGCTGCAGGATGATATCGTTTACTACTCAATCAGAGCACATACAGACACCTATACACTGTATGCGCAACCCACAATGCATGAAGCACACATTAAGGCGTGGTACAAGACCACAAAGAGTCGTCAGTATGCTCGGCGCTTCTCATTGTCTGCACAGAAGACGCTGATTCCTGTTCAAGTGATACCGCGAGCAATCTCTTAGAAGACGCTTTCAGAGAAGCTAGGGACAGGTACTCCCTTGAAATTACCGCAGATTCTCGTAAGATCGCATATGTCTCGTCTACACAGTCCCTAGCCGAAGTGCAACAAGAGCTACACCGTTCCATGTCAGCGTTTCAAGCCCGGCGGTCCCCGTCTAAAGCATGGGTATGGCTGGAGAAGCTTTCGCATCGAATTCACCATTATGGATCCATTCTCGATGTTCTTGCGCAACATCATCCAGAGTATGTTGCCCTGGCGTGGGGCTCGATCAAACTTCTTCTGACTGTGAGCAACCCGAACCTACCACTATAGCAACATAGCGAAAGGCTTATATCAGAACACAGGGAGTTATCAACCATGAGAAAGCGGCTGCGACGTTGGCCAAGTCACTCACTGAGATCGCAGATATACTTCCCCAGGTTGAACTGCGGTCTGCATTGTATCCTACCGTTCGGATGAAGGCATCCATGGTCAACCTTTTTTACCCACCTGCTAAGGTTCCTAGTCCGAGCGAAAGACTGGTTCGAAGAGAGTAAACTCAAGCATCTCGTTCACAGTATTACAAGGCCTGTGGAGCTTCGATACGAAGACATCCTACAGCAGATTGCATATCACTCAGGCGTTATCAAGGACCTTGCGACAGCTGGACATCAAGCAGAATTCAGAGATGTACATGACAAGATTCAACAAATGATGGTGACAATGACGGACCAAAGAGCGGAGATTAAACATATGCGCGGCGCAGTGGAACAAATATTGGGGTTATTGGAAAAGGTCAACACTACGGTGACCTGTAAGTTCTTCAAATGTAGGATACGATCATTACTAAATGGCTGTAGTACATTCGGGTGCTCTTATCGACACTAACCAACGCCTTTCCGATATTCAATTCTTTGAGATCATGACAACACTCATGTCTGTTCCTATATGGGATCCTATGAAAGCATTCCAGTATCACCTGACAATGACAAGAAGACGTTCTCGAAGCGCAGCTTCTAGTTCCTTGTCTGAAAGGTTCTGGGACTCGCCGAATTTGCGAACGTGGTCAAGCAGTACGGAATCAGCTCTATCTGTTGTAGTGTCTAAGTTCCAGACACGTTTTGCAGTCCGAGAATTCTGTGTTGGTGTTATCCAACAACTGCATGACGCACAGATTCCTGTCCTTCTCGCATTGAAGGTTCCGAACAACGGGACACAGGACGATGTGTCGTCCGTTGATCTCCTAAAGTACTTGGTCCGACAAGCTGTCCTTTTGTGCCAGAAAGTACAATCAGAAAAGACAGCCGCTTTGAGATGTGCCACATTCCACGAAGCCACGACAGAGATGGACTGGTTCAGACTTCTCGAATCTGCATTGATGGAGATCAATCAACCGGTATACATCATCGTCGACTTCGATATCGTGGACGAGAAGCTGCAGGGCAACAACACCTTCTCATGGATCTCAGCCTTCGAGCAGATCTGCAATGCTTTTACGCTCCGGGGACTAGCTACTAAGATCAAGGTCCTCGCTGTGCATCGTAGCACTAGCCCGTTCTCATCAACATCCGAAGACCATCGGAAGTACATCATCCCAGTGAGGGCTCAGTCAAGCTTCCCCAGACAACGAAGGGTACGGGGGTACTCGAAAGTATCGAAATATTCTTTACATCATCAACGTCTGTTACGATGATACATGGCAATTGGACCACGAACTTCGGGATCGACAGTGCATCAATTCGGTGCTTCGGCCAACCCGCCTTAATGGAGAGGGATATAGGCTAGGGTCTCAAATCGGAAGCCTCATCATCCTTCTTCAACTCGTCTAGCATTTTTTCTTCCGCGGCGTGTACACGCCTTCCTCCACTCTCATCACCCACTGAATCACCCTTCTCAGGCAACTGTCGCGATACAGCATGACCATCCAACTCCTGGGGTACTGAGTTCACCGGTAGTTCTTGGACCTCTGTGCCAGTCACCTGAGCGTATGCCATGTGCTTTGGGATCCCGCCTCCTGGTAGTTCTGCCTTATTCCATCTTTCAGTATCCACCTCTGCTGAAGTATTCGTTTTCGTCCTTCGTCGGTAGAATATGATTATGGCCGCGACAATGACTGCGAACACCAGCGCAGCGTCACTCCCTATACCCAATTTTGCGCCAGACGATAATGAGCTGTGTGTGACGTTGGTGGGATTTGCGCTCGAGGTGTGTGTGACGGTCATGGAACTTGCGCTCGAGGTGCGTGTGACATTTGTAAAGCTTGCGCTCGGAGTGTGCGTGACATTTGTGGGATTTGCGCTTGATGTGTTGGTGGGGTCCGGGGAGGGAGGAGTCGGTGAGGCCGTTATCAAAGATGCGGTAGAAGAGGAGCTGGAACTGTCTGCCGTAATGGATGCTGATGCCGTCACTGGCGCCGATAAGGGGATCGCGGTGCTGAACCCAATATTTGTGTTACCCTGAATCCAATATTCCAACATGCCCCCTCCCACGTTCCACCAGAACCCTGTTGAGGCTCTGTTGGGTCGGGTGTCAGTTACAAATACGGGCGTAGTTGGAGGTAGTTTGCTCCAAATATGAGGTTCTGTTGTAAACCATAAGACACGTTCATTTTGAGGCCCGTCCGTGGTCGCCGCCTCTTCATAGAATGTTACCGTCGGAACTCTGCCATCCACGTACACCGTGGCTACCGCAAATGTTAGTGTCGGTTCTCCAATATTAGTCATTTCCTTTTCTGAATCGGTGCGTGCGAGGATGATAAAAAGTCGAAATTTACATGCACGAAGGGAAAGCAGATGTCAGTGTTGATCAACAAGACTGCCAGAGACACCACAAGCCGTGTGAGTATCTGATTCAGGTTCTGAGCATCCACTGCAGCATCGTACTACGCCCCTTTGCTTCACCTGCCCAAACAAGGCCAGAAGATCGTCTAGCATTACAAATGATTCGCGCGTCAAAAGGCCGTGTCACAGGAGAGCGGTAACATCTGTAACATCGGTAACGCGAGTGAGTGTCTTCCCCCCGCAAAACAAGGCTACACATCTGCGCATGGATCACGAGCCGACAACGGTGCTTTCCCAACTTTTGCAGGTATTATCGTTTGCGAAAAGAATGCCCCCACCCGACTATGGTACAGATCCCTAACCTTTATCAATTAGATGATACATTCAATCTATTACTGGCTAGATCTTGTTGTGGTAGACGTTAAAATAGGGCACTACGCTATCAAAACAGGTGTACCAACGGATTTTTTCTTATAATTAAGTAGATATATACTATAGGTAATACAATTAATTAAAATAGGTGGCTGTACCATAGTAGGGTGGGGGCATTCTTTTCGCAAAGCACCAATACCACCACCGCTCTATTGAAAATAAGGAATCACTTCTTGTCCGGTTAGGATTAAAGAGTCGTTAGATTTTCGCGAAAGTTCGAACACCTTTCCATAAACCTTCCCACTGGCATGACCACAAAGCCTGTACAAACGATAACACAAGTACACGCACGAGATCACCACCAAGCGATCTACCACAGCTTTTGCAAACGTCGCTTGAGCAACTCGCAAGCGAACCACCATAAGTACTCGGAAAATCGATTGAAGGACTAAACTAGACCTAGGACTTAATTCCAAGTCTCCATCCACATGCACCCCAGTCTATCTCACCCAGAATTTGCAAATCACACATGCAGTACCGCTAAACACACCACCCTTACCAAACACCGTTCAAAGTTCCAAACCCGCGAACGTATCGTCGCCCATCTAGTACTACACCGTAGGTAAATAACACCATACCACACAACCACCGTTAAGGCGTAACGTTTACCCCAAAGCACCCATCCGCCGCTCAAGTACCAGGTATACATGCGAAGCAAAGAGCAAGGTATCCAACACTGAGTACGAGCAGACATGGCCTCCACGATAGCTACCATATCTAGCTTGGTCAGTGAATCCATATAGGGGGAGGGGCTAGTCATCGCCAGTCACATCACCTCTCCCTCCCAACATAAATACTTACGGTAACCACACCTCTAACCAGCCAGCCCCAATCTTAGCCCTACCTTTCTAGAAATCTTCCATAGGTGGTGGTTGGGGTGATTGTAAGCAGCACTGACGCTAGTAATTCGTATAGATGAATTTTGCACTTATATAAATACACTACACGGCTTTCACGGCTTACATGACTTATACGGCTTTCACGGCTTACACGGCTTTCACACCACCCCAAAGCTACGCGTTGCAACTATCCCAAAAAAAAAAGATGTTTAAACGGGAGCAGGAGCACCAGGTTGACTTATCCATTCGCTAGTTTAGCCTGACAACCATGAAATGCTACGCTTTTACATTTATTACCAGGTTTTTACAACGTAAAGCTTA